AAGTTTATAATGTGGGGTTAGGGTTTAAATTGATGGATGTAGGGTTTAGTTTATGGTGCATTTAAAAAAATGAATTCTTATGAAAGTATATCAAATTTAAAATCATTGAATTAAAAAATACATTGACAATAGAAAAAACTAAAACAATTATAGCAAATCCAGAATCAAAAGATAATAACACCAATAGATATTTACTAAGAGATCATAATTAATATAAAGATATAAAATATTTAGAGAATCCTTAAAAACTTAAACTATCAAACGGATACATTGATTATATCATCTAAGAATCACGAAGCAAAGAGAAGATAGGAGTAAAGAAGGAGGGGAAGCAGAAGAAAAACCGAAAGTAAAAAATGTAGAAGATAAAGAAGAAGAGAAAAATTGAAAGATCAGAAAGGAAAAGAAGAAGAACACAAAGTTGATGAAGAAATCAGAAAGAAATGGAGAAGAAGATGAAAAACCAATAATAAAAAGAAAACAAAATAAATCAGAAAAAAACGTAAACGATAAAGAAAAAGATAAAATAGATAGGTTTAAATTGTTATTTGAGAAACAAAAGTATATGAAACTGATTATTGTATAGTATAATAAAGTTTTCTAAAATATTTGATTTGATTTGAATATTATATTATTTTTATGTCCACATTTTAATAGTTTTCTTTTTTGTTTCAGTTTTTTTTTTAAATTATCGTGATATTTGAATTATGAAAAAATGTTTTTATTTTATAAATAATTATTTTTCAAAACAGCTCATGCCCGTGCAAGGCGCGAACCAACTACCTCGTTAAAATTATATGCTTAAAACGCTGAGGATCTCATAAAAATCCAAATCAAATGTAGATGAGTCGACGTGGTGAACAACGTGCGGTGCATGTCACAAGTTTCTATCATCTATGACATGTGTGATTATTATATAATAATGATATCATCTCTCTCTCTCTCTCTTCACATTTCAGATTTCACATCTCGACGCGATCACACCAACCATGGAAGCTTCTGCAACATCCAAGCTCCTTGTCTCCGACATCGCCTCCTCCGTTGATCACGTCCCTTCAAACTACGTCCGACCAATCTCTGACCGTCCAAATCTGTCTGAGGTTGAAACTTCCGGCGATTCCATCCCTCTGATCGATCTGCAGGAGCTTAATGGACCCAATCGAGTCGACATTATTCTTCAGTTTTCTCACGCATGCTCCTCTTACGGCTTCTTCCAGGTAACTCCTCGATTCATACATCAGTTTGCTCATGCATTTTCCACGCTCCACTTATGGACCCAAATCTTGTTTCCAATCTACTCTGTTTTCTGATATACACTCTGCTTTCAGCCAATTTTTTATTTCTGGCAGAACACTTTGCTTGCTCTCGAGTTTACTCTGTTTTGAGCAAATTTAGTTTGTTTAGTGTAATACACTCTGCTGACCTGGTCTCACGCGAATTTCCTCTGTTTTACTCCATACACTCTTGTTTTTTGGAATTTCCTCTGTTTTGCTGCAATACACTCTGTTTTCACTCGAATTTAGCATGCTTCCTCTTGAATTTCCTCTGTTTTAGAGCAATACACTCTGTTTTCACTCGAATATACCCTGTTTCCTCTTGAGTTTACTCTGTTTTACTGCAATAGACTCTTGTTCTTTTGATTTTACTCTGTTTCTATTGCAAGGCACTATGTTTACTCTGTTTTGTTACAAGATACGCTCTGGATTCTAACTATATGGATCAAAAAATTATCCTTTCTTGTTCCAGATCAAGAACCATGGTGTACCAGAAAAAACGATCCAAAGAATGATGACGGTGGCGAGAGAGTTTTTCCGGCAGCCAGAGAGCGAAAGAGTAAAGCATTACTCCGCAGATCCGAAAAAGACGACAAGACTCTCCACAAGTTTCAACGTCGGCACAGAGAAAGTCTCTAACTGGAGAGACTTCCTCCGACTCCATTGCTTTCCGATCCAAGATTTCATCGACGAATGGCCCTCAAATCCTGTCTCTTTCAGAGACATCACAGCCGAATACGCCACAAGCGTCAGAGCCTTGGTCTTGACACTTCTTGAAGCAATATCGGAGAGCTTAGGCGTTGAGAAAGACCGTGTAAGCAATACGTTAGGCAAACACGGTCAACACATGGCGTTAAACTACTATCCTCCGTGTCCTCAACCGGATCTAACGTTCGGACTTCCGTGCCATAAAGATCCAAACTTGATAACTGTTCTTCTCCAAGACGAAGTCTCTGGTTTGCAAGTCTTTAAAGATGGTAAATGGGTCGCTGTCCATCCTGTTCCCAACACTTTTATAGTCAACATCGGCGACCAAATGCAGGTAAATAAGCAATGACAAAATTAGAGAAAATTCCTCTGTTTCTTCACTCTCTTTGTGCTAAATTTCTGTGGTTGTTTCTCCTCTTAGGTTATAAGCAATGACAAATACAAGAGTGTTCTACACAGAGCGGTTGTGAACAACGACAAGGAGCGGATATCGATACCGACATTTTACTGTCCTTCTGCTGATGCTGTGGTTGGTCCACCACAAGAGCTGATCAATGAGGAAGAGGGATCTCCTGCTGTGTACAGAAGCTTTACTTATGCTGAGTATTATGAAAAGTTTTGGGACAGAGCACTTGCAACAGAGAGCTGTCTTGACTTGTTCAAAGTTTCCAACTCCTGAGATAGTGTGCTTTAGAATCAATCAGTCATGACTAGGGATCCATATGCTTTTTTATGTTCTAAACTTTTCTTTATCTTTAGATTCTTATGAATTTGAACAGATATGATTGACAAATAAAACAAACCGTTCTTGCAATAAACTGAACTCATTGATTGTGGTTTAGAAATCATCTTATATATGTATTTTTAACTTTCAGCTATGTATGTAAAACTTATGTTTCTGCATTACTCGAGTGATTGTATAGAAAAACATCAAGTGGCTCACAATCCATAGAATACTATTTTGGCGATAACTATGTGTGAGCGTATCTTGAAGGAAATAATTGGGATACAGAGAAGAATTGCTCTGTTCCAAATTAATTTGTTTTCACTATAGGCCCACATTATAAAAACTATACAGCGTAACAGGCCGGCCCATTGGGTCCTTCAAGAATTTTTATTTCTTTCCGAAATATGGAAGAGGCACTTCTTGAACTTATGTTAAGTAAAAGCCATAAATCTACACTAACTTATATAAAAAAACATTAGGAGATTTAGTGCTTGCTGCGATTAGCCCTGGGCATTTCGGGACGGGAATCCCTTTCCCACCTTTATTTGTTTAAAATTTTTCCGAACTTTTCGGAAATGGGATTTGCAATTTCCCGTTTGGGAATATTTATTTTATTCAAACGGGTAAGGGAAGGGTAAGAGATTTCTTGATTTTCCCGTTTACAAAATAAAAAATTGAAAATTAGATATTTTTTTCTTAAATATTCCAACTTTTCTCATATTTTTCCGAATTTTCCCTTAATTTTCCGTATTTTCCCGTATTTTCCCGTAATTTTTCATATTATCTTCAATTTTCCCGATTTATTAAGATTTCGGGTATTATTTTTTGATTTCCAAAATTCCTATTCCCTTCCCATTCCCTTGGTTTCCCGTCCCATTATAATATGGAAATGCTTCAAGAATTATATTTGGGCTATGGTGACCAAGGAATGAGGGGAAAATAAGACAATTCCCCTTCATTCCTTAAATTACACCATTTATAAGGAATGTGTATTTCATATTATTTCTTATTATTCCATATTAATTAGGGAATTATAGTGTTAAAATATTCCTTATAAAATATGAGGAGGAATGAGTTCCATATATTTTATTCCTCTTCATTCTATTCTTTTTCATTCCTTTTGTTCCTTTACAAGTCACCAATTAGAGCCTTGGTTTTCCTAATTTCCCATTTATCCCATATCCGTTAATTCCCGTACCAAAACCCGAAATGTCCAAGGCTAGCAGCGATCGACTAATTAGGTTACAAGTTAGTAAGTTACACAATGTACAAGCTCGAGTACTTCTCATTGGTTTAATAGTTATGATGTGGGACCTTCAACCAACACTCAAATCAACAAAAATTAATTAGTATCAAACAAACTTTTAACAGATAGATACATATATTTATATCATTGTACATGTACAATTTTTATTAAAAAATCAATAGTCAAGTCTTCTTCACCAATCACCATGCATCATTGATCATTCAGTCATTCACCCCAATCTACTTAACCCTATCGCTTAGTTTCTTGCGAAAGACGATATTGACATACGCTAAACTAGTATTATCAAATCGTCATCGAAAATGTGAGATAAGCTTTGAAATAAGGTAAAGAAAGGTAGTAGGTGTTTGAACAAACAACCTAGGGAAGAGAAAGTCTTTGTATATCAATATCATTAAAGCTGTACAATCCATACTTTTCTAGTGCACTATTGTGCAATTCAAAGTCGAACTATAATATTTTTCAAGGAAAAAAGAAGAAATAAAAGTCGTCTAAAATATATTTTACGCTATCGTCTCGTTTGTTGTTGCGCATCAGTGCTTGCTGATGCTAATCTCCAGGACTGGTTGTAAAGTTAACAAATTTGATAAATTATTGGTCCTCATATCATATGACATGAAAAAGTATGCAGAGCACCCAAAATCTACTTATATATTGTTAAATGTTAAACAATACGACACTTGCACCATCCGTCTATGCCTCATCCCAGTCTGTGATTCACATATAGTACTGTACTAAGAATACTATTATGCTAAAAATAACACTTGCATTATACGATATGCTTACCAATTAATGCTAATACCCTAATAACAATACTGATATATACACAAGTGTTATTTTAGTTATTGAGCGTTGAACGTACGCACCGGAATGTGACGTCATCATTTGCATGACATCACGCTTGCTTGTCTGTAAAGATACTGATAAATCTACACATGAACACGTCAAACATTTCACATTTACACTTGAGTCTGTCTATTATAAATAGTATCGCTATCACTTTAGATCTCCACGTTTACCTTTAATCATGGCAGCTTCTGCAATATCCAAGCTCCTTGTCTCTGATTTCGCCTCCTCCGTTAGTCACATCCCTTCAAACTACGTCAGACCCATCTCCGACCGTCCAAACTTGTCCGAGGTCAAGACTTCCGGCGACTCCATTCCTCTGATCGATCTCCGGGAGCTACATGGACCTAACCGAGCCGATATTGTCCATCAACTTGCTAACGCATGTTCCGCTTATGGCTTCTTCCAGGTAACTCTACGGCGTAGTATTAGACAGTTAATTCTGTTTTAAATTTACTCTGTTTCGCTACTCTGTTTTTTTTTTTTTCTTTTTAATATCGTAACTCTGTTTCAAATTTTCACTTTCTTGTATAGCACACAACCTTTACTCTGTTTCAAAATGTTCTTGTTCATTATGTTCTAGATCAAGAACCATGGAGTACCGGAGACAACCGTCGATAAAATGCTAACCGTCGCAAGAGAGTTTTTCCATCAACCAGAGAGCGAGAGGATGAAACATTACTCGACGGATTCTACAAAGACGACAAGAGTCTCCACCAGTTTCAACGTCAGCGCAGACAAAATCTTGAACTGGAGAGACTACCTTCGACTCCATTGCTTTCCCATCGAAGATTTCATTGACGAATGGCCATCAAATCCTGTCTCTTTCAAAGAGATCACAGCCGAATACGCCACAAGCGTTAGAGCCTTGGTTATGAGCCTTCTCGAAGCAATCTCTGAGAGCTTAGGCCTTGAAAGGGACCATATAAGCAATACATTGGGCAAACACGCTCAACACATGGCCTTTAACTATCCTCCTTGTCCTGAGCCCGAGCTAACTTATGGACTTCCCGGACATAAAGACCCAACCATTATCACTGTCCTTCTTCAAGATCAAGTATCTGGTTTGCAAGTCTTTAAAGATGATAAGTGGGTCGCTGTTTATCCTCTCCCTAACACTTTCATCGTCAACGTAGGCGACCAAATGCAGGTTAAAACAAATCAGATTCCTCTGTTTTCTCACTCTCTCTTGTGCTAAATTATGTGGTTGTGTTCTATCTCTTCCTTTTTAGGTCATAAGTAATGATAAATACAAGAGCGTGCTTCACAGAGCTGTGGTGAACACAGAGAAGGAGCGGTTATCCATTCCGACTTTCTATTTTCCTTCGACTGATGCAGTGATTGGTCCTGCTCAGGAGCTGATCGACGAGCAAGACTCTCCTGCCGTTTACAAAAGCTTCCCATTTGTTGAGTATTGGGACAAGTTTTGGGACAGATCACTCGCTACTGCAAGCTGTCTCGACGCTTTCAAAGCTTCAAAACCCTAAAGATTGTCTACTTTTGATATCCAAAAAAGCCTCTCTGTTCAATCTATGTAATAAGGTTCAAGATCAGTTTGTTTCTTATGAATGTTATAGGAAACGTTTTTGTAAAATAAAGCAAACATTCACCACAAGTCATGCGTTTTCACTTTTCAAACTAAACGTACCATGTCTATGGTATATCACAACAAAACCTCCCAGGCCCGACTTTCGAGAAACCCTTAAAACTCAGTTCTCCTCAGCGGCTCCGCCGCGTTTCTTCCGCCGGAGATCTCTGGCGGGTTCTCTACAGGTGACCAGACCTTCTCTTCATCTCATCCTCTCCCATGTCTTCCGGTGAACTTACAGATCCCGATTTCGATCTCATCATGCCGTCATCTGAGAGGCGTTTGGATTCCATCCTCCGAGCTCCGACGCACTCGTTAGCGGCGCCTCCTTCTCAGGGGAAGAAACTTGAATCTTCTCCATCTTCAACTCCTCAAAACCTTCACCAGTCATCTCCAGATCCGAGATGGCCACTGCTAAATCGCTGGTCGACGAATTCATCCCATTCCTCGCCGTCTTCTCCGGTACAGAATCTACAAAACGAACCAAACCTCTCAAATGCATCTCTTTCTCGGTCTCTGGTCTCGGATTCGGCAGTAGATCCCTCTCTCGTCGTTGATTCGCAGGGCATTGAACCAGTCATGATTTCAGAGGAACCTACAATAACATTGGAAGTAAAGGCGTCTAAGCAATCGCAGTTGGAGACTGAATCAAGCAAGACTCCCATTGACAATGTAACACAATCTGAAATCTCACAATCTCAAGTTGGCCAAGAGGCAGGAACTGTTATCGTGACCCCTCAAGGAGCATGGAAGAAACCTTTACACTTCTCTGCGTTTAATAATGAAGCTAGAGTCGCAGTAAACTCAAGTTGGCCTGCTCTTTCCACAACGAATCAGATTCGTAAAAAACCCTTTCAGAAAGGTTCAAGTGCGGATGTAACTAAGGGCAAAATGATCGCCTTGAATATCCTTGGGCTGCAAAGATGGATCAGTCATTACGCAATCTTCATAGAGTTACCATGCCTGATTACCTAGATGATTGTACTCCTATGGTAAAGATTCCTAGCCATGTTCTTTTAGAAGGGTTGGAGAATCAGAAAGAATTTGTGGTAGGACAGTTCTGTCGCTGTGCTGCTCCATCCGGTGGTTTAATTCACGCTGTTGTGAATAAGATTTGGGGCAGAAAATGTCGCATATTTACCCGGAAAATGGGTGAATCATCGTATCTCTTCCACATCCCGGATGAGTCAACGCGGAAGTGGATTATCCAGAGGGGGTTATGGCATGTCGATGACTGCCTAATGTTTGTATCAGCCTGGTCACCTGCTGCAAACATAGCTATCCCGGAGATCAAAACTATCCCAACTTGGCTAACGCTGAAGAACATTCCAAGTCAGCTTTATTCATTCAAGGGCATAAAGTGGATTGCATCTGGTATTGGTGAACCAATGCTTACCAGTAGACCTTGGTTGGATCCAACTCAAATAGGAGAAGCTAAGATTTTGGTTGAGGTAAAGCTTGATAAACCTTTTCCTCAAAAAGTTGCGTTAAAGGAAGAATGTGGCACGATCACCTTGGTTGATGTGGTTTATTCTTGGTTGCCTTCTAAGTGTAGTAATTGTGCTCAATTAGGACACAAGTCGTCTAGATGTTTAGGCCTGAGTTTAGAGAAAGCTAGTGAAGAACTTCAGGTGAATAACTTTGCTCCTGCGGTTAGTAAGGAAGCTTCTGGACCGGCTTTACAACCTGTTACAAATTTGCCTGAGACTGAGACAGGAACAGAAGTAAATGAACTTCAAATCCCTGTTAGCACTCCTGCAGCAGAGAAATCCTGCTCGGTTTCTACTCGTTCTCCGACCGTCGTCCCAGAGAAGATTGTAAACCCTGCAAGCATTCCTACAACAGAAAAAATTACTCCGGTTTCTGTCCGTTCTATGAGCATTCCAGCGAAGAAAGTAACTTCAGCGATTCCAGCTGAAACAGGTACAAACTCTTCTGTATACAAGCTTTTATCTTACCCCATGGAAACTTCTACCTCACCCATCATCGACTCAGCTATGACCTCAACAAAAGAGGCATCAACTTCTCAACGAAGTTCTAACCCGACGGTTCCGACAACAATTCGCCGGACTTTGTCTAGTGCATCATTGGGAAATAACAGGTTTGCGTCTTTGGATTCGTCCAAAGATGAAGACGAAGCTCCACCACCACATGAGGTTCCTGAAGAAATAGAGTTCTTTACACCATCGGGCAAAAGATTCCTTCGGGAAAGGCCGGTTCCTCTGTCAATCAAGGCTAAAGAAATGCAATATGTAGCACGTGGACGAGGTAACCGGGGCCGAGGTAATAGAGGTGGTCGTGGCGGCTAGCTTAGACATCCGCAGTGATGTTTGTTACTGAATCGAAGCGGAAGATTCGATTTCTATCTTTTTAAAGTTCTTGCAATCTCTTGCACAACTTGTAATCTTCTTGAAAATCTGTTCGGCAAGGCTTTTAGTCTTGTGTATTCAGCTTTCAATAAATAAAATATATTTAGCTAAAAAAAAAAAAAAAAAAAATACCATGTCTATTTTTTTTTTAGATTCTTGAATTATATACTCTTTCTGTCTTTTTAAAGAAAGAACTTCTGGCTCCTTTTTTTCTTTTCTTTTTTTTTTATAAAAAAGTTTTTATGAATTTATTGTTGATTAATGATGATAAAATGCAAACTTAGAAAATATTAGTTAATTTAATTTTCTTGAACTACTATTGGTTTAAAATTATAAGAAATTTACTTAGTTTAAAAAGCAATGAATTTATCACTAAATATTACATAATTTCTTAATATATGTAATTTCTTTTTTAAAATCTATTATTTTTTAGAAATGGAGAGAATCTAGTTTTTACTTTTTACTGTATGTATTTTGTCATTGTAAGGAAAAAAGAAAAGGAAAAATGCTATTTTCGAAGTTGGAGTTTAAGCCAACTTAGATTCTAAAGTTTCCTTATCTGACAAGTTTGCTCTCTATATATAATCAAACCTAACCTATTTTATTCTCTTCCTCTTCACAAAACCAACAACAGCTTCTCAAGTTTCAAAGATCTTTTGCTGTCGCTCTCTCGAAGTCTAGTTTTAAAAGAGTTTGATTACAGAATCATGATTACGTTGTTCAGTATGTTCGACTCCTTCTGTGCACAGATAATGAAGAACACCAACGTTAGTGCGGATTCATCCTCTAATGGCTCCTCTGTTTCTTCTTCCTCATATGGTATACAAGTCGTGTCAATGGAGAAGAAAACAACAAAACAAGTTTTGGTGGATAAGGCACCGAGGTTTGCTCCGGAGTTTGATGGACTTCATTGCTTCGATACCATTGTTCGTTCTTAATTATATTCCACAACGAACGATTTTTCTTTTTTCTTGTTCTGTCTTGTATTTAATTAATTACGAATGTGTTCCTTAAAACCAAAGAAGAGCGACTGATTTGATTGGTTTCACAAGTTTATTTACTCATAGTCTTCGTTTTCTTTATTATTCTTGAATTCATGTTGGTGTTGTTGACCTGTTATGGTTTCTTTGCTTTTATGCATTAAACGATTCATGATAATAATCTACTTGCAAACCTTGTAGCTACATTGACCAAATTTTGCAAATAGGTTCAAAAAGATTATAAACTTAAATTTACAATTTTACACTAACCGTATGCTGAAGTACCGATCACTTTATTCTTATTTACACAATCCTAACATGAAGTTTTGTGATTATATTCTAGCGTTAAAACTCGCCAAGAAAGATGATATAATTAATTAGTTTACATAATTTGGCAAACCTTTGAGGTTGATGCAGAGAGCATTGTGAATGTGAAGCAGATTTGATGGACAAAAACGTAAAAGGCAAGACCAAGAGAAAATACTTGTTCGAATTACGTTTACCACTACTTGTTGAGGTACTTGATCTGTTTTGTTGTATACATTGCAATAAACTAAGATTTTAGTTGACTAAAAGCACACATCGTTTGATATATTCCTTAAAACATTGTGTGTCGGATTAAATTATATATCTTTGAAACTCTTGACTGTGATGACACCTTGGAGATTGAAACAAGCAAAAGTTTAGAAAAATTCCAAGAAATGGAAACGTTCTTGGTCAAACTTATTGCCAGGGAACATCTTATATGAAATGCTTAAACTTCCTTAATGTTAGTCCACAAAGAACATTACATCTCTCTCTTACTGTCTTGAGATTGAAAAAAATGGAACTCTCTTTTCCTCTTGGAGTTAGGAATCATAGATCATTGATTCTTGTGGTACTAAGCCTGGTAATTCTCAATGTGCATAGCAGTTTCGTGGTCCGAGTCGGTGCTGAGAGCAAGGTACTCACAAAAACTTCATTCTTTTTGGCGAAATAACATAAACAGAGACCAATTGATTAACACATTTGTGTCTATCGTAGGTTCATATAGTGTATTTGGGTGAGAAGCAGCATGATGATCCAGAGTTTGTCACGGAATCTCATCATCGAATGTTATGGTCACTTCTTGGAAGGTATGTAAAATTACTTTTCTCCCTTTGTTGTATAATGTCTCAATTTGTATGCTCATTGGTTCTTGCTTTTCATGTTAACAGTAAAGAGGATGCTCATGATTCAATGGTACATAGTTTCCGACATGGCTTCTCAGGTTTTGCAGCCAAGCTTACCAAGTCCCAAGCCAAGAAAATAGCCGGTATTTAGTCCTAATCTCACATTTTCTTGTCATCTCAAGAATCACACACATATACATCTTGATTGTCTCAACAGGCCAATTTGTTTTTGTTTTTTGGCAACAGATTTACCTGAAGTTGTTCATGTCATACCGGATAAGTTCTACAAGCCGGCAACAACTCGGACTTGGGACTACTTAGGTCTTTCTGCAGCCAATCCAAAGAATCTTCTAAATGACGCTAATATGGGTGAACAGATTATCATTGGTGTTATGGACACAGGTATGAGTGCATATTTGTTCTTTTCTTTAGTTTCTTATTGCTATTGATTCCTCTGAGGCTCAGTCTTAGCGTCTCAATGACTAAACTGTAGGAGTATGGCCAGAATCTGAAGTCTTTAACGACAATGGGATGGGGCCAGTGCCGAGCCACTGGAAAGGAGGATGTGAATCAGGAGAGAAATTCAACTCTTCTCACTGCAACAGAAAGCTCATAGGAGCAAAGTACTTCATCAATGCCTTTCTTGCGGAGCACGAAAGGTTCAACGCAACAGAATCACTTGACTTCATCTCCCCTAGAGCCTATAGTGGTCACGGAACGCATGTTGCAACCATAGCTGGCGGTTCGTACGTGCCCAATACAAGCTACAAGGGGCTAGCTAGAGGGACTGTGAGAGGTGGTGCACCTCGTGCTCGTATCGCAGTGTACAAGACTTGTTGGTATCATGATGACCTAGAAGCAAATATCTGTTCTTCCGCTGACATCTTGAAAGCAATGGACGAGGCGATTCATGACGGTGTTGATGTTATGTCTCTTTCTTTAGGCTATGAGCCTCTGTTTCAAGAAACCGATGTTCGAGATGGGATTTCCACTGGTGCATTCCATGCAGTCTTGAATGGTATCACAGTTGTTTGTGCGGCTGGTAACGCAGGCCCAGCGGCTTATACCGTCGCAAACTTGGCTCCTTGGATCATCACAGTGGCTGCAACTTCTCTAGACCGGTCCTTTGCCACTCCTATGACACTTGGGAACAATAAAGTCATATTGGTAACAACAAGATATATATTAATTGCTCAACAAGCAAATGCTTAATGATTTATGTCTTATGGTGAGTTTGGTTACTATACTTCAGGGTCAAGCAATGTACACAGGTCAAGAACTTGGCTTCACTAGCTTGGTTTTTCCAGAGAATCTAGGGAGTGGTAGCAACGAGGTTATTTCTAGGTAATATCATATCTCAACTCTGTTCTGTCTTCACCAAATCTTGCAACGTAAGGAAGCTCAATGCTCTAGATTCACTCTGGCTGCTTGTAAATGCAGTACCTGTGAGCTTACTCTCATCAATGGTAATCTTAAAATGGAAGGGAAAGTTGTGTTGTGTTTCACAACATCACCTTTCGACACTGCTGTATCGAGTGCTGCTAGTTATGTCAAGAGAGCCGGCGGTCTCGGTGTGATCGTCGCAAGACATCCAGTCAACATTCTCCGGCCATGTCTAGATGATTTCCCTTGTGTTGTTGTTGACTACGAGCTCGGGACTGACATACTTCTTTACATACGTTCCACTGAGTATGATTGAAAATCTAGACTAAGATTCTTCACCGGTTACAATAGTAAGAAAAAATAAACAACATTTTTGTTGGTTTTGCAGATCTCCTGTTGTAAAGATACAACCTTCAAGAACACTCATTGGACAACCAGTTGGTACAAAGGTTGCAGCTTTCTCATCAAGAGGGCCTAATCCAATATCAGCAGCGATCCTTAAAGTATATGAGAATCTTTACATGTTCTTGTTTAACTTTCAGACTCATCAAATTATCTTTCTTGAGATGTAATCAATCATATGATCATGCAGCCGGATATTGCAGCACCTGGAGTGAGCATATTAGCTGCTACAACCACCAATGCTCCTTTCAACGACAGAGGATTCATTTTCTTGTCAGGAACATCAATGGCGACTCCGACCATTTCAGGAGTTATTGCACTTCTCAAAGCTCTTCACCGTGATTGGTCTCCTGCTGCCTTTAGATCAGCCATTGTCACTACAGGTTCTCTCATCTTCTTCACCTCATCAAATCAAGTTTGATACATTAGAACATACTGATTGTTGATTACTCTTCAGCTTGGAGAACAGATCCATTTGGAGAAGAGATTTTTGCAGAAGGATCACCTCGGAAGCTAGCTGATCCGTTTGACTATGGTGGAGGTCTTGTGAATCCAGAGAAAGCAGCAAAGCCAGGTCTTGTCTATGACATGGGCCTTGAAGACTATGTTCTCTACATGTGCTCTGTTGGTTACAATGAGTCATCAATCTCTCAGCTTGTCGGAAGAAGAACAGTTTGCTCGCATCCTAGACCTTCTGTTCTTGATTTCAACTTGCCTTCCATCACAATCCCAAACCTTAAAGAAGAAGTTACTCTCACAAGAATCCTCACTAACGTTGGACCAATCAACTCGGTCTATAGAGTAGCCGTTGAGCCACCATTGGGAGTTCGCGTGACCGTCACGCCAGAGACTTTAGTATTCGACTCTACAGCCAAAAGGGTCTCTTTTAAAGTGAGGGTCTCGACCAAACACAGAATCAATACAGGTTACTACTTTGGAAGCTTGACTTGGAGCGACTCTGTGCATAATGTCACCATTCCTCTGTCTGTGAGAACTCAGATTCTGCCTTACTTCTACGATGAGAACTGAAAATATGTCAGCAACAGAAAAATTAACCATTCGTGTGAGCTTTGTTTTCTTTTTGTGTAGCTCGTCGTGAGATAGTAGTTATACTGTATACTTGTATGTATCAAACTATTTGACTTTGTAACGTTTTGCTCCTTCAATAAAGCAAGAGCGAGGACAGTTTGTTGATTTCAGAACTGTTTGGTATGAGAGCAAAAACCTTTAAAGGTGCCCGATATAAAGCTGAGTACTTGTGGTTTTGGAGAGATAGACATAACGAGGACAACTCATTACCTTTTTTTTTTGTAATAATTATTTTGGCCTAGACATAAAGCTACGTATACAGTCCCACATCGGAAGAAGCGAGGACAACAAAGTTCGATAAATAGAGGAGAGAACACATACTCAGTTGCCGAGCTTGGGAGACCGAGTGATAGGCTTAAAGGGTAATGGTACATTTTGTCGGTCCAAAGTGGGTGGGCTCGGGCCTAATGGATGCTTTGAGTCGTTACATTAGCCGGGTCCGAGTCTTATCTGACCACATGGGCGCCGTTCCATTGGACCGTTACCCTTTTTGGCTTTTTCTTGTTTTTTTCTACTTGTGTTTACATGACTTGTTGTATATTGAACAATTCAAAGTTGAACTGTGCAATCATCTACAATGATTTGTTATCTTCCGAGAGTTGGAATCATTGAAACAACATGTAACTTTATCTGGATAGTCAACAAACAGTTAAGAAGCAAAGGCCGTCTTGTTCAACATAATTTCATATATATATTTTTTTCATGTAAGAGATGAGAGATCTCTCTTGTTCAAAAGGAATGTGAAGATATCAAATTCAAATATTGTCTAGTCTTGTTGTTGCTTTGTAATCAAATAGGTTTATCTAGTTAGGTCTGCTTTAGTTAGTATACTTGTACGTGACATGAACTTCTCTTGGATAGTTTTCCTCACTTTCTGTGTCATGAATCATGAGGAATAATACTATAGCGCTGTTAGTAATTCTGTAAATTGAATTGTCATTAACAACTTCTGTGATCAGCAAGATTCGTCCGAGCACTTCCATGGATTTGAGAATACTTGAGGACAAGAGAACTAAGTAAAGGCTTATCATTATTCAAAGCTTCAAACATTACATAAAGTTATATAGTTCGATACAAACAACTGTAAAAGTATATAGAGTACATGTACTAAGTTAGTTTTTTTTTTTTCATTTTCTTTCAATTCTCATCGTAGTAGTTCTGAAGAATCTGCGTTCTCACAGACAAAGGAATTGTAACGTTATGAACAGAGTCACTCCAAATCAAGCTTCCAAAGTAGTAACCTGTGTTGATTCTGTGTGTAGTCGAGACTTTGACTTTGAATGAGACCCTTTTTGTTGCAGAGTTGAACACCAGTGTCTCCGGAGTAACGGTCACTTGAACACCCAATGGTGGCTCGACCGCTAATTTATAGACCGAGTCGAGTGGTCCAACGTTAGTGAGGATTCTGGTGAGAGTGACTTCTTCTTTGAGGTTTGGGATGGTGATGGAAGGCAAATTGAAATCAAGAACAGATGGTCTAGGATTCGAACAGACTGTTCCTTTACCAACAAGCTGAGAGATTGATGACTCGGTGTAACCTTGAGAGCACATGTAGAGAACATAGTCTTCAAGGCCCAAGTCATATACAAGACCTGGATTTGCAGCTTTCTCTGGATTCACAAGGCCTCCACCATAGTCAAACGGATCAGCTATCTTCCGAGGTGACCCATTTGCAAAAATCTGTTCTCCAAACGGATCTGTCTTCCAAGCTGCAGAGTTAACAAAGACGCTTATCAAGATCAGTATGTTCTTATGGAGCTAATTCTATTAGTTGTCTTGTAAAATGGTTGAAGAAGATGAATAACCTGTAGTGACAATGGCTGATCTAATGGCAGCAGGAGACCAATCACGGTGTCTAGCTTTGAGAAGTGCAACAACTCCTGAAATAACAGGAGCCGCCATTGATGTTCCTGACAGCATAATGAATCCTCTGTCATTCAAAGTTGAATTGATGCTTGTAGCCGCCAATATACTCACTCCAGGTGCTGCTATATCTGGCTGCAATGAGACAATCATATGATTAAAAACATCTTTGAGCCAAGATAATACAATAGCTTGATTCTGACGTACTTTGAGGATCGCAGGCGCAATTGAATTAGGTCCTCTTGATGAGAAATCTGCAACCTTTGTACCAACCGGATGTCCAACGAGTGTTTTAGAAGGTTCTATCTTCACAACAGGTGATCTGCAAAACCACAATTCCAACAAAATACTGCCCTCAAATATCTTCACAACTCTGTATTGATCATATTTCTCAAAGTTCATATTTTACATACCCATTGGACCGTATGTAGAGAAGTATATTCGTCCCCAGCTCGTAGTCAACAGCAACACAAGGGAAATCATCTAGACATGGTAAGAGAGTGTCGCCTGGATGTCTAGCAATGATTACGCCAAGACCACCAGCTCTCTTCACATAATGCGCAGCGTTTGCTACAGTGCCGTAACGTTTTAATGTTGTGAAGCACAAGACAACTTTCCCGGCCATTGTAACATTAGAGTTGATGAAAAGACGCTCACAGGTACTGCAATACAAGAACCAGATTTAAGTTTAAAGGATTGATGTCCTCTGTCTAGAAAGATTTGGTGAGCACTGAGTATTACCCTGAAAAGCTTTCGTTGGTGTTCCCTGGATTCTCTGGGTAAACTAAGCTAGTGAAGCCAAGTTCTGGACCTGCGTACATTGCTTGACCCTGAAATACACAAACAAGACACAGATAAGCAAACATTATGTTGTGAAAGTGAAAATATCGAATCTGAGTATGAACAATATCTTGTTGTTACCAATATCACTTTGTTGTTCCCAAGTATAATAGGTGTGGGAAAAGACCGGTCCAAAGTAGTTGCAGCCACAGTAAAAATCCAAGGAGCTATGTTTCCCACAGTCTGAGGCGCTGGGCCAGCGTTACCACCTGAACAAACCACTGTGATATCCTTTAAAACGGCATGGAATGCTCCTGTAGCCATCCCATCGCGAACGTCGGTTTCCGGGTAGAAAGGAACTCGATAGCCAATAGACAGAGACAGAACATCAACACCATCATGTATAGCCTCGTCCATAGCTTTCAAGAGGTCAGCAGATGAACAAGTGTTTATATCTTCGTCATCCAGATACCAACAAGCCTTGTACATTGCTATACGAGCACGAGGTGCACCACCTCTCACAGTCCCTCCGGCTAGTCCCTTGTAGCTTATGCTGGGCAAGACCGAACCACCTGCTATGGTGGCGACATGTGTGCCATGACCATCATAGTCTCTAGGGGAAATAAAGTCGAGTGATTCTGTTGCGTTGAAGCTTTCGTTCTCCGCAAGAAAGGCACTGATGAAGTACTTTGCTCCTATGAGCTTTTTGTTGCAGTGAGAGGAGTTGAACATCTCTCCTGATTCACAGCCTCCTTTCCAGTGGCTCGGCACAGGACCAATCCCATTGTCATTGAAGACTTCAGATTCTGGCCAAACTCCTGCAACCATTGAAAATGATATATTGATTGAGACGCTAAGCCAGAGAAATCAAAAGCAACAGGAGAATTAAGATCAATCTAAACTGTAGCGAGACAAATATGTACAAATTTATACACTCATACCTGTATCGACAACGCCAATGATAACGTCTTCACCCATATTAGTGTCATTTAAAAGATTTTTCGGATTGGCGGCAGAAAGGCCTAAGTAATCCCAAGTCCTAGTTGTTGCTAGTTCGTAGAACCTATCCGGCGTGACATGAACAACTTCAGGTAAATCTGTTGACACAGAGCATCAGCAATGAAAAAAAACCAGATTCGCCTGTTGGGACTTGGGACAATTAAGATGTCTGTTTTCTAAAAAGCCAAGAAAATATGAGACTTGAGAAAACGTACCTGCCAACTTCTTGGCTTGGGACTTGGTAAGCTTGGCTGCGAAACCAGAGAAGCCATGTCGGTAACTGTGCACCATTGAATCATGAGCATCCTCTTTGCTGTAACATGAAACAAACAAAAGCAAGAAACTGAGTAACGGTTTGAGACGTTTATATATACTTGAGAAAGAGAAACTATAATAACATAGATACCTTCCAAGAAGTGACCATAACATTCGATGATGAGATTCCGTCAAAACCTCAGGATCATCGTGCTGCTTCTCCCCCAAATACACTATATGAACCTATTATTGATTATCACAACCCAACTGTGTTAGTGACTGTTTATGTTTCTAAACCTTTGTTAAAAAGAACTTAACTGTCGAGTACCTTGCTCTGAGCACTGGCTCGTGCCACGAAACTGCTCTGCCCAATGAGAATTATTAGTACCACAAGAATTGATGTCCTGTAGATCCTCATTTCAAGCAGAAAAGGGAGCCACAAAGAGAGAGATTTAATATACTTGGAGACTAATATCGAGGAACCATAAAACATTTATATACATGTCTACTCAAGAAGAGTTTGACCAAGAATGTTTCCATTTCTTGGAACTGTTCTTACTTTTGCTTGTTTGAATCTCTTAATGTACATCATAACTACAAAGCGCAGACACACAAATTATAAAGTATATATTAAAATGTGTGGCTTAGTCAACTAAAGTATAGTTTATGGAGCAACCAACAGGGCAAATGAACAAACTTCAACAAGCAAATGACGGAGCAAACACATGAGTGAACAGGTCAATTGAGAGTAAACCGGTTGAATTGGCTCACCTTTAACCGGAAACTCAGGTGTCCATGCTCAGTCTTGTGGATGCTCTTGAGGTGTAAGCAAGCATGCGATTTTGACAACAGGAAACACGTTATTGATAAATTGCTGATTCCTTAGTTGGTTAACGATTTGACTGGCGATGAAGAAGTCGATGTGCGTTACCCTAACTGATAGATTTGGTTTGAAGATGAGATCAACGTAAGATTTATACATCGTTTGGGTCTTCTCCATCTTTTAACCAACGTTTGGGTAACGCACATCGCCAATTTCACCAACAATCAAATCAGAGATACACTTTCCCCCATTCCCTCCTCCAATATTGCCGATAAACCCTAAAACCTCTCCATCAACAAAGCACCTGAAATTTCCTAGACGTTTCTAACTGCAACATGATACGGAACAGAAACTGATAATTAAACTTCAGGTCCATCGATTTTGCTGAGAGAGTCTTATATAAGAGCTTCGAAATTCTCTTGAAAAATGCAGAAAAGAAGAATCAAGAGAAACTGAGACTGATACTAAATTTTAATCGGAAACGAGGGAGAATCAGGGACAAACGCTTAACGGGCTTGGGCCGTCCCAAATGTCAAAATGGGCTTTGGTTAGCAACATACATAACTTTTCATCCAAGCAAAGTCTCTCTCTCTCACATACGCTTTGCATCAGCTTAATCACCTCTTCCTGCCACGTCAGCTGTTTCCGGCTTCTATCGTCGTCTTGTTCCCCGAAACAAAGCTTCCTTTTTCACAAAGCAGGAGAAGAGCCAACTCCAACAATCCGTATGTGTTGCGCCTCTGTGATTCTCGTCTTCTTTCGAGTCAAATTCTTCTTCATCGTCTTCCAAGGGTTCGGACTCATTGCTCATTTGCAAGTATGCTTGGCTAAAGATCCGGGCACCACATTCAAGGATGTCAAGGTTTTCGTATTTGCTGCTGAATTCGAACACTACCTCACTGCTAACTTTAGCGCGGTGAAAATATTGCAAGCGAGATTTACATATCAACAGATGCTCCGTTCGACATTTGGAGATATTTTGTAGATTGAACTCCTCCTCCGTGGGGTCTAAGTGGCCGTTGACAATGCGACGGCACATAACTGGTTGTGTAGAAGAGCAAGTATTTTTCTTGTTATTAGGTGAAACCACGAGGCAAACCTTAAATGTAAAGAGCAGAGGCCTATCAAAATCGAGACGTATGGTCAAGGAATTTCCCACGGCTCTGTGATCAAACATCGAAGGCACTTCTCTTCCGGGTAACGAAACGGTCGTTGGATAATCGATCGTTGGATCATCGCTCTTTGTGTTTGTTGGTCCAGTTTGAAGCAGTTGGTGAAACAGAGCACCGCACTTGGAGTGCTGAAAGGGGAAAACACCGTCTCTAGTGATTCACAATCGTTTGCATATAGAACTGAGAGCGAACGGGGCAGCTCTGGCAATGATTCTAGTCTTTTGCAGCCAGATACATTCAGGTCATGTAGCCTATGAAGATCTTTGATGGAATCTGGAATCATTTCAATATCAGACTCCATTAGGCATAGCGTCGTATACTTGTGGGGAGATGTGTTAACCCCTTGAGCTTTCCATTACATTCTAGGTTGAGAGACAAAAGACGAGAGCAGAGCCTTGTTGATGCAGGTAGATCATCGACCGCTGTTTTTGATATACTTAGTGTTGTGATGTGCGTTGATATAACTGGAAAATTTCTCAAAGCTGAGCATCCAAACATTTCGACATGGTCGAGTGAAGCCAAGTTCAGGTTAGCTGGAATGACTTGTAGGTTTATGCAGTTCACCACCGTCAACTTTTGTAGTTTATCAAGACGTGAGAATGAGGATGGAATCTCTACCAAACTCTTGCACAAACTCAGATCCAATGTCTCCAGATTTGTGGCATTTGTAGGATCCGGGAGTTCCTTGAGCTGGCAGGACCATGCCAAATCAATCTCCTTGAGACTTGTAAGCGGCTGAATGTAAAAATCACACAATATAATAACTAAGAGATTAAGAGAAATAGAGAATGTATAATATATATATACCACAAAGCTACGTACTCCTTGCCATACAAAGCTATTTATATATGAAATACAAGACCAACCAACCTGGGCTCCTTGCCAGAGGTACTCGATCAGGCTATACTTCATATCAAGTTTGACCAGATATTCCGGATGAAATGTAGGAGGAAGACAATTGCTTGGATAGGCCTCCCATTGTAGTAACCTTAGACGACTCGGAAACTCCATCTCCTCAGGTATATGCATGCTATAATTCCTATCATATCTTCTTTTGTAAACTTTGAGGAATCGGAGGTTGTGCATTTTTTTTAAGGCTTTCTTGCCTATAGATACTTCATCTATTCTTGATATATCGAATGATATACCGGACACAGCTCTAGTACCCTAAACCAATATTAAATTGTTAGTCTTATGTTTACCAAATGATGAACTAGTTTACACTATACAATAATGAACGAATAATGTTCAAGAACATCACAAGTCTCTGGAGCATCTACAAAGAATTTATCAAATTAGAGAGAGAAAAACTTACTTTATCATCTTCAAGGACATCACATATCTCTTGAGCGTCAGTTAAGATCGTACGTTTCCAAGGCTCTTGTCTATCAATGGCTTGTCTACCCACTTGTTGCAGTAATTTGTGCATCACTATTTTTCCTTTTGGATACATGTAAATGAGAGATCTGTTAACTAGGATATTCAACCCGTGTTTGATATCCAAGTTGTTATGGTCATCGAACATGGCTTTCACAATATCACCATCTTCACCGTTGAAGAAGACTGCAATATGGAGAAAGAGAGACTGCTCATTCTCATGTAAACTCTCATAACCGACTCTTAGCACTTGCTCGATATCTCGATGGTCAAGAATAGTTTCTAGCCTCCGTATTACTTCTTCCCACTCCTCCTCGCCGTTCTTCCCACGCAAAGATGAACCCACCACACGGAGACCCAATGGAAGGTTACCACAAAGGTACGTTACTCTTCTAGCAAGCTCTTCAAAACCATGCTACATAGAGCTTCTCCTAAAAGCATAAGATCTTAACAGCTTCTTCATCAGATGGAAACCCCACATGGTAGGTGTTCTTGATACCATGTTGCCGCAAAATATCTTTGTTTTCTGTGGTTACTACAATCCTACTTCCAGGACCAAACCATGTAGTTTCATCAGCCAACGCCTCTAGTTGCTTTATACTATTCACATCATCAAGAATGATGAGAACTCTTTGGTCACGTAGGTTTTGTTTCACTGCACCTAAATGGGATATCCTCAAACCATTTTGGTTCAAAACCTTTGAAAGAAACTCTTCTTGTAAACGCAGCTGCATGCCATAGTCGTCAAAACCACCATGATAGCTTTCCCTAAGGTTGTCCACAAAACATGTAAGCTGAAACTTGTCCGAGAGTAGGCTTTACAAGGCTCTGGCAATGGCAGTCTTACCAATCCCTGCTGGACCAGAGATTGCAACCATCTTAACTCCATCACAATCTAAATCTAGCAACGACTCCATTTCTCTCAAATGAGCCTCAAGTCCCACCATGCCATCAAAATCCCTAGACGGTGTCGCATTCAGTTTCCTTAAAACATCTTTTGCAATCTTCTCAATCATTGCCGCTTCATTATTCCTAACAAAAAGAGAGACAAAAACAAAACAAAAGCACCGTTTACATCAATTAGTCACAGAAATAACATTTCTTTATTCCCATCATATTCAGTATAGTGATTTGTATTTCTAGTATTCACTCAACAAAAACATTCCCTTAAGCTTTTAGATTAATTAAAAGACATACCATATTAAGAAGTCTTCTCCAGCAATGTTGGCCACATCGTGCAAAGCTTTGCTCCACTTCTGTCTTTTCTTGCCCGTCTTACGTGCACAGGTTTCATTGAAAGCGATCCCGAAATCCCCGGTCTGATCCCGTACATAGGATGGCTCCACTCCATAGAAGATGGTTATCACTATTTGTCCCATGGTTTCCTTGCACTTCATTATCTTCACCAATTCATCCAAACACCAGCCTGAAGAAGCATATCTCCTGGAGAGAATCACGATCGAGATCCTCGATTCTCTTATGGCTTCGGTGAGTGAAGGGGGGATCGTTGCGCTTCTCTCAATCTCTTGATCATCAAACATAGTGATCCCGTAGCGTTTGAATTGGTCGCGCATGTGACTGAGAAGTGTTTTACGGACGTCAGGCCCGTGGAAGCTTGATAAGACATTGAATTTGTAGTTGAGAGAGGGAACATAGGAATGAGAAGCCATGAGAGACATGCTCCGTCTGAGATGGAGAGAAGTGGGTAATGAGAAGTTGAAGATAAGAAAAACATGTGTTAATGCATGTGTTTCTGAAAAGCTAAATAAAATAAAATAAAATAAATAAATAGTTCCTTCTCTAACTATTCAAACACGTTACAAAGTCAAAAAGAAAATAATGCATGAAGAGACAAAAGACATTATTGAGTGTTCCTGTTTCAGAATTTGTTCTGCTTCCTATATAGTAGTATTATATTCGCTTAAATTCTAAGCACTTGTACATAAAGACAGAAAAGAGAAGACCCTGACTTTACTGCCATTTCACACTCGAAAGATTTAAGTTTTTTCACATTCAATCATAAGAGATGTAAGAAGGATGTTACCACGAGAGCATGCGCAGGCTGCTTACAGAAACCATAAACTCGACTAGTCGTCGTCTTTAAAACTTTCAACGTTTCACTCAACAATCCGTACTCTGTAGACTATTGACTACTATTAATGAAAAGTCAAAATGCAATCAGAGTATACTAGAATGTGCGTATGAATGGTATGCTTAAGTATTGCCTTATTATCCTTTGAAGATTGTGAATGCTTAATATTAAATTTAACATTGTAAGTTGTAACCAAGGGTTCACAAAAAGAAAACGCATCTTACTTGAGACGCAAGAAACCTAATATCCTTGTTGACGTACATGATTTCGTAAGAAATTGTAAAAGCTTGTGCGTTGGTCACATACACAGCTAGAGAAGGAGAAGAGGAGGCCATGTAACATCTCTCCAAAAGGCTATTCATCAACGGCCGGAGGCTAATTCTCAAATGGGGAAGACCTCACATGTCCCCATGTGCGATGTTCATTAACATGACATGAGTATGATCTTCTTCAGTGTGAAACATTTCAGAAAACGAGATAGCTTCCTTTCTTGGCATAAATTTGTATAGATGATTCAAGAACTCACTGAATTTCTTTGGCTTCAAGAAAGAAAATGCACAAGTTTGAGGCTTTCTTGTTGATTCTTTGTAAAAAAAAAAAAAAAAAAAAAAAAAAAATGCACAACTTTGATCATATGAAGAAAAGGAGATGAGCAATGTTCCAAACGCAGACTTTACGAAGAGCGAGCAAACATTGCAATATAATTTAAGGTTTCTAGCTTTAAGATTAGTTCTAATTATTGTATCATCATAATTTTATAACATCGATAGGATTATTAGCTAAACTATCAAAAAATAAGATGAAAGTAAAATAAAAAACGACATCGTTATTTTAAAAAATAATTTAAACTCTATTTTGTGGTAGGAGGATTTGCGCCGGCAATTCTTGAACATTGTTCTTTTAACATAGGAGGAAATAACGGATTGAATGAAACTTGAGGCATGCAATTGGCTTCAGCTTCCAAAAATGCTTTGCAACAAGCAGGACCTATGTTACCAAACTTTCCAGTGAATATGGATTGAGAAATCTCTGCAATGCATCCTGGAATATCCATCAATGTTGACCAACATTTGGTTAAGTCGGGTAATCCTGGCATACCAAGAGTTGGTTGGAATGGAAATAGAAAAAGAAATGGAGCAGGAAATTGTGGTAGCTGAGCATTTACGGACACTACAACGCATATGGCCACCATAAGGGAAAACACATTCTTTATAGACATGATGAGATATTGCACAAGAAAGAAAGATGGATCTTTTGAAATAGAAGTCTTTATCGAGTTTGTTTTTGATTGATGAAAAAATAGTTTTCAGTCGTTGTTTATTTATATGGGAAGAAATGAAGTTACCATATCAATTACCTTGAAGAAACGTATTTGGGTTTTTATTACGAATTTAGTAAAGCCGTTTTCAAATTTGAAACACAGCTCCAGGAGACATGAAATAAAATATAACTGGCAGCCTTTAACCAAAATGATCTGACCACTTTATACTCGTTCGGTTTTGATTTTCTTTAATTCGGGTTTGTTCAGTTTTCTCTCTTTTGTAAGTTAGACCGCACTATCTTGAATTCGGACAAAAGCCCCATGTACACCTCAGATCATCTACATCATCGTCTCCTCCAACGGTCATTATTTTCTGTCTCCATGATTTCTATTAATCACAAGATTCTTTCGGAAGTCAGTTTTCAGTAGTTAGCTATTGAAACTCAAAGAGTGTAAAATAAAAAAGGTTAAACGGTCATTACATTTCGTTTTAACCATTGAGCAGTTTGTTCTTAGATCAAACCTGTTGATAGTGCGATCTCTCATGATAGCGAAATTGTAGCTACATCAAACAAAATATGGGATTTGATCAAACTTTACACAAGTTCAATAGTTAGATACACACTACTAGTAAACAGCATAGTTACAAGGTCACAAGTCAAAACCAGTTAAAAAGAAGAAAGGCAAGCTCAAAATCAGTTTATTTTTTTCAATTCTCATCGTAGTAGTCCTGCAGAATCTGAGTTCTCACAGACAAAGGAATTGTAACGTTATGAACAGAGTCACTCCATGTCAAGCTTCCAAAGTAGTAACCTGTGTTGATTTTGTGTGTGGTCGAGACTTTGACTTTGAACGAGACCCTTTTGGTCGTTGAGTTGAACACTAACGTCTCTGGCGCTACGGTGACTTGAACGCCAAACGGAGGCTCGACCACTACTTTGTAGACCGAGTTGACTGGTCCAACATTAGTGAGGATCCTGGTGAGAGTGACTTCTTCTTTGAGGTTTGGGATTGTGATTGAAGGCAAGTTGAAATCAAGAACAGATGGTCTAGGATTCGAACAGACTGTTCCTTTACCAACAAGCTGAGAGATTGATGACTCGGTGTAACCTTGAGAGCACATGTAGAGAACATAGTCTTCAAGGCCCAAGTCATAGACAAGACCTGGATTTGAAGCTTTCTCTGGATTCACAAGGCCTCCACCATAGTCAAACGGATCAGCTAGCTTCCGAGGTGATCCATTTGCAAATATCTGTTGTCCAAACGGATCTGTTCTCCAAGCTGCAGAGGTAATTAAAAGACACTTATCAACATTGATCTTCTTCTTGTTTTGTCTCATTTTTTAACAAAACTGGGTGAAGAAGATAAAGAACCTGTAGTGACAATGGCTGATCGAATGGCAGCAGGAGACCAATCACGGTGTTTAGCTTTGAGAAGTGCAACAACTCCTGAAATCACAGGAGCCGCCATCGATGTTCCTGACAGCATAATGAAACCTCGGTCGTTGAAAGTTCTATTGGTGGCTGTAGCTGCCAATATACTCACTCCCGGAGCTGCTATATCAGGCTGCATTCATATGATTGATGAAATCTGAGGCAAAGATAATTTGATAGAGTCTGAAATTAAAAAAGAACATGTAAAGATTCTCATATACTTTGAGGATCGCAGCTGCAACAGAATTGGGACCTCTTGATGAGAAACTTGCCACCTTTGTACCAACTGGTTGTCCAACGAGTGTTTTAGAAGGTTGTATCTTCACAACAGGTGCTCTGCAAAACAAACAAGTGCGGTGAAACATAGTCTCATATATTAAGTACATGTAAGTGATGATGATATAGTTTTCATACCCACTGGAACGAATGTAGAGAAGTATATTGGTCCCAAGCTCATAGTCCACAGTAATACAAGGGAAATCATCTAGACATGGTCGAACAAAGCTTGGATGCCTTGCAATGATTACGCCAAGACCACCAGCTCTCTTCACATAACGTGCAGCATTCGACACAGAGCTACTTAAAAGTGATGTAGTGAAACACAACACGACTTTCCCCTCCATTGTTCTGTTAGAGTTGTAGAGAAGAAGTTCACAGGTACTGCATTACAAGAAACCAGAATGATATCAGAGAATTGATTTTCTTCATATTGCAAGACTTAACTAAGATTCTAGAAGTTTAACATTACCCATAAAAACTTTCGTTGCTGTTCCCTGGATTCTCTGGGTAAACCAAGCTAGTGAAACCAACTTCTGGACCTGTGTACAATGCTTGACCCTGCAATATAGTAGCCGAGATTACACAATAAGACTCAAATGTATAAAACATTTGCAGAGTTAATATCTTGTTGAGAAGACAATTAATATCTTGTTGTTACCAATATCACTTTATTGTTCCCAAGTGTAATAGGAGTGGGAAATGACCGGTCTAGAGTAGTTGCAGCCACAGTCAAAATCCAAGGAGCCGTGTTTGACACGGTCTGAGCCTCTGGGCCAGCGTTACCACCTGAGCAAACTACTGTAATACCCTTCAAGACTGCATGGAACGCCCCAGTAGCTATTCCATTGCGGAAATCAGTTTCAGGGTATATAGGAACGTTAGATCCTAGAGAGAGAGACAGAACGTCAACACCATCATGTATAGCCTCGTCCATAGCTTTCAAGACATCAGCAGACGAACAAGTATTTATCTCTAGATCATCATGATACCAACAAGCCTTGTACATTGCTATACGAGCACGAGGGGCACCACCTCTCACAGTCCCTCCGGCTAGGCCCTTGTAGCTTATGCTGGGGAAGACCGAACCACTTGCTATGGTGGCGACGTGCGTGCCATGACCATCATAGTCTCTAGGGGAAATGAAGTCGAGTGATGCTGTTGCGTTGAAGCTTTCGTACTTCGCAAGAAAAGCACTGATGAAGTATTTGGCTCCTATGAGTTTTTTGTTGCAGTGAGAGGAGTTGAACATCTCTCCTGATTCACAGTCTCCTTTCCAATGGCTCGGCACAGGACCCATCCCATTGTCGTTAAAAACTTGAGATTCTGGCCAAACTCCTGCAACCACTCAAAATATCTCAGTCATAGATTAAGGCAAATGAATCACAAGTAACAGGAGACTCATGAGCAGAGTGAGAAACGTATGTAGGAGTACAAATTTATACACTCATACCTGTGTCGACAACGCCGATTATAACTTCTTCACCCATATTAGTGACATTTAGAAGATTTTTCGGATTGGCGGCAGAAAGGCCTAAGTAGTCCCAAGTCCGAGTTGTTGCTAGTTCGTAGAAACTATCAGGCGTGACATGAACAACTTCAGGTAATTCTGTTTCCATAGATCATAAGCAATGAAAAAAAAAATCAGATGAGTTTGATGAGATAAATGAAGATGTCATCTAAGTATATGCCATTGGTGCCAAGAGAATATGAGACTTAAGTCAACTATGCACCTGCCAACTTCTTGGCTTGAGAATTGGTAAGCTTGGCTGCAAAACCTGAGAAGCCATGTCGGTAACTATGCACCATTGAATCATGAGCATCCTCTTTACTGTAACAAGGAACAAACAAAAGCAAGAAAATCTGAGTAACAGTTTAAGACATTAGTATACTTGAGAAAGAGAAACTATTATAACATACCTTCCAAGAAGTGACCATAACAATCGATGATGAGATTCCGTGACAAACTCAGGATCATCATGCTGCTTCTCACCCAAATACACTACATAAACCTATTATTGATTATCACAGCATAAACCAACTTTGTTGTTAGTGAATTGGTTTCTCTTCACTGGTAAAAGAAAAAAGAATAAACTTTTGATAATGTTTTAGTACCTTGCTCCTCTCACTCTCAGCCCCTACTCGTGCCAGAAAACTGCTTTGCCCATTGAGAATCGTTACCAAGATTAGTACCACAAGAATAGACGTTCTGTAATTTCTCATTTCAAGCAGAAAAAGGAGTCCCATTTTCAAATCTCAAGCCACAAAGAGAGAAAAATGTATAATATACTGGGAGACTAATGTTGAGGATGCTTAGGCCTTTATATAGACATCTACTCAAGAAGAGTTTTGACCAAGAATGTTTCCATTTCTTGGAATCGTTCTAACTTTTGCTTGCTCCTACGTTTTCATTTCATCATAGTCAGAAATATAATGCTTTAGTTAAATCCCACACACAAATCTAAAGAATATATCAATAGCTGAGTGGCTACTTAGTCAACTAAAGTCTAGTTTATTGCAGGATAGAACAACCAAGAAGGCAATAAAAGAGATTGATGACAAACATCTTACTTGGTATATGCAGCAAACCGGTTTGGTTAACTCTCCTAAACCGTAAACTCAGGTGAAACTAAAGCATACTGGAATAAGTATGCGTTTTTGACCAAAGAAACTCAGATTCTCTTGCTTTGCTTTGTATGCTCATGCTCCATGCTGATTCCGTCCATAGAAATAAGAAAAAGTCTCTGTTGTTGGTCAAAGTTGATTCATTCCACGACGCTCTCTGCAACAAGGTTTGCCAAATTGTGTAAACTCTTATCATTACACAGATGAATGTTAGATACACTATGATGAATCCAAAATCGAAGACATGAAAAAATAGAATTTTTTTTTTTTTTTGAGAAATGGAGGTTAAAATGGTGTACCGGAAAAAAAGTAAGCAAATTTTCCGGGTCGATTCATCTCGGCGCAAAACCGCCACAGCGACGGCAAATGAGAGCTGTTTATAAGAACCCTCCGATTACTACGGGACTTGCATGAAATCATCGTGGTAACGAAAAAAATCATCAGGAAATTAAATTCGACTTACAGAGTCTGAGAGAATCCCAGAAAAGAAAGAATAAAAAAAACTGAAATCGATTGGTGGTGACCGGTGAGGAATGTTTGTTACATAGAGAAGATGACCGGAAAAGAAGTGTGAGAGTGACAACGCTTATTGGGCCTTGGGCGGTCAAAAAGGTTAAATGGGCTTTTTTGAACGCATAACATATTTGGAAATTTAATGTAGAAACTCTTCAAATTGGGACGAATCCGAATTTTTAATTTGAGTTAGGGACTAAAATTGTAAATAAATCATGTTAGAATTCGAACGTTAGATTTAGATCAAGAAAAGGAAACTTTATAACGAAGCAAAAACCTAAAATACCACTTGAAAAACCACAACAACGAAACAAGTCCTCTAATCAAAGTGGTGATTAAAATTCAAAACCCTAAGCTATATATACTGCTCAGAGGCATTTTCTTTGTCACTTTCCTTCTCATTAGTCATTCCCAATTTCTCTCTGATTTCTTTCTTTCTCTCTCTAAGTTCTTTGCTAAGCTTTTGGTTCCGATCATGTATTACGACGAACATCGAGCCGTTGCGGAGGAAGAGATTACATCGCACAATTTCTGCTGTTTGGTTGATGCCGCCGTGATGCTGTACGACGAAGAAAAGGAAGAAAGAGACAAGAGGATTTTCCAACTAATCCTGAGAAAACCAAGAACTCCGGTGAAGAAATCTGTTCCTAGAAGAACAAACCCACTTCAATTGCCTTCTTCATCACGAAACCCACTTCAAAGGCCTTCTTCTTCTTCATCGCTTCTATTCGACCTTAACAAGATCCCGCCTGATGATTCCGAGATGAGCCCTAACGCTTTTCCATCTTCTCTCGGCGTTAACATGATCGCGGCCGCTGATGACTCCGAGATGAAAAACCCACAAAACCCTAGTTGTTCTTCATCATCGTCTCTGAGGAATTACATGATAGTAGCTGAGCCGAACGATTCGGAGATGAGGATCCCGCGAAACCCTAATTACCAACCGTCTCTGTCTTCTTGCATAACAGAGAAGCCAAACCGCAAGAGACGTGCCGTGCAAGGTAATGGTGGTAAATCCAAGAAACCAAAGGTTGATGATGCGTATTCATGGATAGGGAAAAAGACTCCTGAGTCGCTGATCCAGTTGATGAGAGACACGAGCGAATCTGTAACTAAATGGGGAGCGAGAAGTGGCTTGAAGCTGATTTTTCAGAGGAAACTGTTCAAAACAGATGTGAACCCTAGTGAGAGCCGTCTCTCGATGCCTTACAACGAACTCATCTGTAAGGACTTCTTGACACTTGCGGAGCTGAGAATCATAAGAGAAGACATCAACAATCCTAAGATCAAGAGAGGAGTTGGAGCGATTCTCGTGGACGAAAAGAATGTCAAACATGGTGTGATGTTGAAGAGATGGGAGACGAAGAATGGAAGCTGGAACTATGCTTTGACTTGTGGCTGGAACGATGTCGTAGAGGCTAATGGACTGAAACTGGACGACAACATCAGTATCTGGTGTTTCAGGTGGGGAGGACTCCTCTGTTTTGCCCTTGTTACTCGTCCTCCAATGGAGTAGCTCTTCCCTTTGCTCTCTGTCTCTGACACGTTTATTCTGTCTATTGAGACTATAACTTGATTGATCTGTGCGCACAGCTAATCTCTAATTTCAGGCGGTTATGGAGGTTTTTTGGTCTAGGAACTTGTTTAAATTGTGATTAACTGATTACCAAGATTTCAGTTTTCTCTCTTCTATTATTAGTAACTTGTCCTTTTTCATTGTTTCGGATTTGTGTTGTACCGTATGAATGAAGTTAACATTTTTGACATGAATCTGGTTTCTTGTTTGGCCTACTTTACTTACTGCAGTGATTTCTATCTTTGATCCGTTGTGTAATATTTTCTTCTTAAATAGAGTATAAATACAAGCTCAAAAAGAGTTAAGATACAAAAAAAAATCCAATATCAAAAGTTAATTTTGTTTGTTCAATTCTCATCGTAGTAATTCTGCAGAATTTGCGATCTCACAGACAAAGGAATGGTTACATGATGCACAGAGTCACTCCAAGTCAAGCTTCCAAAGTTAAAACCAGTGTTGATTTTGTGTGTGGTCGAGACTCTCACTTTAAAAGAGACTCTTTTGTTCTTAGAGTTGAATACTAACTTCTTTGGCGTCACGGTCACTTGAACACCCAATGGTGGCTCGACCGCTACTCTATAGACCGAGTTGAGTGGTCCGACATTAGTGAGGGTTCTTGTGAGAGTGACTTCTTCGTTGAGGTTTGGGATTGTAATAGAAGGCAAGTTAAAATCAAGAACAGATGGTCTAAGATTCGAGCAGAGTGTTGTTTTTCCAACAAGCCGAGAGATTGATGACTCGTTGTAACCAACAGAGCACATGTAGAGAACATAGTCTTCAAGGCCCAAGTCATAGACAAGACCCGGATTTGCTGCTTTCTCTGGATTCACAAGGCCTCCACCATAGTCAAACGGATCAGCTAGCTTCCGAGGTGATCCTTCTGCAAAAATCTGCTCTCCAAATGGATCTGTTCTCCAAGCTGCAGAAGATGCTTATCAAGATCAGTATGTTCCTTTTCTGTGTTGTTTAAATCTGATGAAGAAGATAAAAAACCTGTAGTGACAATGGCTGATCTAATGGCAGCAGGAGACCAATCACGGTGTAGAGCTTTGAGAAGTGCAACAACTCCTGAAATAACAGGAGCTGCCATTGATGTTCCTGACAGCATAACGAATCCTCGATCATTGGAAGTGGAATTGGTGGTGGTAGCTGCCAATATACTCACTCCTGGTGCTGCTATATCAGGCTGCATTCATATAATTGATATCATCTGAGGCAAGATAATTTGATGAGTCTAAAAAGAAAAAACAACAAGCAAAAGGAATCTGTACTTTTAGGATCGCAGCTTCAATCGAATTTGGTCCTCTTGATGAGAAAGTTGCAACCTTTGTACCAACTGGTTGTCCTACAATTGTTCTAGAAGGTTGAATCTTCACAACCGGTGATCTGCTAACAAAAAGTCCAGCAAAACCAAATATCACTACTTTTCTTAAAGTTCTAAATGATGAAGAATCTTAAGTCATCGATTTTTCATACCCACTGGACCGTATGTAGAGTAGTATCTTGGTCCCGAGCTCGTAATCAACAGCAACACAGGGGAAATCATCTAGACATGGTCGGAGAGTGTGGCCTGGATGTCTTGCTATGATTACGCCGAGACCACCAGCTTCCTTCACTGAACTTGCTGCCTTTGATACAGAAGCACTGAAAGGTGATGATGTGAAACACAACACGACTTTCCCCGCCATTGTAAGGTTATAATTCGAGGAAAGCTCCTCACAAGTACTGCATTATAAGAATCACGGTGATGTCAAAGAGTTGATCTTCTTGTCATTGCAAGATTTGACTGAACATAGTTCCTTCTAGGAAATCAGAAATTTAACATTACCCGGAAAAGGTTCCATCGCTATTCGCTGGTTTCTCTGGGTAAAACAAGCTAGTGAAGCCAAGTTCTGGACCTGTGTACATTGCTTGACCCTGCAATATAGTGACCAAAATCATAATAAAGACTCAAATATTTAAAACATTTGCAGAGTAAACGTTTTGAAAACATATATATTCAGTGTTACCAATATCACTTTATTGTTCCCAAGTGTCAAAGGAGTGGCAAATGACCGGTCCAGAGTAGTTGCAGCCACAGTAACAATCCAAGGAGCCGTGTTTGTCACGGTGTGAGCCTCAGGGCCAGAGTTACCACCAGCACAAACAACTGTGATACCCTTTAACACTGCATGGAACGCTCCAGTACTAATCCCGTCTCGACTATCAGTTTCACCATAAAGAGGAACCTCAGAGCCTAGGGAGAGAGACAGAACATCAACACCATCATGTATAGCCTCGTCCATAGCTTTCAAAATGTCAGCAGATGAACAAGTCGTCATTTCTAAATCATCCAGATACCAACAACCCTTGTACATTGCGATACGAGCACGTGGTGCACCACCACTCACAGTCCCTCCAGCTAGGCCCTTGTAGCTTGTATCGGGCACGTAGGAACCACCGGCGATGGAGGCAACATGCGTCCCATGACCATTAAGATCTCTAGGGGAAATGAAATCAAGTGTCTCTTTGGAGTTGAAGCTTTCGTTCTCTGCTAAAAAACCACTAATGAAGTACTTTGCTCCTATGAGCTTTTTGTTGCAGTGAGAGGAATTGAAATCCTCTCCTGATTCACAGCCTCCTTTCCAGTGGTTTGGCACAGGACTAAGCCCATTGTCATTGAATACTTCAGATTCAGGCCATACTCCTTGCAACAACAGAAACCGTTTTAGTGATTAGTGGCGCTACGAAGAGGAATAAAAAGCAACATGAGACTTGAAGTTCTACAATGTACAGATTAGCACTCATACCTGTGTCAATGATGCCGATGATCATTTGTTCGCCCATATTTGCTTCATTGAGAAGATTGTTTGGATTAGTTGCAGAAAGGCCTAAGTAGTCCCAAGTCCTAGTTGTTTTCAGCTTGTAGAAACTATCCGGTACGACATGAACAACTTCAGGTAAATCTGTCACCAAAGAGCATTAGCAATGAAAGTCAAAAAAAAAAAAAAAAGAAAATCAGATTTTCTTGATGAGACAACTTCTGAGATGCCAAGAGAATGTGAGAATAATAACTGAGTACCTGCCAACTTCTTGGCTTGGGACTTGGTGAGCTTGGCGGCGAAACCTGAGAAGCCATGTCGGTAACTGTACACCATTGAATCATGAGCATCCTCTTTACTGTAACATGGAAACAAAACGCAAGAAAATTCTGAGTAACATTTTTTGAGACATTGTTATAACTTGAGAAAGAGAAACTATACTAACATACATACCTTCCAAGAAGTGACCACAACATCTGATGATGAGATTCCGAGACAAACTTAGGATCATCATGCTGCTTCTCTCCCAAATACACTATATGAACCTATTGAATATCACAACGGAACCAACCAACTATGTTAGTCAATGTTTTATGTTGTCTGATAAAGAGAAATACATTCTGAAAATCTCTGTAGTACCTTGCTTACATCACCGGCTCGTGCCACGAAAATGCTCTGCTCATTGAGAAATATTACCAAACTTAGTACCAACAAAATTGATGATCTATAATTCGTCATTCCAAGAAGAGAGTCAAAGAGAGAGATGTAATTCTAATGAGAAAGAATAATCATTTACATAAATGTCTCATAAAAGACGTGTGTGAAGCCAAGATAGTAGTTTCCAATCTTTTTGAATTGTTCCTAAGTTTCATTATTGCCAGACTTTACAAAATTTAATAACTAAAGACAAGTAGAATCTACAGAATATAACAAGCTGTGTTTTTTTCGTCATAGTCTTAATTTATTGCAATATATGAAGCAACACACATCATCAATAAAGCAAAGCAATGAGAGATCGAGGATTGACCTCAACGAGTTGGTTCCTGCTGAGTCAAACTTCTCTGGTTAGTCTGCACCACGATTTAAAAAGATCGCTAATTTCGTAGCTTTAACTTGATATCTTCTTCCATGTTGAAAGCACTACGATTTTAGAAAAACTGGAAAAGACTTAGTCAAAGTTAGCTTCACATTGCTCTCTGCAACAACCTCCAAGGTTTCCCACATAATGTAGTAAAATCTATCAACTTTCGTGGCGAATATCGAAGCTACAATCAGAAAGCCTATAAATATTGAAATGTATGAGGAATATGAATGATCGGCAACTAGACTGAGATTGCCGGCGATTACAAGGTGGCCGATTAGTTTCTGCGCCGTCGATAAGGAAGTTGGTTGCGGCGGAAAACCGGCGAACTTGGTGCTTCAATTTGAAAACGGAACATTCGACGGTGAGAATCAGAGACATTCTCAAAAATTGCAGAGGAGAAGAATCGTAGAGAGTAGAGAGAGAGAGACTGGTGAAGAATGTTGGATCAAAGAGTGTTGAGGCAAACGCTTATTGGGTTTAGACATCTCTTATATTTATTAATGGGCTTTTCTATGATCCAATTGTACGATTAATCGCATCAAATTTGTTAATCGGTTCTTTAGTGCTAATTTGGATCCGAACTCAATCTAATTTTTTTGTCGGTTTGGTTTGGTTCAGATTCTTACAAAAATCCGGTATTGGAACCAAAATCTCATTGATTGTCGGTTTGGTTTGCTTCAACAGGCTGATATTTTTCCTTGGATCATGAATTTTGGTTATTTTCATATTTTTACACTTATTTTATTTCGAGACGATGAAGTCATGAACAGCCAAACAACACTACATCATCGTCAACATTATTGGAGATAATTTTAATGAAGAAGATGTTTTCTTATGGACCACATACATTATTGGTTATGAAAATCTTACTATGCGTTTTAGCATAGCTTTAGTTTTGTTTTATTTATTACTATGTTTTAGAATTGGATTAGAAAACTTTTTGTGGTATAAACAATAATATGTTAATGCTACTGTTGTATGTACTTGAGATTCTCATCAAACACAACTTTTTTTCAGTGACAACTCAATAATATTATGTAACATTCGATAAGATTTATCAAACAAGAATTCAAACAAGAAACTTGCGAACCAATCGAATCAATCACTATTGTAATTATTGATAAACACAATGACCAAACAAAAAGATAAAAACAAATCGCCGTGGAATGATCATGAAGGAATTAGGGTTTCGAAGCAACTAAGTCCGTCAAGCTCAGGCGCAAACCTCAATGCCTTCTCCATCAAACCCTTCTTTGTTGCCTTCTCCATCAACACGGCTTGACCACTAGATGAGGAGGAAGAAGCGGAGGGTCCATTAGAGGATGAAACAGGAGCAACTTTGGTCGTCATAATCATCTGTGCGCAGAAGGTGTCGAAGATACTGAACAACGAATTCATGATTTCTATAATCAAACGCTTTATAGAACGACTTGTGGAGCGAAAGAAAATCTTGAGAAGCTTTTGTGAAGAATAAAGAAGAAGAGAATAGAGGTCTGTTTATATAGAAACGAAACTTGGCTGTGTCAACGTTGTTTCCTTTTTCAGTTCGAAGGTGTTGTTTGTTTTTCCTTTTCCAGTTGGGACATGGAAGCGTGATATCCCACGCGCTGTAACCTTCAACTTTTTTTTTACACATGGAATGTGAGTGTTAAACACTATATGCTGATCATAATAATTAATAACAAGTTCAAAACATAAGAAGAATACGAGCAGATCTATATATAATGTAAGTTTACAACCTAATAACATTCAAAAGCATACAAGAAAAGGAAAAAGATAGAAAAAGGATGGTACCCCAAAACAAGAAAAAAAGAATAGACAGGAAGAAGATTACATTTCTTGAATGTATTCAACTATGGAAATCAGACAAAGAGTCGGACGAGATGGATGTCATGACACCTTCCGAAAGACCGATTAAACCATCAACAAAGGCTAAAGAAATGCTTTGGCAATCAACGGCTCGCGGATGTGGGAACCGTGGACGGGGTGGACGGGGAAGTCGAGGCTAAATCTTCTTATCTTTAGCTCAATGTATATCGCGGAAGATTCGATATCTTGTAGTTCATCTCTTGAACTTTAAACTTTATCCTTGCTTGTAACGTTTTCAGACTACATGATTTAATCATGGCCAAATAAAAATTAAATATTTAGAGAAAAAAAACTATGGAAATCAAAGTAACGTGGAGGAACCGAGGAAACACAAGAACTAGAAAATTATGACATTTCTGATTATCATATAATAAATTAAACAGAACCAAATAAAAAAAAACAAAAAAAAACAAAAAAAAAACAGAAAGAAATATAAAAAACAATACAGCATTTTGTTTATATATATTATTTACGCCTAGATTTAAAATACAATAGCGTACGTGGTTTTTTAAACTTTAATAGCGTACGTGGTTTTCTTGGTTCCCAAGCAACTCAGAAAAATCACTATCCAAAAAAATAAAACAAAAAAAAAAAAAAGAGCTGCTGACCCAATTGTGAACCAATGCAATTCCAAATCCCGACTCATCCCAACATGGACCGAACCAACCATCCACATCACCTTCTTTGCCCGGCCCCCACTTGGATCACAAGCTCACGTACGGTCAGAGCTTTGCCTTATTTCAAACCAATAACACAACTCTTTCTTCCACTGTTTTTGATGTGAGACAATCTTAAGTTTATGGGCTTTTAATTTAAAACCTTTAAAAACTTAAAAAGCTAGATTTCATTGTTGGATTCATCTAGTTTGAAAACACCCATATTGATGAAAGTTTATCTTATTTTTCAAGAATTTTTGTTTGATAATAGAAGTGACTAAAAGTAAATATATTTGTATTTTCCTGCGATTTAGCAGCAACAAAGCATATAACTCAAGAATTAGACAAACGAAAAAAGAGGAATCTTTTTAAAAACCAATCAAACACGTACGCTACTACTGGTTGGAATATATATTATTGCCTTCAATTTGTGTAAATTCAATACCAATGATCTTTCTGAATGTTTTCACTTACATTTCGATGGTTAATCTCGCAACAACATCCTATCCTATATCAAGAACCCAGAAACAAGCTGGTTTCTCTTAAATGTGAAGCTACAATCAGTTGAAAGGCTCTACAATCAGCTTTATCACAGAGAGAGTCACATTCTGAGAAATTTAACCAAAAAAAAAAAAAAAAAAGTGTTATTCAAAAAAAGTGATTACATTTGAATATCCGGAGAGAGGGTGTAGTGGGCTGCACCTTCCCAGGGATTAGTCCAAATTTCTCCCTAGGTTTGGGATTTACCCTGAATTAAAAAAAAAAAAAAAAAGTGATTACTTAAAAGTGGTTTGTAGTAAATATATATGATGGTTGTAAATAGATTACCTGTTTGACTTCAAGAATTTCAGCCTTCCTATCCTGTAACGTGTCATATAAGAGTGACATTAAAAAAAAAAAGATATTAGTCCTTCTGAAGTAATTTTTTACATTTAATGCCTTGTATTTGTATACATACATATATAAGAGGGAAAAGATACATGCATGTGACTTACTAATTCGAAAATTATATCCTTAGCTTTCTGAGAATCACACCTAAATTTTTTAAGCTCTGATGTCATCTCGGTTAGCTGCATTGAACAAAGATCTCATGTGAACATTAGCAAATTATCAAACCGCAGAAATAGTGTACTTTAATAAGACTAACCTGTCCAATCAGAATTAAAACTACACACTCCCATATATAAATTGAACTAGCTAAACCTATATTGAAATAATTAAGTTGTAACAAAACCCTAGCGAAGAAAGAAGCAGCTTGGGATTTTGGAATTTCTAAACGTGCTTCAGTCTTTATATGCTAAACTGAAATCTAGCATCAATATGAGAAAGTGAAAAAGAAGATCGGTTACTTACATCGCGTAAATACGCTTTAGATATCTCCCTCTCCGTTTCCAGCTTCCGACGCATAGCCTCTACTTCTATATAAAGTTCTTTCTTTTTTGACTGCGTAAGTAAACACAATAAGGTCACAAGCCACAAGAAAACAAAATATCTAACAAGCAAGCAAGAATACCTTGCGGAGAAGTTTCGCTTGCCAGATGACCATCGCCACGAGAAAAATTACGATCTTCAAGAGGATAACTATGATCGCTACAGCAGCAACTGTCCACACGAGAGACATTGTTTCGCCGGAAGATTTACGATCTAGATTCGAGTCGGTTTCGGTGCAGAGAGATATTGATTTTGTTTCTCACAACTTGTTTAGGTCTCTAATATATATACTGTACGTAGGGTTTAAGGATTTTGGTGGGTTTTAGATTTTTCCTTTTTAATGACTTCCAATGTAAATCTAATGGATATATGATTTGTGTTCAATAGTTAATTAGTTAATTAATAAATACTGTAAGAAAAAAGTGTGCATCTCCATAAGATCGAGGACAGGAACAGCATCGATGGCTTTCATGTTTCATCACAAAAGTTTCTTCACAACTCACTCATAGGCGCATCAAAATATGATCTTCACAAGTCTTAGTTGATTGCAATATATGAATCAAACACATCAACAAAGCCAAGCAATGAGATCGAATGATTGTACCTTAACGAGTTATTCCTTCTGACTCCGACTTCTCTGGTTGGTTAGTCGTTTACACCACGATTAATAAAGATTTATTCTTTTGCTAATTCCATGGCTTTACTTGAAATTATTGCTTCTTTTGCTTACAAAATATGTTATTGTTTTCCATGTATATATGTGTAGGTTGAGATTTCAGATTTCTTATCAAACACAACTCAAGTTATTGACAACTCAATAATGTTATTTTCGATAAGAATTATCAAACAAGACTTGAACTATAGGAGCAAAGAAACGTGTGTACCAAACGAATCAATCACTTTTGTAATTATTAACAAAAAAAAAAAAAAAAAAAGAATCGTTGTGGAATGATCAAGGAGGAATTAGGGTCTTGAAGCAGCGAAGTCCTTCAAGCTCAGGTGGAACCTCACTGCCTTCTCCATCAAACCCTTCTTTGTTGTCTTCTCCTATAAAATGAGGAGGAAGAAGCGGAGGGAAAATAATACTACTGGTTGGAATATATGTATATTGTTGTCTTCTAACAGAGATGGTTGTAAATTCAATACTACTAATGATCTCTCTGAATGTTTTCACTTACATCGATCATCCTATACTATATCAAGAAGTCACATACAAAATAAAATAAAAAGGTAAATGGTCCAATGGAACGGCCCATGTGGTAAGAGATTGGACTCGGAGGATGGATCTTAATAACCTTCTGTGGAGCAAGGTGTCCGCTATTGTCAAGTGACCCTAGAGCCAAGACTCTAACCTCTCAGCCAAGACTCGGAGGATGGATCTTAATAACCCTTCTCTGAAGCAAGGTGTCCCGCAATTGTCAAGTGACTCTAGAGAGCCAAGACTTTAACCTCTCAGCCACGACTCGGAGGATGAACCACAAGACTCTAGCCTCTCTGCCCACCCACTCTGTACCGAACCAAAGTCCCACTACCCTTAAGCCTCGTCTTGGATATAACTCCAAGACTCGGCAATTGATTATATGTTTTCTCCTCTATATATCGAACTCTATGGTCTTTTTTTCTTCCGATGTGGGACTCTATTACGTAGTTTGTAATCATAATTATAATATACTTTTGGTTAATCAAACTGTATTCAGGTTTGGGCCGAAAATCAGAGCAGACTACTTTAGTTTTGATTAATCAAAAAAGTTTCTTCATTACTCAAAAGCGCATCGAATTCGATCTTCACAAGGTACAAAATATTGTTTCCATCTTTCTGAATTGTACATTACCAGAATAACCAAAACTTTAATAATTAAAGACGAGTAAAAAGTCTAGAGAATATAACAAGCTGTGTGTTTTTCGTCAACCAAGTCTTAGTTTATTGCAATGTAAGAATCAAACATATCAACAAAGCCAAGCAGTGAGATTGAATGATTAACCTCAACGTATTGATTTTGCTTATATAAGTGTTTTTATATGTTAGGCCTAGATTTAAAATTTCATAGCGTACGTGGTTTTCTTGGTTCTCAAGAAACTCAAAAATTCACTATCCAGAAAAGTAAAATAAATGAAAGCGGTTGCTGATCCAATTGTGACGCATTGCAATTCCAAATCCCGACTCATCCCAACATGGACCGAGCCAACCATCCACATCACCTTCTTTGCCCTGCCCCCACTTGGATCACAAGCTCACGTACGGTCAGACCTTTGCCTTATTTCATACCATTAGCACAACTCTTTCTTCCACTGTTTTTGATGTGGGACAATCTTAACTTAACTTATGATCTTTCGTATGATGTGGGACAATCTTAACTTGACTTAAAAGTAACAAAACATATAACTCAAGAATTCAATACTAGTGATCTTTCTGATTGTTTTCACTTACATCGATGGATCCATCTCGCAACAACATCCGATCCTATATCAAGAAGTCACATAACAAATAAAAAGGTAATGCTCCGATGGTGGTGGCCCATGTGGTAAGAGAGTGGACTCGGACGATGGATCTTAATAACCTTACGTGGCGCAAGGTGGCGTCCGCTATTGCCAAGTGACTTGAGTTCAGTTTCCCGACCTACAATGCCGCAAGACTCTAGGCCACACCCACTTTGTACCGACACTAACGTCACACTACCCTTAAGCCTCGTCTTGGATATAACTCCAAGACTCGGCGATAGATTATTATTCGTTTTCTCCTCTATATATTCAACTCTACGGTTTTCTCTTCTTCCGATGTGGGACTGTATTACGTAGTTTGTAATTATAATTAGTACTGAGTTTTGATCGGCAGATTACATTAGTTTTGATTTTAAATCACTAAAGTTTCTTCATCACTCTCATAAGCGCATCAAATTTGATCATTCACAAGCTACAAAATATTGTTTCGACGTAGCTTTGTAAAGTGAGGAACAAAATAAATTATGTGCTTTTTAACTCAAAACTAATGAAGCTCTGAAGAACAAACATCACAAACAGAGTCAACATATACACAAAGCTTGTCACTTTCAATGCATTCAACATACATTATCTATGAACCCTAGATCCCAAACTGTGATATCACAAAACACATTCTCTACTTCACCTTCTAAGCCATAAACGAAAAGGTATGTACACAATTTTACAAGATTAGGCTAAAAAACAAACAAAAGCTTCTAACTTTCAATTCATCTTAGTCGAACTATCGCGGCTCAGGTTCTCTGCAATAGCATCTCTGATCCTCCTCGACTCAATAAACGCTTCTCCTTCATAGCTCTTCGTCTCCTCCTCCTCATCTTCTTCTTCTTCATCTTTCCTCATCTCACCAGCAACACCATCATTCACACGTTCCTCAGGTAATTCACCATCATCTCCGCTATTCACAAGAAAGTTATGCAACAAGCAACACGTGGTTACGACAAACGGCAGAAACTCGATCGTCTCTGGCTTCCATTTCCTATCAAGAATCCTCCACCGAGCTCGAACCTTATCAAATGCAACCTCAACAGTCTTCAATGCACTGCGAACAACATTGTTGAATTCTCTGCGAGACGTCTCGAAACTGTCTTCTTCCTCGTCTAAGGAAGAGGAATCATAAGGAGTCATGAGCCATGGCAATAACGGAAGACGAGAATCTCCAAGAACGTAAGGAGCCACTGAAATCCCTTTTCCAAGCTCGCATGGAGCTCCATCTAAGAAGCATCTGGATTCCGATTCCGATTCCGCGGCTGAGAAAAGCTTCGATTGCCGGAAAATGGTTTCTGGTTTCATCGTACTTGGCCATCCAGCTGAGATATCGGAGAATCTGCCACCGGAATCAACGATTGCTTGAACAATCAGCGAACCTTTCGATCCGAGGAGCTTCCCATCTACCTTGAATCTCCCGAATCCCAACACGCCGCAGCAATTCGGGAGCAATCGAGGTGAGAAATCAGGTTTGGGATCATCTAATCGCCCTAATTTATCGTTGATGAGTTTGCAGACGGTGAAGAAAGCGCGGGAAGCGTCGGCGACGGAATCGAAGCCGAATCGGAGAAGGAGAGACTTGTAGGGAGCGTTGTGAGCGAGACGGAAGATCGTAGCCGCGAGGGAGGATGGAGGAAGCGACGGAGAATCGGAAGAGGAGAGGATGGAGAGGAGATGGAAGAAAGTGGGTCGTGACATTTTGAAACAGAGATGCCAGCGAGGATCGTCGTCTTCTACGGCGGAGGTTAAGAAGCGGTGGAACCACGTGGAAGTGGAGGTGGATGAGGGTGAAGGCGCGATTGGGAGAGATGAGACGAGGGATTCAAGACGGAGATGTTGGGATGGAGGGAGGAACAGATCGTTGGAATTGAGGAATGAGCGTGTCACGGCGGCGGCGGAAGAGAGACGGCGAATCAGCTGGTCATTCACACAGTGTTTGTCGGGTACACTTGCAGCGGATTTCCCGATGAGGTACGAGTTTCCGGCGCCGGCGACCATTGCTAAAGTGAGATTTGGAAGGCGAGAGCAATGCCAAAGATGGGGAATTATTAGTTTGAGTAACCGGTTTTGGTTTAGCTTTGGTTTAAGTATTCCGCATTTTTTAGTTTTTCAATTTAGTAATCAACAGAAACCGAAATATAACCGTTCGGTTTTGTATGGTTTTAGTTCCATTTCTGATTCTGTTTTTAATCAGTTCCATCTTTGTTGTTGTGAACTTGTGATACTAGATCAGCGATATAGTCATATAGCAACAAAATTATGAAATGGTGATTACGTATGTAACGTTCGGTATCAATATGACTACGTTTAAGGAGAGTATTCAAATCACAAAAGTTGATAAACGCATCAAATATGATCTTTAACAAGCTACAAAAGTACTTGTTTCCATGTAGCGGGCAAAATGGGAACAATGATAAACTCTATCTCTACATATCTAATGCTGTTCATCACTTGATTCACTATCCAAAAAATTACCTCCCTCGCCTAGAAAATTCCCTAATCAAAAACAATATTTAACACTAGATCCCAAACTTTCCACAGAGAGATCTGCCATAACAACAAGATCAAACCTGAAGCAGAACTCTCCAACCGAACCGAATCACCAGCTTTAATCAACTGCAGGAAGAACAAATAGTAGGTGGTAATCAGATAAAGGACTCATCAGAAGCACTATTAACAAGCAGTATAGAGAGTAGAACCTATTTTACGATGGGACAAATCAAGTCACTAACCTTAGCATAGGCAGTGTAGTGACCACCACCAAGTCCACCGTAATGATTGCTAACGGCATAGAGCTCATATAGATAAGACTGGCCATTCTCGTTCTTCACGTACTTGCTCAAGTCTAGATCGTGGATTGGGAAATTCACAAACGTATCAATCTTATTCTTCAGATATCTGCTATACGTGAACCGTTTCAAATGGAACACGAGAATATCTGGCAACTTCCACAGGTCTAGCTTTTTGTTCGCTTGTCTGTGTTCTTTGCAGCCAGGACAAAACCTGTTTCAGAAATCAGAATGGTGAGAAAAACGGTCAAAGCTTCAAAATAGATCAGATTATGCGATAACAAGTTCAATCGAAGAGTGTTATATACCACATGTCGTCTGGTCCCAGAGGCTCTTCTGCTAGAAAGGCTTCCAAGCATGAAAACAGAGATATCGCCTCTTGCCTTGTCTTCTTTGCAGAGAAACTTGTTTTGTGAACCTCTGGGAGGTCATTCAAGTAGCTGGAATCATATTTTGCATGCTCAGCCTCATTCCACTCGACTAAAACCCTTGTAACGGTGCCAGTGCTCACAGAAGACTCAGAGTGAAGTGGTTTGAAGTTCAATCCGCGATCATCTGTTAAGAAGATCCTGAAAGATAACTCTCTATCAGATGCATCCTCTATCTCAGTATCTGGGGATGATATACTTCCGGATGTTTCGTCAGCAGCAGCATCAGGAAGGTGGCCATTTTCTACTCCGTTATGAATCTTAGATGAGGCTTGAACCCTGTGTAGAGGTGACAGAAATCCAGAGATAATTGCATCAATGTCAGTTCCACTTAGTGGTTCTGCGTTGACATAAGTGACAAAAGGAGTCCCAAAAAGCTTCACGTCTTTGCCTTTAACACTCTCCAGAACAGCCCTGTGGAATACAAGAGTTATGACCCATAAAGCTGAACCCAAGAGGAAAAATGTAAGAGTTTTTTAGTAAAAAATAAAACCAAACCGAAGATGCTCACCTTTCCTGCCCTCCATGAAGGATTTCAAGTTTTGCTTTTCCTGATCCTTTCTGCATCTTATTTAACCGATACGCCACAATATGCTCATCGTCTTTTATCACACTCAGTGACTCCAGTGGAGTCTCAAAATACCTAAAGACCTTGTGATCATATACCTGAGAAAATAATGCCAAGCATGAGACTGCGGTTTCATCAAAAAGAAAGGAAAAAAAAAAAGAGAGATGGAGGAAAAGTAATAATACAAGGAACCCGCTAAGTCATACCTCTGCAAGTAAAAGGGTCTCATCATCGGTTAAGCAGCAAGCAGTACCTAATGCAGTAATAAGATCTCTACAAGATCCATGTTTAGGCACTGTTACAGTGTATGGCATCGGAAGACGACTTCCATCGCAATAAAACACTGTAACTGTCATTGGCCGCGTAAGTGTTGATGGCAAAGGTAAAGACAGGTACATGAAGGGATCAAAAGTGATTGAGATTTTCCCACAAACTGGACAAACCAAAGTTGACTTGTATTGACCCTGAAAGAAATCGAACACAGCGTCAGAAAGGGTCAGGAAGATAATAGACAGAAACATCTAGTACTTGTATAAAAAAACAGAACAAGATGAACATTCAATGGGAGAATCAATTAAGAAACAGCTAGAGATACTTACTTGGCAGACGTTAACTATTACAGAATCATTCCGGGCCTTATGATAGTTCCAAAGCTCTTCCGCAACTTCATCATCAGGACGACTGTCAGAATCTTTAAGTTCAATGTAAGGTTTTCGTTTCACCTTATTCAAATCTTCATGCAGCCCATCCAATAAGAAAGCAAGCAGTTCCTGAAACAACAATACCATACATCATCACGAAGGTCGAAGGGTCGGAAAAGCATTATTTGATTTGATTTTAACTGTCAAAGAGGAAAGCCAAAAAACAACAACAAATATACACATTAGAGGAAGTGACTAACTTGAGAATCGTGCTGATTGTAACCACTAAACTGTGGAGCAAATCTAGCCAGTTTTGTCTTAAAAGCGCGCGGGGCAACTGCGTTCCTTCCTGATGACCATAATCTCTTCAACAGCTCACCAAATGCAATAGCCAGCTCACCCTGGATAAGTAAGTGTTAGAAATTATACTCAGAATGCGTGTGAATACAGACATTCACGAGGAAGTAGAAACAGCACTAAATATCAAACACTTACAGACATTCCTAAAGGATTATCTCTGTTTAAGTCCTCAGTGTAATCTTGCAAGAAGTATTCAACAATTGGAGGCGTGTGGGCCAAACATTGAAGAGCACTATTCATAAAGCAGGTATTTCCCAAATTACTCAATCCTGCCAATCCTCCCTTCTCCCCTTTCCCAAGATTATTCAAAGAATCGCTGCCATCATCTTCAGAATTGATTCTCGGAAAGAGACTAAACTTGGACGTTGTGGAATGACCATTAGATAGGGTCGGGCCCCCAGCAATTGTAACACGTGATCTTGAAGGTTCCAGAGGTACCAGAGCTAGCTCATTTCCTGCTGAGCTCGTAGCATACTGAGAAGAAGAGGACCCATCAACTTCAAGAAGAATCTGCATGGGATACACCAGTCAACGTTGAAGAGAGAGATAAAAAAAAATTAGAAAAAAAAAAAAGGGATTCGGTTAGAATCATGGATGCATTATCCAACGAGTTCCTTTTAACAAGATATTCGTTAGGAAAGATTCTAGATAATGATTCAAAATCAATTTATGACAAAATGAACGGCAAGAGACAAAGGTTATTCATCAAGATTTGACAGATAAGTGTAACATACAGTATTCTAGATACTTACATCTTGGTCCATGTGAAGGCTAGACTCTTCCAGGGAGTTGTTAGATGAAGGATCCAAGAATCCACCTTTCCTCTTACCATAGTAATCCCAGATGTGAACCTGTATAAGCATATCAATGTGAAGCAAAGAATACATCTCTATATGAAACAATGCGCATATCAATGAAAGACTTCAGATACACACCTTTTCTTGCGGTACCCCTGTCATAGCACAAACCTTCTCATAAAGTTCCCTTATAGAGGCCTAAAACACAAACAACACATGTCAGAAAAGGAACAAAGTGGGCCTAATAGTGAAACAGCAGAGAGCCTCTGTCTCTACATAAGCACCACTATAACTCGTACTGTAGCTCATAGCAAAACATAGTGAATAAGTAGAATGATGGGGCACATATACCTGTTTTCCCAACCGTATTGCAGTTATACTTTCATCTCTTCCGTCTGTTAACATAAGGCAGAGTGGATAAACCTCCACACTATAACTCCTACTGTAAAACCCTTGACAGATCAACTTCCTTGGTATCGGAGGACCTCCGCCATACCTGAAAGATATAAAACCAGATTATGCCAATGACACGGATAATTTATCAACAACAATTGCAGGAGAAGTGCAGACACATAAGCAAAGAGAATAAATGAAACAGTCATGCAGCTTTGACCAACGAAATCTGGACCTTGTCCCATGAGCAGAAAATATAAGTACGGAAAAAAACACAATCCAATCTAATGGTGGAATAGAAGAAACGCTCACCATTCAACAAGTCTTTTCCAAACTTCTTCAGGAACTAGAACGTAGTCTTCCCCTTCCACCAGCAATCTGCGAAGTTGTGGATCACTAGTGTCGTTTCCACTTTCAATAATATCATGGTTTTCAATTGGTCCAGGCCTTGGAGCTTCCGATGGCTCTCCACTTGAACATTCGTTAGTTGGTTGCTCAACATATTTCTGCCAGCTTGTGTACCACCTGAAATAACACACAACTTTAAATCACCACTGAGAGTTGGTAACACACAACACGGAGAACATTCAGATCCAGAGTCACAAGACTATCAGAAACACAGATACAGAAAAGGAAAATCCACACAGAACAAATCGCTAGAGATTTGAGTAAGGGAGCATTACAATAACACCAATCAATCAATCAGTGGAGCAATAAGCATCAACTTATAAGGGAAGCTACAAATTTCACAAAAACAATGAATAGAACCACAAAATGAAGATCATGCAAGCTACTGGTTGGATCATGAGCTCTACAAAACGCTCAAAGCAGAATCAAGGAAAAGCTAAAACCCTTCTCATTCCCAGGAAAAGGTACAAAATTTGCAATCTATCAAAAATCAGGAGAATCAAGACATTGCCCAAGCAAATCAAAGAGGAATCAAAGTAAGAGACCTTTTAGAGATGACAAAATACAAGTTTCCTTCCTTCAAATTATCCTCCGACTCGGTAGTCAGGTCAGACACGACACGTCGCTCTTCCTCGGGAGTAGACGGGAAATCAATGACTCCGTTCTCAACCATGAAATCGGCGGAATTAGGAATCGTCATCTTCACCGATCAGTGACAAACAAAAGAGAATCAAGATCCAACAAATTCCAAAAACACCGATTAAATCGAGATTTCAAAATCGAAATCGCAACGGGATCGGATGCAACAGAGAAAACAAAAAAAAAGATCAACAACTCTCAAGTCCAGAAAAATGCGAATGGACGGGAAAAAAAAATGATTTCTTTTTGTCAAAGCAAGGTCATTGACGACAGAAAGAAATGGATCAAATGGAAGGAAAGAGAAATGGGATAGACGTAAGAACCCTAGATTGGAGGAGAGACAATGTGTGAGAGAGAAACGGGGACGTGTAAGCGATGATTTGGTATATATATAAAGAGAGAAGAAGTCTTGTTTTCAGATTCACGATCCCATTTATGGCTTTTATGGTGTCTCTCCAATAAACAACGCCCAATTTCCCAACCAGCACTATTTGCAAACAATTTTTTTTTCATGTATTGTACTATTATTCATCTCTATTATGTCATTCTAGTTTCTATTGATTTTATTTGCAGTCACTTACACTTTAAATCTCGATTAACTAGCCGTTTAAACTTCAAACATTTTTAACTAGCCGTTTAACTTTCAAACTGAAAATTTTACACAAATAATCTTCTGTCTAACACTTATGTTCGTATCTATAATTATTTCATCCATATTTTTAACTTTAATGTCGAAGATAATAATATATTGGTTTTGAAATACAAATCAACCTTAATAGTTTTTGTTTTCACATTTAACAATTGTTTATACTTTATACTATATGATCTTGTTTTGTTATACTATAAAGATATAATATATTGTTATCAAAGAATACTATTTTGTTATCTAAGTTGGAAATTATCAGTACAAACATAAGTATTAGATTAAAGGTTGTGTTAAAATTCTTGGTTTGAAAGTTTAAATTGCTAGTTAAAAACTCTCAAGGTTAAAAGTGTAAGTGACTGCCATTTTGAATTTTTATGTGATTTTCCTGATTTTAAAAAGATAAGTAGGGGTTAACATTTGAGTTTATATGATATAGACGATTTTCAGTTTATATAGCTCTTAATTATGAGGATATCAGTTTTAGAGAATGTGAACTACACATTCCATTGTTACATTACAACAACCAATCGATCTATCAGTTTTGAAGCGGTTTTGGGAACTATGCCTCCTTTTGTTTGGCTAAGCATTTTTTGCCGTTCATAAACTAATTAAACAAGAGTCTTGAAAACATATCGGTTATGAAAGTGATATATACTTGATGTGAGTTAATCCATGGTTTTCTTTTGGGTTGGATAGCTAAAGCACGAGGATGATATGAAACATTCTAAGTCATAAGACGTTTAGTACTAAGAGTATCTTAAACTCAGCCCCATATTTCACTTTTATTGTCATTTTGGAGTCAATTTTGCTTTAATTCAACTTCATTTTCAATCTCAAAATGGTAAAATGCCATATTTTTTCCCAAATTGAAGTTGATCCCATTTTCATCTCCATTTTGGAGTTGAAGTTTTTAAATTATATAACAGTCCTTGAAGTTTTAAATTATTTTAGTTTATATATAATTTAATTATTTTAATGTTTATTTTTACTCTAGAATACAAGTAACACATATTTAATAGGAAAATTAATTATTTAAGGTAATAATAAATTTAAATAGAAAGGAAATTTGTTTATTATAAATAACATCAAAAATAAATTTATTAAAACAACTATTATTGATAAGTTTATGTTGTTATTTTTAGTCTTGTAATAATGTATTATTAATATTATCATAATTAATTTAAATAATTATAATAAATTGTGAAATTTTTGACGAAAACAAAATTATGGGGCAATTTGTAATATATATAAATATACAATGTAAATTTAGTAATTAATAAAAAAAATTGAAGTAAAAAATGAGGCAATACATTGGAGCAAAACCTAACTCCATTTTGAGATTTCTTCATTTTGGAGTCAAATATAGGTCAATACATTGAAGATGCCCTAAGTAAAACCATTTGAAGATAGTCAAAATACGATGGAAAAGCAAATGATATCATAAAATTGTAGGTTTCAAAAAAGTTTTGTGTATATAAGCACCGAGTACAAGTAGATAACAAACCAACAGTTACTTTCAAGTGAACGAAAATCTAAACGACAAAAGCCTTTCCTCAAAAAAATAAATAAATAAATAAATCTAAACGACAATTATAGAAGTCAAAAGTTGTGTGGTGAAACATGCCGAAATGAGATTTAAAAGGTAGTTGGCACGACATACGTGATGTAGAAAATAAAAAGAAGGGGGAATTACCATTAGTATACCCAAACATTGTTTTTTTAGGTAACAGTATATCCCATATGACATGTTTGACAATTGGTATACCCCAAGGGGTGGTTAATGACCATTTTATCTTCTATGAACAAACAATAAACGAGCGACGCAATTACCAATTTACCCATGGTGTTGAAGTTTACGAAGACGTCAACTTAAAGTAGACTTCAAAACGAAGTCTACAACGCCTTAAGATCTTAAATTTAAATTATAAAATTAAAGAAAAATATTTAAACCAAAGAAATTATACATAAAAAAGACCTTGTTATTTAGCATCTCTTAAAAATATTTTTGCTTGAAAATGTATTAGTCTAAATACACCAAAGGCAAAGCATGCCACAAACCTATAAATTTGGAGAGAAGTCTACTCATGAAGTCTACTTTCTTACGAAATCTTAAATTTTAATTTTAAAATTTATAAAAAAATATTTTGCTAACAAATTTTTGTTAGTAATCTAAGTAAATACAATGTTCATATATAGAAAATACAAACTCATGAAAATGTATAAGTTTATAAGTTTCATGAGTATTTGGTCCATCAAGGATAGAGTTTAGGTTTGAAGTATAGGGCTTGGTAGTATAAGTTGTTAGGGTTTAGCCAAATATTTTTTGAAAACCAAGTTTATTCGTTGTATAATCATTTAAGATTCATATATGTGTTGATTATAATGTAATTTGTGTATATTCAACGAAAACTATTTTATTCCATAAGTTTTTTTGTGTAAAACATTCAATTTAGGGTTTAGGGTATAGTTGACTTCTTGCGTAGACTTCCACTGTAGATTTCTCGAAGAAGTCTAAAATCCAAAGAAAACTGAGCGGGAATCGAAATTATTTAGGCGGGATTTTGTTTGGAAACTGTTTAACCCAATTTTTTTAACCTAACCGAAAAATGATTGATTAAACCGGAAATTATACCAACCTATATAAATAATTTTTTTCCATGTAACCCTAATTTCTAAAAACAAAATCTCGCCTCCCTCTCAAACTTCTCAAACGGCGCTGCTACTCTTCTCTCTCCCTCTTTCTCAAACTGCGACTCTTGATGTCTCTCTCCACCGTTAACTCTCTTTCTCTCTTGAGCCTCCGCCTCCGGTGCTTCCGTCTCATGACCGCCGGATCTGACCCGTCCATGTGGCTACGACCCAGATCTGAGCTCTCTCTGACGACAGCTCCTTGTGGCGCTGGCTCTCTTGCCGCCGTCGTCGCGTTCGCGGATCTCTGACCCGTCGTCACTGGTAAGGCCTCCTTCTTCTCCCCATGTTAGATCTTAACTAGATCTGTTCAATTCGCCGATTCCGACCATCTCCTTCGATATATGTAAATTCTTCTCTCTCCCTCTCACTCTTTATCTCTCTCTTGACCTCTCACGCCTCTAACGAAGATAGATAGGTCTTCTCAAGCCTTAGTCGCACATCCTTCCTTCGGCCTTAATCATTTCTGTTCTTGGTTTGCAGGTGTAGCTCCTCTTCCTCCGACGGCGTCATTTCAGAGCTGTTAGCCTCCGCTGCCTCTCCATTCTTCATCTCTTTCTCCATCAAAATTGCCTGAACAACAACTGAGATCTGGAAATCTCTGAGCATAAGTTTCAGCTTGAAGAGAAAAACAGAGAAGTAAATCTTCCTTCCTTTCTTAAAACCTCATATTAGATGTTTAGGTTTCGTTTTTTTTTTTACGATTCTCGTTATTTATCTTGTTCGATTTGGTTTCTTTATGATTCTCTTCCTTTGGATGAACTTTACTCTTTTCGAATTGATTTTTGCAACAATTGATTGGTTTTAGTTCTCTAATTGATGTGCTCTTCCAATTCACAGAGATCCCTTCGATCTTTTCGATTACATTTGTTGTGTTCATAGAGATTGTGCTCTTTCATGTATATGTTTGAGATTCTGCCTTTGTTGTTTTGAGATTTCACTTGCTTTTATATATTCAATTTTTATCTGCATTGCTCATAAATCTGTTTGTCCGCAAGTTATATGTTTTCACTATATTCACTATTAAGATGTATTTCTGCGAAATCGGATTGTTTATGTGTGTCTTTTCATTGTGTTAAGATTTCTTGAGTGTCTGATTGTGGTTTACAAACCTATTTCATGTTTGGATCTTTTTCTGTCTTTTCAGGTTTACAAAGAGAAGATGTCTGAGACAAAGGGAAGGAAAGAAGAAGTGGTGACAAGAGATCATACCATCAACCTCCACAGACGCCTTTATAGCTGGTGAGCTCTTGCTATTCCCTACTGTGGTTTGATGAGATTTAAGGTCTCCTGCTAATACATAATTAAACTTGTAACCGCAAGCATGCATGTTTGAATCCAAGTTATGTTTTTACATATGTAGCTGTAAAGATTATGAGTTGTTTGTGTGAGAACATGTTTTTTGAATTAGATTAATCATGCATTTTGAAAAAACCTGATCTTTGAATCACACCGCAAGCATTTAAACACATAAAAAATGATTAGCTTTTGAGATATTATTGATCTTTCGCATATGCTTTGCTTGCAATATTTTTAGTTTTCTTTAAAATGTTAGTATGGTCTAAGTTTGTGAACTCTATTCTCTGATGTTAATATGAGTAAGCTTTGCTAATATCTTCCTAACATCACACTCTTGGTTAATTGATTTGTGGTTTAGGTTAAATTTGAAATGTGAGGAACCATATGTGTTTTACGCCTTGTGTTAATAATATTGCTTGGTCGTTGTCTCTCCCTCTCTCAGTTTTTGACTGTTAAAAATTAGATTTGCTTCTTGACAGGAAACATTATGCTTAGAGAGTAAATTTTTGAGTGATGATGGGACTGAACTAATTCGGATAGCTTCGAATAACTAATTTGATCACAATTTCTTCTTTCAGCTACAAGATACTCCTATCAAATGGATAAGACGGCAAGGAGAGAGAGTGAAAGCTCATTTGCGTGATGATAATGCGAAAGAAGATTAGGATTTTAGATGAAGAAAATGATTGTTCTTATGATCTTAAATACCATTACTATTACATTTAGATTGTATCGGTACCTGATTTATTATAAAATTGTATTGTACTCAGAACCAAACTTCTTCTCTGTTTTATACATTGATAAGAGATTAGAAAGTTATGCTAATATGTATAGCTCACAAATTGCAGAGATTCAATAATGTTTATGTTTATGCTCCTAAAATAACATTTTTTTAAGTTTTCAGGATCGAAATCTGCATGTCTCCATATAACAAGTATTATGTGTTTAAGTACGAAAACTTCTTAAGTACTTTTTATGCTCAACTATAAACAAACCTAACAAATTTTACTTAGAAATTAGGGCTTTTTTAGCAAACCACAAACAAACTTCACTCATCAGTAGACATAAACAACAATATAAGAGTAACTTACATATGGATATAACCATCTCTCAATAAGAACATTCTTCCTCCTTTGTCCTAATCCACCTTAAAAATCTATAATCCATTGTTTTTTCTCTCTCATTTTTCACAAACAGCAGCTACGTACATCATTTTCTGTAAAAAAATACAAAGACACAACATATTAATCAAAACGAGTAAGTAGATATCACAGTGAAGTCTAATACATTATCACCTAGTGTCCAACAAAAACAAGAACAAAGTAGACTTCGTCGTGAAGTCTACTACATTTCACCTAAACTCCACTAAAAACTAAAAATTTGATTCCCTTCAAAATATACTAATTAAGCAAGCCAAATTGTTACACAGGCAAATAGACAGATAAAAACAACTTATTGTCGAAGAAAATCTTATAAATTAGTTATTCATATTGCACAAACACCTAATTTACAATACAGTAACAAAGTAGACGTCATGTAGAAATCTACTTGTAGACTTCACCAGGAAGTCAACTTTAGGGGTACACCAACTGCAAGAATATTTTGTGAAGTCTACAAAGGAAGTCAACAATTCGAGGGGTATACTTTTGCAATTGACCAAATCACGACTTTTTGAAGTAGACTTCTTTTATAAAAGTAGACTTCATATTGAAGTCAACAATGACAAGTAGACTTCAACAAGAAGTCAACTACGAAAAGTAGACGTCATATTGAAGTCTACTACCAAAAGTAGACTTCGTAAAACAACGTTTGCAGTTGGTGTACCCCGAGTTACTATTCATTCGTTGACCAGTTGACTTCTTTTTGCAGAAGTAGACTTCTCCATGAAGTCTACTCCGAAAGTAGACTTCAAAAAGAAGTCTACGAGTCAAAGTAGACTTCGCGGGGAAGTCTACAGTCTAAAAAAGAAGTCTACATCAAAAAGTCGTGATTTGGTCAATTGCAAAAGTATACCCCTGTCGCGTAGACTTCATGTGTAGACTTCAGAACCGAAAGTCGTCGTCTGGTCAATTGCAAAAGTATACCCCTCCCGAAGAATAGACTTCTTTGTGAAGTTTTCACAGGATGTAGTCGTCACCTTTTTTTGTTGTCAAAGGATTAATGTAGACTTCTCCAAGAAGTCTACATCAAAAAGTCGTGATTTGGTCAATTGCAAAAGTATATCCCTGTCGCGTAGACTTCATGTGTAGACTTTAGAACTGAAAGTCGTCGTCTGGTCAATTGCAAAAGTATACCCCTCCCGAAGAATAGACTTCTTTGTGAAGTCTACACACGGGGTCCACCTTTTTTTGTTGTCAAAGGATTAATGTAGACTTCTCCAAGAAGTCTACTTCTCCAAAATTTTAAAAAGTTGTTTGCAGTTAGTGTACCCCACGTTGACATGTTGACTTCTTAGTGAAGTCTACATCGCGCAGGAGATCTGAAATTCACGAAAAACGAACGGAAAATCACCTTGATGAGCTGTTTGGTTGCGTCGACGACGGATTGGTTCGATTTAAACCTTCAGCAGAGAAGTCCAGCTGTTGCCGTGAGCTTGGTGACCACAAATGGCATCATACAAGAACTTATATTTTTGAGAGATGGATTATAGAGTTTTTGTGATGAAATTGGAGAGAATAAGTAAGAGAAGAAGGTTAGAAGAGAATATAGTGAGATTTTGGTGGTGTAAAAGGGAAGAAGAAGCTTTAAAAAGCTTGAATATGGTTGAAAATGGTTGTTGGGTGAATTGAATTTGATGGCATTTCGTGAATAAGTGTAGGAGATGAGGTTGGTTTGGACATTATTATTTTCTAAATAAAATGAAAAATAGAAAAGCTGATGGTATTTTAGTAGATATGATGAGAGGGTAAGGATGATATAGAGAAAAAGAGGTGTAAATATTAGAAGGGTATACCAAAAACATTGACCACAAATTGGGGTCTACTTTTGCAAACACCCAAAGTAAAAAGGTAAAATATCAGTTCTCTCGTCATGTAAACTTTTAATATAAGAAAAGTACATTTTGAAATATAATTTTTTTTCTCAAATAAAATTTATCGCACAATATATGTGGGGTAAGAATTTACTTCCTTCATAGTTCAGCTTCGAATGGCGCGAGTTACTATATAATTTCGAACTCAAATTTAAACGTTTGTGTTTTTAACACATATTGAGGTTTTTCTAAGCCACGAAATGAGTTTTGCTCGTTTTCTCTGCAATGATTGCCCACATTTTTATACTTGTGTATTTATACGAATTTTCACCGTTTTTTCACTTTTTAGAAATGATTATAATAAAGAGGATGAGAATATGAATTAGTCAGATTAGATAAGTGAAACACCTGAAATTGTGAAAAACTATATTCTTGTGAAACACCTGAAACTGTGTAAAAACTAGATCCCTTTAAATCGGAACAAATTAAGGAGACATCTTAAATTAGATAAATACATCTAAATGGTGTTTATATATATAAGAGTGCTTTGTTCTTTCTTGTTAAATTTGTAAAACACCATCAATTCATATCTATATACCATTTAAGATGCGAAACTCCTGTCGGCCTAAGTTCACCGTTCTACTTATCTTCATCATTCTTGTACTAGGTTTGTATTCACGTTTAAGTCGTATTTATTTATTGTTCTAAAGGAAAGTGATCATATATCGTAGTTATCCATTCGGCTATGTTATGTAAATGATTAAACATGTAACATATTGATTCGCATGCTGTTGTTGATTATAAAAAGATACATAACATGAAACTTTATGTTTTTATAATATTACAGGAGTGGTGGGAAATATACACGAGAACGGAAAATTATGTCACGATAAAGTTCCTGAAAAAGAAACTCCGATATGTATTAATGGAGAATGTAATCAAATGTGTCTGCAGAAGAAGAAAGAAGCCGGGCATTGTATATATTTATGGCAAACAAGTAAAAAATGGAGGTGCCACTGCTATCATCGTTGCCCTACTTGATTTCGATTTATTTGCGCTAGAGTACAAATAATATTTCTAACAAAACATGAATCTGAAGTTTATGGTCTAATGATTTGTATTATTGTTCTTTTATATATATAACGGGTAATTTCACTAATTTGTATTATTGTTGCTGCCGAATGATAAATATGAATTTTAAACTTAGTAATATGCAAGTCTAATTGTTTTCCTCTCTCACTACCGTGTGTTGTGATCTATAGGATTCAATAAAACTTAGTGATATTTTTTTTTTCTTTTTCTAATGGGATCGAGTCATCTAGTTCATGTTCAGAGCTTACTAAATTAGGATTTCAATGGTTATGAATTTTCTGAATATTTCTATCTCAAGAGTGATTTAGCTTAACGATTCTCAAGACTGAAATTCTCAATCTAACCGGTTATTACGCTTGCCACTGTGTAAGACCCCGAACGAAGTTTGTGAAAACGTTAAGAGAATGATTGAGTCGACACACAAGTGTTTTTATCAAGTTCAAAATTCGTTATGAACCTCTCTCTATACACAAGTGTTTATCGATTTCAAGACATTCGAAATTGAGCATATTCATTTAGACTACTATTGGTGTTCACCAATGGACAGCTACATTATTCTCCAACGGATATATTATTTATGACCGTTACAAGTTACAACTACCAATACTTTCTCTAACGGCTATATGACCGTTACTTGGCCACTACACTTTCTCTATATATGCACAACACCAATCTCCACATTCTCAAACGAATTAAAAATCAATTAAAACTCTTGTCTCTTCTTGTTTTCCAAAATGTCTTCTCCCCCAGGGAATTTGTTACTCGAGAGAGAGTGGATGTACAAAAGATTAGATCCGTTGAACCATGATGTTACCGATGAGTTCGTTCGAGGGCTGAGATCATTTTTCTACTTTGCACAAAAAGATGAGAAGTCGGAAGCTATCTTGTGTCCATGTTCTCGATGTAAGAACAAGAAGCGTCGAGATGCAAACACCGTGAGGCATCACTTGTACGCTAAGGGTTTCACGGATAACTACTACTTGTGGACGTCGCACGGAGAAACTGTTGCCGGGGAAGGTTCAACGAGTGCTGCACTACCGGAAGCTGGTTCTAAACGGTACTTGGAGATGTTGGCAGTGGCAAAAGGACCTCTCTACGAGGGATGTAAAGAAGGTTTATCTCCTTTGTCTATGATAATTGAACTTTGGGATATAAAGACAACGTATGATCTTTCGGAGGATTGCGTGGAAGCAATGTTGGAACTGATGAACGAGTATCTGCCACAAGGTCATAAAGCTCCAAAATCATTATATGAGGCGGAGATATTGATCAAGTTATTTGGAATGCCACCAAATTGAGTGATGATTTCTTGTAGTGGAAGGATAATAAACTATGATTCTTGATCGTTAAAAGTTTAAAACCTTTAGTTTAGCCACTATAGCTTTGTGTTAATCCATAAGCTTGACCATGAGAGAATAAGAACCAAAGATTCAATGTAATACTAGAAGAAAGGAATCTCTCAGCTTGCTTCTCATCCAAGAAACAAGAACATTTTCTTGCAAAGCAGTTGAGATTCTTTTCTTTTTCTGTTTCTTTCAAGAATAAATGTTTTAGTTATTTTAATGCAAACGAAAGGAAGATTCATTGGCAATTTTCTTCCATCAAGCACAAAAGTTCTTCAGAGATTAAATCTTTTCCTTTAATTCTAAACAAATTAGCATTCATATTCATAACATGTTTTGAAAGTCTCCTTGTACAAGAAGGTATCTACTTTTAATGGTTAAATCTTGAATGTAAGGTTAAGAATCCAAACTAGTGAAATGTTCACAGCTAGACCTCTCTATCAATCGATCTTCATAGCAAGACTTCTGATTTCTTAGAATCAATGTTAGATAACAAAAAAAATGCTAATGACTAGAAAGAAAATTGAGAAAAACCAAAACTTTCGATAAAGAAGATAACAACTGTTGGATGTGAGACACAACAAACACATAATGAGCCTTGTTACACCCTAATCAAAGTCTTCCTATAGCATTGTTGTAAGAATCTTCTTCCTCTTTGTCCACAACTCTAACCTTCTTCTTTACACAACTTTCACAATCTTCCTTTCTCCTCTTATTTGTACTCAAAGGATAAATCAAGCTCTTCTCTCTGTTTATATCAATCTGAGAATCTTCAGTCTCAGTCTCTCTACAACCCAAATCTCTATTCTCATCTAAACCAAGCTTCTCTTCATTAGTATGAGAAGCAGATAACAAAACTCCACCACAATCCTGATCCTCAATTTCACATACATCTTCCTTGTGATCATCCCAACAAGGAAACTCTCTAAACTGAAACTCAAACTTCTTAGGCACATAACCACTACATTTCCACAGCTGACGACTAAAAACCGACGAAAAGCTCTCAAACAGAGCCAAATCTCCACCAGGAACTCCTTGCACATGAACCCTTTCTTCAATCGGGATCTCTTTACACGCCCTAAACCCACGATTCAACGAAATTTCACGGCTCTGATTCGACAAATCCTCCATTCTCATGCTCTCTGATGTAACCAATAACGACTTAGCTTTATCGTCGTTGTTATTTTTGATGGTCTTACACTTGTGGCAAACAAACAGATCATCTCCTTTAACGTAACGAGAGCACCATGTGTGTACCCAAACACCACATTCGTCACAATTCACCATCTCTTTTCCATCGTCGAAATTGACTCCACAAACGCAATCCACAGTCCACGATCCATCGACCCATTCCTCGTGCGGTTTCATAATCGCGAAAAGGAGAAAACCCTAAACGCCCAATTTCTCAGAATTTTTTCACCGATTCACCCAGAATCGCTGTGAATTTCGAAGCTTTTGTAAACACAATTCGTTGTCTCTTCTAAACGTTTAGCAACGAGACGTTCTCTGTTCAAAAACTCAAATTCGCCGCGTGGGGATCAACGACGATAGCAGTAATTTGAGATTCCTGATGGTGTAAACCAATTTCTACGTGTATGTATGATGATGATTCTCGACTCCGATTTCTGATCGGAGAGATTCGTGAAGAAGAAGAGAAGGAGGAGGATTCTTCAAACGAAGATTTGATTTGATAGACGACGGAAACTGGACAAATTTTGCGTTATGAATTTTTGTTCATGAATACTTTATGGGCTTAGTTGATTAATGGTCTGGGCTTAGACTCTTAGAGGATGGATAATATTACTCTCTTCTGTTTATTTTTTCTGTTTTCTTTTCTCTTTTTTCTAAGAAATTTGTTTATGACTCTTTTCTTTTTTTTCTTTTAAAATGTAAATACAATTTTCTATTATAAATGTATGGAGATTTTGAGGCCAACCAAATTAAAACACAAAAATTACCAATATCTCAATCATAATAACAAATTTATCCACTTTTTTCAAAATTTTATTATCCCGCGCACACAAGACACAGGCTGCAAATGCAAATGGACATTTAGAGGAATAAAATATGATGAAATTAAGTGTTCCTCTAAAATTTTACGATTTACAATAAAAATTAGTGGAAAACAATTCCACATATTCTGCTGGGAATAACTGAATTTGTTCACAGTTCAGCTAAAAATTATTTCTTTATTATTTTGAAGAGGAATGAGTGTAATAAAAACATTCCTCTATACTCTCTAATTTGTATTCCACTTATTTATTCCACTATTTTTTTTGAAATACACCATTTGCTGCCATAGTAAACAATTGGAAAGGGAAAGTATTATTCGGTGATACCAAATGACATTCCAAGGAGAAAAGACAAACAATATAAATGAGATTTGGTATTTTGGTTGTTGCTAAAGGAAACTAAAATGTCTAGTACGATTCGATTTCCGAAAAAATAATACAAGACAAGAGTTTGGTAGCTATTGAGTGGATAGAATAATAATTAGGCAGCACAACTTAAAATGTAAACCAAAGGTATATTATATTTCTAACAACACTTTCCAGTCTTCTTTTTTAATAAACAACAAAACACAAGTATTTATTTCCGAACGTTTTTAATATTGTTCAATTGAGAAATAATTTATCATAGACATGTCGTATTTGTTTTTCCAATATTTTAGTTTGTCATATTTTATAGCTAGATATGTTACAACAACTATGGATCGCATTTTAAAAATATTTTATACATCCATTCTAATTTGAATAAGTCTCAGATATACCACGCATTTTAAGTTTTCTTTTCTAAATTGATCATCAACACCTTGGAATTTTAAAGATACCACAAATTTTAGGATTATGAAGGGATTTCTAGAACTTTAATGAAAATATCACTATTGATTTAACGGGAAAACGACCTATTTCCCCACGAGAACTATGACATAGCATCAGATCTCCACGGAACTATGACCCCGTTCCAGATCCCCACCAACTGAAAGTTCTCTTTCCGAATCCCCACGAGAAAATAGTTCGAAACCTATGTCTCCATTGGCCTCGGTTCTGATCGGTTCTCTATGGTTTGCGATCTAAACCTAAAACCAAACTATCTATAACCGAAACCAAACCGAATTAAAGACCCGCCTCGTGACCCGTTGACCCAAAAAACGAAACAAAAACCCCCAATTCGATTTTCTCAAAACCTAAGAACCCTAAAATCGATTTCGTGAAATTGATTGCTCTAATCACAAAATTGGTGATGTATGGAGGCTTAAGTAATGTATCAGAGGTTCGATTGGATCATCAACTTCACTGCCAACAAGAAGAAGAGTTGTTGGTGTTCCTAAGAGATGTTGGTGTGGTGAGCAAATTCTGGGTTTGATATCCAAATCCTATCAGTCTATGGTGTTTGTAATGACATGGTGTTTGCTAGCTTAATGACAATGATTTGGGGTTTTCAATGATACTTGTGGGTTTCTTGCATTTTTTATTACAAACTACTTGATGCTTTTACATCGAAAAGGATGAACAACATAGAAAATGCTTAAAAACCGTTTCATTGAGCTCATAATCCATTACCAAAAGCATCTCAATAAGATAAGTAGAAAGTAGCCTAAATCAAACACCAAAAGCATCCTACATTTGTGTTCATACACAGCCGAGAGCCATTAAAAAAAACATAAAAAGAGCTCCATGTGATCCTTCTATTGCTTCCTACATCTGCTATGTTGCTTGAGAAGATGGAGCTTGAGTGAGAGTCCCTTGAGAGGATTCAGCTTGAGTGAGATTCGCTTGAGAGGCTTCTCCTTGACCCTGAAAAATGGAAACCGCAACATACATTACAAACCACAAACCAAAGGAGAAAGAGTTTTAACGCATATACAAACCTTGTTAGAATCATTCTTGTGTTTCCTTGAGTTATGGTTTGCATCTCCACAAACTCCACAATGCATTATCCTCTTTTTAAGCTTTGGTGCCTTCTTGGTTGGAGACTCATTAACTCCTCTTTTTCTTTTGTGGTCGGCTTTGGTTGTCTTTTTACTCTTGGATTGATCCACCAACTGATCCACCGATGGATCCTTTGATTTATCCTCCGATTTATCAGGTACAGGAGGAGGATGGACCTTTGGAGCACCTGTTGTTGGCCAAAACTTTATACCTCTCACTGGAATAGGCCCTTCTTCATAGTTTCTCTTCCACGTCGCTGTGCGGAACCAGTGACAAACATAATCCTCAGGTACCTTCACTTTCACCATTATCACTCCATATGCATGCTTGCAAGGAATTCCGCAAATTTCAAACTTATGGCAGCTGCAAGTTCTCCGATCCAAGTTTACACGGTAAGGACAACCATCTAGCTTTGCTTCATAGTACCCATTAGTGGCTGCAGTGACAATACATTTAGAAGCTTCTTCGTGCTCTTTTTCAAGAAACTTAGCAACATATGGTGTACAAATCCCTGAAACATAACCAGAAACCGTCAAGTCAGCAAGTGCAAACTTAAAGGAAAACCTTTGTAAGACTTAAAGTAGAACCCAAAAATTAAAGACATACCATTGTGACCATGAGATTTGGCCGATCTCTTGGCAATACGTGCCATAGCCAATCTTCTTATGGTCTCTAGCATTGGAACAAATGCCTTCCCTCTAGCCTGTTTTATTGTCTTGTTAAACGACTCTGTTGAGTTGTTTTCCACGTCTTCACAATAGTTACCTTTCTTGTAGAAAGCTCTGCACCAACTCCTGGGATTTTGCTTCATCACATCATTGTACACACCACTGTCGTAATTGAATAGCCTGTCCAAGTTTTCCAGAAACTCTGGTTCATTGTAGCTCCATGCCAAATTCCATATGTAAGGCTTCATGTGTTTTTTGCTTGGATGCTTTTTCTTCAAGTTCCCATAGATGTGTCTGACACACATTCTATGCTCAGTTTTTGGTAACTCTACTTGAACCGCTTTGATCAATCCCTAGTCAAAGAAAATACACCATCAAACATAAAAAATTCGCAAGCCATGAACTAACAAAACGCAAACAATAAGGAATTCAAAGATAAACAAATAAGTCTATATAGTTACCTTTTGTCGATCAGAAACAATGATGTATTGATCACCATCATTAAGTTGCAAATCGATCTTCAACTTCCTCAGAAACCATTGCCAATTGTCAAAATTTTCCACTGAAACTACACCCCAAGCTACAGGGTATATCCGATTATCTGCATCTCTACCCATAGCCACCAATACAGTTCCTTTAATTTTCCCTGAGAAGAAGGTGCCATCAAGACCTAGCAATGGCCTACAAGTATTTTTCCAGGTTCTTCTGATGACATCAAAGCATACATAAAACCTATTAAACACATCTTGACCTTCCGCATTTGTCAAACAGTCAACCTCCACAGTCGAATCTTTGTTTGACTCTAGCAACTCAGCAGCATAATCTCGGAGACGGGAAAACTGCTGATCATATTCCCAATCAATCCACTTCAATGCATTATTCCTAGCTGCTTGACATTGAGGCCTAGATACAATTATACCCCATTTTTGAATCTGTTCTTCAATCTTCATTGGCATGTAGTAACTTGGTTCCTCTCGGATTTTATCTAAAAATAGCCTAGCAATCACAGGAACCTTAATCATCTCACACTTCCCATTAGGAACACATGTATGTGTATCTATGAACTTCCTAACTCTCCACATGGGATCACTTGGAAGTGTTGAAGCATATACTTGCCACTTACAGTCTTCACCATTAACTTTACTACCACCACCAACACATTCAAACCCTATCTTATCTTTATCATACCTGTATTGCTTCAGATTTCGTTTGCTTTTTAGTGCATAGTCAAGAACAGCTTCTTTGAAAGCAACTCCATTGAAGAAGGTCTGGTCTTTGTACAAATGGCCATCAGGTCCATCACCACGCCTGATATGAGGGGTTCGCTGTCTTCCTACAAGAGGTTCGCCTTCCTCTGCTTCTTCTTCACTATCACTCTCAGTCTCTGGATATTCGTTGTGAAGAATCGATGGCTCGTCTTCGAACTCCTCAACAAGTTTCTGCACAAAATACTGATCTCTGTCTTCTAATTCATCATCAAAATCTTCTGCGAGATTCTCATGAGGAACGACAACAGACATTGTGTGATTTAGGGTTCTAGGCTGTATGGAAGTTTCTGATTAGGGGATATCTAGCTTAGGGTTCACGGTTGGGGGAATCTAGAGTTAATCGGTTTAGCAAACCTGGTTAAGTTGTAAGCGGGTCATAATCAGGTCATAATCGGGTTTTATTGGTTCATAATATGGTTTGGTGTCGTGTTTATGTTGGTTAATATGTCTGGTAAGTAGAGAACCGATCAGAACCGAGGCCAATGGAGACATAGGTTTTGAACTATTTTCTCGTGGGGATTCGGAAAGAGAACTTTCAGTTGGTGGGGATTTGGAACGGGGTCATAGTTCCGTGGAGATCTGATGCTATGTCATAGTTCTCGTGGGGAAATAGGTCGTTTTCCCTGATTTAACCTTATGAAGGAGTAAGGACCATTTTCTATAAGATTACATATAATTGCTCTGGTATTTTTGGAATATTTCAAAAAGTGGTTTCTATGGTAGTTTAGGGTGTCTCTTTATCTAAATTTTCATCATATATACATATTCATCCGAAAGTAAACAATAATTTGAGAAACTAATGCTAAATAGCATCTCTAATTTTATTCCTACAGTTCCGAGAAAAACAAAGGAGCTTTAGCGTATCTTTATAGGTGTAGCGAATCACTAAAGCTGGTGGTAACTCTGCCCTTCCGCCACCGTACGGATGTGGTGGTTGATTTTGGTTACGCGATCACAGTAATTTTTGTTACTTACTTCGCTGTAATAAAAGTGAATAATGAACAATTACTGGATTTTATCGGAACCTGGATAACTCTGAAACATGTAATGTCATTGTCACTGCCTTCTTTTTTTGTCGGTAAGTTATGTTCTAGTTCAACTCATGTTTATCTGTCCGGACCATTCTCCTTTTTACAATTTGTTTCTTAGTCCTTGAATTTCAGTCCTTGAATTTCAGAGAAAATGTCAAATCTTTTATGTACAAAGGGTTTGATTTCTAAAACAATATAGTTGTGGAGTCAAAAGGGATTTTAAGTGTGAAGAATACTATGTACATTTTAAACCATTTTGGATAATTTTGTAACATTCTAATGTAAAATGTAAAATGTGAATTGTAACGTACCACGACTTTGAGACTTTACTACATCATCTATAGTAATTGTTAAAATCTATTGTACACGAAAAACTGTGCATTCGTTTTTGTACCATGTGTTATTTTACTATTCGTTCTGTCATTTCATTAAGTTAATCCCAATTCCCAATTTTGTTATATGTTTACGAGAGTGGAAAGTTGTAGATTACAAACGATGTCATATAAAACTTTATTTGATGTTTATTATAAACCAAATACGTTGAAAAATCCGGATCCCAAACCGAAAATTCTTATAACTCGTGTCATGAATACATGTTTTGGTTGATGACAATTGACAACGAAACAAAAATGAATACTACCTATCTTTTTGTGTTGACATCAAATTATATTCCACGTAATATGTTTTGGTTTTAGTGCAATAAATGTAGTACATATTTTCTGGAAATTAATATTGGGATAATATAGAGTCGTAGATTCAGGTTTGCTATGATCTAGTTGTGTCTGAAAAAGCAGAAAGAGGACACAAAGAGGCGTGATCTCTTCTTCTCTGTACTACTACGGCCCGGTTTCTACTTTATCCGATCGTTTTAACTTTTTTTTAACCACGGTAAAACACACAAACTCCAGATTTGGTATTTAATCTCAGCTTAATTTTGTTTCTTTTCTCAACAAACCTCGCTAATCTCACTCATCTAATCTCAAATTAATTACTATAAATCCTCTTTGAGCTTTTTTACTCTTTTGTCCTCTTCCTTCTTCTCTCTCTCTCTCTCTCTTGGTGGCTCCTTCTTATAGAACCCCTTTTTGCTACTGTTCCCTTTACATTTTCTCGTTCCTCAAAATCGTCTCACTTGATCGTGGGTTCCCTGAAAAATCCAATTTTTAATTCCGGGTTTGTTTCCGATTACCGAATTCCCGATCATGGCGGTCGTTGAGAGTGTGGGAGCTGAAACAGAGGTTGGTGTGGTCACGCCGTCGCCGCCGTCTTCCGTCACCAGCCAAGAATCAGGAGTCTCTTCCAACAGCGATCACGGTGGAAATGGTGAGATCGGATCCCACGTGGAGAGATCCGAAGGTGAAGAGAGCTACAAGCGTGACATGAGAGAGCTCCAGGAGCTTTTATCCAAGCTTAACCCCATGGCTGCAGAGTTTGTTCCTCCTTCACTTAATAAGAAAGGGGTTAACGGGTTTAACGGTGGTTTCTTCACCGTCGCTGGCTCTTTCTTTCCCAACAATGGCTTTGTTGCCGCCGGAAATTTCCCCGTCGTCAACGAAGACGGCGGTTTTCGTCGGGTAAGACACGTGTTTTGTCTCTTTCTAAATCAATGATTTTTGGGTTTAAAATCTTATGAATTTTCACATTTAGAGAATGAGTTAGTTTGTTTTGCTTATATCTTTTGTAATTGGTTTGTTTTGTGTGTAGTCTTGTGCGTTTTATTAGTTAAATCTCTCACCTTCTGTGTCTACAATGATATTTTACTGCTCTGTTTCCTGAAAGATCATTTATTTGGTATTTTGAAACAGAGAAAGTCGTTCGGACAAGAAGGGAAACGGAGAATGAATCCTAGGACAAGTTTCGCTCAGCGTGAAGAGGTCATTCGAAGAACTGTCTATGTCTCTGATATTGACCAACAGGTTTATAAAAAGCTTCCACCTTTCTCCAATGGTTGATCTCAGGCTTACTGTCTTCTCACTTATACTATCTTGTTTTGGGTTTAGGTCACTGAGGAGCAGCTTGCTGGTTTGTTTGTCGGCTTTGGACAGGTTTAAGTTACTTCTAAAAAGTTCATCTATAGACTCTTGTCTTTGTTTGTGGTCAGTATGTGTTGACTAAATTTGGTTATATAGGTTGTTGATTGTCGCATCTGCGGTGACCCAAACTCAGTACTTCGTTTTGCTTTCATCGAGTTCACTAATGAAGGTAAATCATCAGTTTTCATTATGTAGTCTGTTTTTGGATCGATGAGGCCTTGTAAATGGTTGGTTTAATGGGATTTTGACACTTTGGGACTTGTAGTGGGTGCAAGAGCTGCTTTGACTCTGTCTGGGACGATGCTTGGATTCTATCCTGTCAAGGTTATGCCGTCCAAAACCGCTATCGCACCGGTTAACCCAACATTCTTGCCAAGGGTGAGTTTTTTCTCTCTTGTGTGTTCATCAAAGTTATGGTTTTTTTAAAGAGTCAAGACGTTGACTTTGTAGTCCTTTTGTTTTGGCTTTTTAGTCTGAAGATGAGCGTGAGATGTGTGCGAGAACTATCTACTGCACTAACATTGACAAGAAGGTGACTCTATTGATTTTCATTCATCAGAGTTATGGTTTGTTTAGACTTAAGAAGAGTTATTCATTTGATAAGTCTCACTGTCTCAACAGGTCACTCAACAGGAGATAAAACTGTTTTTTGAGTCTGTCTGTGGAGAGGTGTACCGTCTGAGGCTGCTCGGAGATTATCATCATCCAACCAGAATCGGTTTCGTTGAGTTTGTCATGGTAAGCATATTATCCAAACTTCCATTAATGAATCTGTTTTGGTGAAAAAACAAGGTTTATGTACTTCATTAGCTTTGGTCTTGTTCTTAATCTACGTAACCTGTGATTGATTTTTCAAAAACTTTTACGGTTGTATCGATATATTAAGCTTAAAAGTATGGATCTTTTACTGTGATGCAGGCTGAAAGTGCAATAGCGGCTCTCAACTGCAGTGGAGTCCTTCTTGGTACTACACCGATAAGGTCCAAGAACAAAAATTTAACACTCTTGAAACTTTCTTCTCTCTTATTGACTATGAATCTGAACATATTTTTTTTGTGATGTGATGGTTGGATTTTGCAGGGTGAGTCCGTCGAAAACCCCGGTTCGTTCCCGTCCTGTCCCGAGAAATCCAATGCATTGACAGTGATAAGTAGCTACGAGTTTTATGATATATCACTGCTCTCTCAACAGACATGTAAAGATGTTTCAGTCTGAGAAAACTATGGTCTTTTCTTTTGTAATGCTTGGAAGCTTGATGTTGCTTCTGTTGCCTTTTGCTTTTGGGTAAATCTCTTAGGGAGTTTTTGTTATTTTACTTTTCGAGTTGCGTTTTTTACTGTTAGAGAAGAGAAAAACACTGATGAGAGTAAGAGAGGAGGCTTTTCAAGTTTGTCTCTGTTTAATGGGCGTTTTTCTTTTGTTATTTATACTCTTTGCCCCTGGAGTTGTTAGAAACTGCTTTTATTCGTAAATGTTTCTACGTTTCACATTTACACCCTTCTTTTCAAGCAAAATGTCTGTGTTTTTACTTTTTAGTAGAACAAGTCAATACTGTGCTTCACGTTAACATCGGAATTGGAATCAAATGTAAATTATAGTTTTACAGTTAACTTTTAGATATTAATAGGGGATTTGAGCAAATAAGTTAATTTGGTCAAATTTGAGCATCTCAACACAAACGGTTAAAAACAAAGAAGGGTATTTTTTTGTCGTTTGCAGGAATCACAACTAACAAGTATGTGTTGTCTAGGTGTACTTATTTTTTTGATTTTCCCATTTTTCTCCATTAGCTTTGCTTCAACACACTTCGTTGTTTGTACTTATCAGAATACTTGCTGTTCAAAAAGAAAAAAAAAGTACTTATCAAAACACTTAAGAACATCAGAACTCAATTTCAACAAAGAAAATATTATAATGATAGTTTTGTAATACATCTAAACGTAAAAATACTATGTTTTTCATTACTTTATCTCATCATTCTTTCCTCAAGTTATATTGATTAAACGTATCATTACTACGATGAGATTCTTAGATTCTTTTAGTAGGTGAATTCACTCAAATTCAAATATTTCTTAAGTTTCAGAGAAAAAAATGAAATTAACATCATGATTTTGGGAAACATGATGAAGGAGCACACTTTGGAGCAAGAAAACAAACCTCTATTGAATACTCACGAAACTTGGCATGGTTTGATTAAGCCCAGCAACATATGTGCAGCAAGAAAACGAAACCTCTATTGAGTAATCAAACCATGGAGCAATCCTAAATAGGCTTAATCATATTAACTTGGCATGGCTTGCTCCACATATGTTGTTACCCGAATTACTCACGATCCAACGCATCTTAAATGGGATTAATCATAATTTCTAGTCAAAAGATATCATATCATAAAAATTGGATATCAAAATCAGAATTTATGGTGCTGATATAGTTTAGATATTTGCATGCAAATGTCATTTGAAATTAACACCAAAATTCTTAATGATCCGTTTGAGACATTCTTAATCTGATGATCTCTCAGCTAATTTGTTTCCTTGGTTTGTCTTGCTGGTCATTGTTCATTTTTGTTGATGTTCTTATTTGTTTGTTCCGATTTTAATTCCTCAATCATAAGCTTTTGTTTTTGAAAATCTTACTGTCATAAATTATTCCCTAATTGAATCGTCGTATGGGTGCAGGATTTTTTTTGTGATATTAGAGAATGTGTGTATCAATTCACAAATAATCGAAATCATTAGTCACCATCTTACATTTGTTTAGCTGACAGGTTTTTCACTATGTTCTCTTTGTATGTTGATTTCTGAGATTTGTTTGTTGCTTAATTTATCATAATCTGGGTTATTCACATATGTTGTTTTGTGGTGAAGTTTTTCACATATGTCATATTTTGATGACTTTACAATTAGATAGTATTTTCATGCTGGTGCTGATTAATGTGTCATTATAATTTTTCTTTCATTATAGTTAAGTGTCCTTCTACATTTTTAATGCAAAATTTTAATATAATTCCAGATTTATCACTATTCTCTCAGACTAATAAGTGATTAAATTAAACAATGTTATGTATTAACTAGGGATAAAACAGAAATTTTTAATATTTTATTAATCTGTTTGAAAAAAACCAAACTACATTTATTATGAAATAGAGAGAATATATTATAGTATATCAACACATTAAAAAATATTTTCAAAATAACTATGTATTTGCAATATCTGTAGACGACAAAGAAAGAATATTATATTTGTTCCATTCAATTTTATTCTGTTTAAATTGCATTTGATTAATTTTAAATTCTTAAAACTATTGCTAATTTTTCTTTAATTAAAATTCAATGTAGAGGAACAAATGAAATATTTGTAAAATGATTTAAGTATAGTTGATATAAATAATTATGTTTTTTGGTGGAAAAGAAATATCTAAGATAAAAGTGAAGTTAATTAGGAGAGAAAAAGCATTAGAAAATTATGTTAATGTTGTACTGTATTCGTTAATTTTAACAATCTCTGATACAATTTAAAAAAAAAAAATTATATATATATATATATATATCCAATAATACTACATTTATAGTGTTATTAAAATTTACAGTATTGAATCCGGAATGAAATAAATATAAACTTACTGTGAACATAAAATTTCCTTTGAAATTTAATAAATTGTAAAATAAACACAGTATATTACAATGTTTTCTCTGCATTTTTTTTCCACTTTATCCGCTAAATCAGCTCAATGTGAGATTTCCACAAATCCATTCCTCCTCATGCATGTGGTTTCTTACGATTTATTTCGTTAGTACGATAAAATGTTGACAAAATCGCAATGTTTCGATCCAAACATCAACAAACCTATAAACCTATTAGAAAATTGCTGTTAACTTTTTTTTTGGTCATAAAAAACATAAAAATATACGAACCTACATATTGGGAGATGGTTCGTGTTCTATAGATTGGGCTCATCATTGGGGTGTTACGGAATATCAAATGTGCTCTTTTTCAAAGTGTTCCATTGCAATTTGCAAAACACAGTTTGAAATATAAGAAAAATATAAACGGTAATAAATCAATGAAGTAAACAAAAAATAACCACCTTAACTTGATCTCAAAGAGCGTTGGTCAAAAGTATTACATTAAACCAAAAGGGTGTGATATATAAAGGATGGTGGTGGACCAGATCCTTCGTGAATCTATCGTAGAACACTGAAAAACTGAGAGTTACACATGAACATGAGCATGATTTAAAAAGACCGAGACTTGCAGCAATGATAATGATTATACACGGCAGATGATAATTGTGTACAAAGAGATCAAATGACGGATCAAAGTTTTCTTTTTGTTAGAATGAGTAATTAGTTAGAACAGTTTCATTTATATATAAAATTTGAAGAAATGGTATAGATAGGTCTTGACTCGATAGAAGCGGAGAAAGTGGGTAGGTTCTTCCAACATAATCGGATAAATTGATACTACTACTAGTTATCCCAAAAATTATGACACGTTCAATTTATATAATTTTATTATATTGCTTAAAAATCGGAGTATATATTTTTCTTAAACTTACTTGCACATGTCGCTTGGAGTAACTCGTGACTCGTGAGTATCAGGGATATTGTTGTCTTTTCGTGATAAGGAATTTGGTAATGGTGACGGGTGAGAGTGAGAAACCAAACATTTATTATATTCCATTATCCCTATAATTTATAGATGGTATGTTTGAGTTAAAGAATAAATAATATATAGGAATATATTTGGAAAACATGAAGAAAACATGAAGACTCGTCTTCCTCCTCCTCCTCCCAGAGAAACCCCATAAACCCAGATTTTCGATCCCATAAACCCAGATTTTCGACTTCATCTTCTTCAGCAAAGCTTAATTTCCAGCTCTTCGTCTTCATTTCGCGCAGCAAAAATGCTGGCGAAAGCAGGGAGAGAGATTTCAAAAGGGAAGCTCAAACCCTTGTTTGCTTTTCCTCTATTCCCCTTCAGATCTTCAATAGGAACTGAAACAATCACTTCGAATCTTCCGTTTCTCAATCGCCATCACTCCAACAACAGATCGAAATCGCCATTTCTCCTTCTCCCTTCTCGTTCCTATTCTTCTTCTAATGTTCCGCCGCTAACCCGAGATGGTAACCACGATGATGCCTCTTCCGTCACCATCTCCGTTTGCCTAGGCTGTGGAGGTCATATGCAGAACTCGAACCCGAAACATCCAGGTTTCTTCATCCGGCCATCGATCGAGAAACAGAAGAGGGATTCGATTCTCGAATCGAACCTTCATCTCTTAACCATCTCTCAAGGGCCCGAAGTTATCGATTCGATCAAACGAGAGGTTATCGTCGAACCAAATAGCGATAGCGCTGACCTAAACCCTAAAGATGACGAAACGGAGAAGGAATCTTCCGATGGAAGACCGTTAGTGTGCGCGAGGTGCCATTCACTCAGGCGCTACGGGAAAGTGAAGGATCCGACGGTGGATAATCTGCTTCCGGATTTCGATTTCGATCATACGGTGGGAAGACGACTGGGCTCAGCTTCCGGTGCTCGAACCGTCGTGCTAATGGTCGTCGACGCTTCAGATTTCGACGGATCTTTCCCGAAGCTCGTGTCGAGAACAATCGACGAGAACGACAGAGCGTGGAAAGAAGGGAAATCAGGAAACGTCCCTAGAGTCGTTGTCGTAGTGACTAAGATGGATTTGTTGCCGAGCTCGTTATCTCCGACGAGGTTTGAGCAGTGGGTTAGACAGAGAGCTCGTGAAGAAGGGTTAAGCGAGACCACGAAGCTGCATTTCGTTAGCCCTGTGAAGAATTGGGGAATCAAGGATTTGGTTGAGGACGTAGCGGCTATGGCCGGAAAGAGAGGACAAGTCTGGGCTGTTGGGTCACAGAACGCCGGGAAAAGCACTCTGATCAACGCCGTGAGGAAGGTGTTCGGCGGGAAAGTCTGGCATTTGACGGAGGCTCCGGTGCCGGGAACTACATTGCCTTTTGAAGCGAAGCTGTTTGATACTCCAGGATTGTGGAATCCTCATCAGATCACAGCGAGGCTCACTAGAGAAGAGCAGAGACTTGCTCATATCAGCAGGGAAGCCTCGGACTTACAGGATCAAGGTCAATAACATATCCTTCTTGCGATTGTAACCAAAACGGGATTGTGTTGTTTATTGACTGATTGCTGATTGGATTCTTGTTGTTGTTGCAGGAAGGCTATACGGTTCATATTGGTGGGCTAATGAGACTTGACATCGATGAATCATCTGTGGATTCTGTGTATGTAACAGTTTGGGCGTCTCCTTCTGTTCCACTTCACATGGGGAAGAAGGAGAATGCTCACAAAACGCTTGAGGAACATTTCGGGGAGAGGCGTGTGGAAGAGATGGGGAAATGGGTGAGGAAGGAGTTCCGAGTGAGTGGGAGCAGTTGGGACACGAGTTCGGTGGATATTGCTGTTTCGGGTCTCGGTTGGTTCGCGGTAGGACTCAAAGGAGACGCGGTTTTAGGCGTATGGACTCACGAAGGGATCGATGTAGTCGTCCGTGACTCATTGCTCCCACAACGAGCACTCACTTTTGAAGAGGACTCTGGCTTCACCGTCTCCAAGATCGTTGCCGAAGCTGATAGAGCTTTTAACCAAAACAGTTGCAATGCTGATGTCGAAGGTCCGTAACTTCTCTTCAGTTTGCTGTTTTGATAAAAAGATTTTTTCTATCTACTGGTTATAACAAATGATGGTCATTCGATATATACTTGATATCAAACACAAACGCACGACTCTCTAACGAATATTTTTGGTTTGACAGCCACGATGAACTTCCGACCGCTTCTGGTTTCCTCTCATCTTTTGAAGATCACTGCTCCGGCTAGGCTCTGGAGGACCTGTACTTTTCCGGCGCCGGTGGCCCCTGTTTCTGCTGAGAAGCCGAAGGTAGATCCATACCATATAGTATTTAACTCTATTGTCAAATATTGTTTATTTATTACTTGTATCTCAAGCAAATGCTGTCTCTTACGTGTTCTTGTTTCCAGAGACGTTTTTCTTCTTCACCTGAACCTCTTGGTGGTGCAATTGGAAGGACTACAATCTCCGACATTGCTGCTATGGTCTCTCCCGCCGTCGTCCATATCCACGTTCCGCAAGGTAATTTATTATATATTATTGTTTTTTTTGTATCTCTTTATCCAGAGAAGCTTTTTTTTTTTTGTATTTTAATTTCTTTTTGTTGTCTTTTTGTGATTTATCAGACATTTACGGTGGTCCTGATGAATCCAACGGTAGCGGGATGTGCATCGACAACGTGGGCACTATACTAACCTGTGCCCACGTTGTTCTCAACCCTAAGAAACCTATTACAAACTCAATGGTGAAGAAGGTATATCTTGAGTATTCTCTAAATGTGTGACATTTCATATAAAGAAAGACTTTTGAGTAAAATTTGATGTTTTTTAAGGTTAGGTCATTAATAATAAATGATTGATGTCTTAATTTTATTGTAGGCTTATGTTACCTTTCCACATGGTAGACAAATAGAGGGTACCGTGAAGAAATATGACACTGATTTGGATATTGCTATAGTGAAGCTCAGCAAGCCTTCACAAGAATACTCTAATATTGTGATCGGTACATCAAGCAGTGTTCGTCAGGGAGACTTCACAGTAGGTTTCCGCTTCTTTTGGTATTATGAGGTATTTAATATCTTATATTAATTTTATCAAATTATTATTATAATTTTTAGTGTATATCTATTTAACAATTTGACTATATATTGTAGCTGCATCGATCGTAAACCTAAGGTTATGGGATTCCGACAATCGGATAGGCTGTATTTTCAAACCGATTGTTTTACGTATGAGGTATGTTTATTATATTCAAGTGTAATAAATTGGTAACATTCTTTGTCTGCATGTTTCAACCTACTAGTGAACTATTTATAAATTTAATAATCCTATCATGATTTCTACAAATACAAAAGTCTACATTTTGGGTAAGGTATTCAAAGGTGTTTCAAAATTTGCAACAGCCACAAAAATGACAAATAAAAATAAGAAAAACCAAACTACGATTTATGTTATCTTTGCATGAATCAGATCGGCTACGTTGGTCTACGTAAATTAAAAGTATGAATTCATTTTCCGATATTAAAATTAATTGAATTAAATATTAAGATTTCCGTTGTGTTTCTCAAGGAGAGTAAATTTAGTTAAACAATTGTTTTTGTTAAATACAAAATGTTGAGAAAAGTATAATTAACTGTTGATAACTTTGTACGTTTGTGTTACAATTTTAATTATTTTTTGGAAATAACATATTTGTTGATAGATTATATGAACCTATAATATAACTGGATGTTTAATTATAATATTTTTCTGTTTTTTATTTTGTTTAAAGGGTAGCTCAGGTGGTCCATTCGTTGACCTCGATGGAAAAGTTGTGGGAATCTATTTCTGGAGTCGTCATAATCACCATAACCTGCCTGAAGTCGGCTGTGGTTTTGTGATTCCTATTGATTACGCCAAAGCATTCATTCGTAGTTACTACCGTAGACATGATAGGAGGAATGCTTTTTTTCTTGAACAACAATAGGAGTAATATTTTGTATTAGGATTGATAAGCAATGTATCTAACTAACCACTAAACACCAAACCTAATTCTAGTGGATTAAATGTTTGTTTCTATAAATTTGAATATTTGATACTTTTTGGATTATTATGTTTGCCAAATCGAATACTCTCCTGAAACCTTGGGCCGAAGTGATGTTGTAGAAGAATAGTGCTCTTTTATTCATTTTGGAGAATTGAACTTTTTCATTCACTTTCAAATTTAAAATGTGCAGTTTTAAACCCAACAAATATTCTCTATGTTCTCAAATAAGTGGTTTTCTAGATTTATACACACAGATTAAAAAGATATTAAATATTTAATTTTTCAAATAAAAAAAAATGTTTTCTTATCAACTCCAACACAAATTCAACCAATTAAAAAAACAATATGCAGAATTCAAACAATCAAAACAACAAAAATATAATTAACTTATTTGTATGTAAAAACACCACTAAGTACAGAACAGAGGAAGCACATAACATTATTGATTTTATCAGTTATTGAGCTGGATGAAGAATAAGGATAAACAACATTGCACAGGTGCAAACAGCATTGGAAGCAGAAGGTAATGGATTCCTTTATATAGTTCAACGAGTGTGGAGTGGAGGACTGAGGAATATTTGGTTTGAAGGGGATAGCCTGCACTTGACAAATGTGATCAATAGGAATCAATGGCGAATGTAAAAATATTTTGAAACGAGGTCAAAAATGTTTTGGTGGGAAATTGAACTCGGATTATGGGGTCATTAAATATCATTTACCATTTCTGCTAGTGATTCTTTTGGTATTTTAGCTACATTTTACGTTTTTTATAAGCTTTATACGGTGTCAACTGACCCCTTATTCTATCAAGTGGATTTGCCACTGATTGGAATGAAGAAAATACAGAGTTAGGAATTCTGCTGCTGGATATTACATACTAGGGAAAGCCCGCGCATGCGCAGGAATTTGTTTGTATGAGTTTATTAAAAATATTTTTTTATTACTGTTATCATATGTTTGTGTGAAATTTGTATTATTTTTTAATATGTGTTTGTTTATTTTCTGAGCTGCCTTGTATTTTTTTTTAACTATTTTTTAATTTGATCGACTTAATCAAAAATTACTTCCTCCATATTTATAAAAATTGATTAACGTTACAATTATTTATTTTAGAATCTGAATTAACTTTAACTAATTGATAATTATGAAAATTTAATTTTTTTTCTTTATTCCGTGGTCAATGCAAATATATAGTATGATTGAACATCTTCTAAATATATATAGAGTTAATGTTATTATTTTGTGTGAAATTCTAGTTTTATATCTATGATTCAAGCAGTTGCATATAGGTTTAATTGCATATTTGTTTTGTTGGACATCATTTGCATAGTAAAATATCAAATATATACATGAAAAAAATAGATGTTAAATTAAAAAAGAACACATGTTAACAATTTGAAGAGACACATGTCAGCTTCTCATTAAGTGAGAAAAATGGTAACCACCTAATATTAGAATAGATAGATTGGATAAGTACGTTACCTATTTGTTCCTTGGAACATGTTAACAGATGAAGAACTAGCGAAATGTGTATATCAATTTCCTGAGCCTTTTATGTTGTATCATGTTCCACCTAGTTGGTTAACAAACTATTTGATTTTTCAATACATTTCACAGTTTAATAAAATATCAGTTGTTAAAAAAAAAAACCAGTATTTTATTTTAATAAAATTGTTTGATGTTAAATTTAATTTAAATATTTTCCTGTATTTTTAAATTTATTATTACATTAAATAATTATATTTATATTAAACATATGTCATTTTGATTTTACAGTAAAAATAAACTTCAAAATAAATAATAATCTCTTCGTTTCAAATTGGTTGTCGTTTTGGAAAAATGTATCTGCAAATATTTGGATGTATCTAGATCAAAACACATCCAGGTATATCCAAATATTTGCAGATACATTTTGATAAAACCACAACTAATTTGAAACGGAGAGAGTAATAATTTTTAGAGAAAATGAATCTAAATAACCTTGGAAAGTTTAAAAATAACTACAACAACCTTTGTATTTTACAAAGGTGTAAAAAGACTTGTTAAGTTTTTAGGAGACCATGTATTACAAAACTGCCACTCCATCTTCCTAAACCAAAACCAAAATCAAACCAATTTATTAAACCGAAATCAATACCAAAATTTAATATAAACCAAAAATCAAACTTAACCAAAACATAAACCAAAAATTTAACTTAACCTAATTTTGCAATTAAAAAGTAAAATTTAAAATTTAAAATTAAAAACAAAAAACTAATAAAGAAAAACTAAAATTATGAAAAAAATAAAATTAAAAAAAAAACAAAAAAAAACAAAAAAACTAAATTAAAAACTAAAATCGAAAAACTAAAATTAAAATTATTAAAAATTTAAAATTAAAATAAAAAAAAATTAAAAACTATAAATTAAAAAATTAGTACTAAAAAGGAAAATATTAAAATTAAAAATTAAAGCAGGTTAAACATTTAAAAGTAAAATTTTAAAAGTTAAAATTTTAAAATAAATATTAAAAATGAAAAATGAAAAATAAAGATTTAAAATTAATTAATAAAAATTATTAGTTATTGTTTAATATTCATTAATAATTAATAAAAATAATTATTAATTAATATTTTTTAAAACATTTACCCAAAAATAATTTTATTAATTTAAAAATTTTACCCAAAATTCATAATTAACTCTAATATTATTGTACTATAGAAACAAAATTCTACGACCATTGTAATTGCTATTAATAAGTTTACACTCAACGAAGTAAGTCTACGTATGTGGTAATAAACAAATAAAAGTCTACGGCCATTGCAATTGTTTTAAATAAATCTACGTTCAGTAAATTAAGTCTACTACTATTGTAATATACAAACAAAAGTCTACAACCATTACATCTAAGTTTACGTCTGTTTTATATACAAATAAAAGTCTACAATCATTGCATTCTTATATATAATGAGAGGATAACTTCTCTCCAGCATCCGCCACGTGGCAGCGTCCTCTTAAAAAAAAAAATTTACGATCGTAGTCCTTGCACATTATTTGTTTTACAAAACAAACCCCAACATTGGATCCTTTGGTTTTCTCTCCCAAATCGACTCCTAACCCTAACTCCGACATGCCGAAACGCCGCCTGCCCGCCGGGACACTTCCTTCCGTCTGAATTCGTCGCCTCGCAACCGGAGCTGCCTCCTCCACTCACCACGACCGTTTTCGTCTCTAATTTCTCCATCCACGAAAGTCTCGCCATAACAATTGCTCCTACACAGATCTCCACTTCGCGGCGCCGTCTCAAGCCTCTCTCCGACAAACCACCGATGCTCAGTGATGCGGCATCTATGGGATGAGTACAAGTAATAATTCCCTAAGACAACTAGTGTTGCAAGTGCACAACATATAATTGTAGTATTTAGGGGTCGAACCACAAGGGATTGGATTTCACACATTACATAATCATAGAGTTTAAGCTAAATCAAAATATGCAAGGGTTTGTGTTTGTTGAGAACACGCAAAAGAAATAACAATGCAATTCTATACAAGCAACATTATTGAACTATTGAAAACTCTTTTGAAAACATGAGCCAAGTCGATTGAAAAGTTTGTTAAAATCCGATTCTTTTGAACTCAAAACACTAAGGAAGGATTATTCCACTTTCGTGGTTCCAATCCCCTATGTCTCTTAAACCAATGGGCTCAGCTTTCGTTGGTCATTGTAGAGTGAGACATGCATTACATCCAAGTAATGATTGTTCACAAAACTCTTTAGGTCTACTTTCGTAGCCTAAAACGATTTGCCCATCAAATATATGTCCGGAGATATAACAAGCTTTTGGAGAGTATATCAACCTAAAATCAAGTCACTAGTTAGCTACTCTAGCAACAAGCATTAAGCATAAATAAAGATGGAGAACCATAGGGTTTCCCCTTTTAACAATCGATTTTCAAGATGGCCATTATATCACGTCCTCATTGGAAGGATCCATAATTCAACAATGAGTCTTAGATAGTAGATGAAGTCTCATGAATCCTTAGAGAGAGAGGCGGCGGAATATAGACTAAACCACGCCTCACCCTTAGGGAGAAATCTCTACTTCTAGACTATATAAATTGAAACATGCAAGCTATATACAAATGCAAAAGAAGAAAAGAAAGAAGAAGGAGACCACCTAAGTGGCTCCGAACTTTATTGAATAAGTGTTTCTTGTTATGCGGCTGGTGATTCTTATTACAAGAGGCTAAAAGCAAGTATATATAGGTAGAGAGCGGGTCTAGGTCGGCAAAGTTGAGCGCGCGCAGAAGAGGAAAGTTTCCATTTCTCTTTAGCCGCTTGAGCTTGCTCTCCAAGTTCTTGAATGGGCCGCGTTCAGGCCAATGGAAGCTTCTGGATTGAGTTATGCTAGTGTCAAGATGAGCCAAGGCCTTGGGCGCGGTATCTCGGGCCTCTTGATCCATCAAAGTCTCCATGGGCTCTACTTAGGCGCTCGTCGGACATGTCTTGGTAGAAAATAAGTTCCGGTCCAACGAGTGATCCAAATGACCTCTTTCCACTTCGCCGCGGGTCATGACTCAAATATCTATCTTTCCATATAAGAATCATGACTTTTGGACGTCGGGAAGGCATGAATATGCGGTCGTACTTCGGATGCTCCGGTTTGGTCTTTAGCGAGAAATGTAGATTTTGGTGCTCTAGACTTGGGAACTTGGTGATTTGACTCTTTTTGCTCCATTTTGACTCTTCTTTGCTATTTTGACCTGAATGATGCTCAAAACCAGAATATACAAGAAAACTACCTCTTGGGCTTAAAAACCACATTATTTGTATTGAAAACATAGTGAAAACCTTGATAAAAACATGAAAGATATGGATATATCACTCAGTCACTCGCATCAACCATCCACCAACCTCCGCTTACAGTAGATCCACCCCAAGTCGTCCGCGCTCACTCACTGAGTCAAGAGAAGGTCTTCAAACGTTCTCCGATTTCGAATGTGGGATTGAATTATCGTCAGCTCCGTCGACGGTCGATCCACATTCATCACTGGCAGATCCCACCAATGCGGAGGCGGATCAGAGGCTAAACAGGACCAGGACGTTTTCGAGGGACTGTGTAGCGTCAAGAGATCGCCGGAGAGTGAGGGATCTGGTAATCATGGTTAAAGTTTTGCAGGTTTGAGAGATGTCGGAGAGATCTTGAGGGTTTAACCATGGGATAATCTAATCTGCACACCGGTGAAATGGATTGGTGGCCGGGATAATGAATCGACGCTCTCTGACTCCGAGACTAGGCTTCTTCGATGGCTTCATTTTCGGTTTCTATTAAGTCGGGAGATAAATTTGGTTCAGTAACTAAAATCCGGTTCGGTTTCATTAGTGCTTCATAGCTTTTCCTTTATTTCATCTAATTCAATTGATTTATAAATATAGTGTGATTTTGTTTGCTACTTGATCTGTTTTCTTTTTTTTGTTTCACATTTAAAGGATGCTTGGAGATCGTGTTTTGTTTTGCATTCTCATTATTTGAAAAAGGCAAACTATGACACGATGACTAATGCTCTTTGCTGATGACACATTTCTTTGCAAATCATAATTTTGGATATTTTGTTGATGGCCGTATGTTTTCCTCTTAAAGCTACTCCTATTTTATGTGAGAAGCTTTGAATTGGATCTTGTTTGCTACAGGATGGAAAAAGAGCAAGTTACAGATGGAGAAAGAGCAAGTAAAAAAAAAAGACGGTAGTCCAATTTCCAAGGGAATGGGGTTCGTATTCTTCCTCTCCTCTCGTATCCTATGTTCCTTGAATTTCTTCTTGGTTTTGTTTCATCTTTAAGAAAAGAGAATCAAGTAAACTGAAACAGAAAGCTTGAGCTTAACTCGAAGTTTAAATCACTGGTTCACTCATACGATGCTTGCTTCGTTTTGACCAGAGAAAGCATTTCTAAGGTGTTCAAGGTCGTCAAAAAGTAAATGTGTCTTTATTATTAATCTTTGATTGATGATGCCCTCTTCTTTCACCCTACACTACAACAAATATGGGTATTCATAGCATACGATATACACTATTATTTGGTTTTTATAGCTCTTTCTTATATGCTATTACATCCGGAGCTATAATAGAGCGGTCACATAAGATAGCGTTTATTTTCAGGTGCTATTGTTGGTGTAATTACAGTAGCTGTTTATATGTGTTATTATTATCTGTTTTTATAACACAAAATGGCTGTCATCGTTTTGCGCACAGTAGCGTTTACGAATTGTTATAGTTGTATTTACAGTAACGCACTTAATGTGCTGTTCAATGTTTTGTAGTAGCGTCTCATGGCTGCTATTCGAATATCAATCGTAGCTTACATTGTGTTGTAATATATTATCCAGTAGAACTATTTGCGTGTCATTGGATTAACTTTCGTGGCGTTTCTTCATTGCTACCGTAATATGAATAGTAGCTTTATTATTCGGCTATTACTTGCCCGCACCATGGCTTTATATGGGCGCTATTAGGATAAATACGTTTCGATTATTTCGTTTCAAAAATATTTTCTCCATATGACAAATCCAAACGCATAAGAGATACAAAAATAAGATCAAAATAGGAGTTGCAATATCTTTTTCATTCAGAAAACCACAAGTCTGGAAATACATAAGTCTCAATTCTCAATTCTCACAAATAGAATAAGTTCAAAAGTGGATCAACCACAACAAAGGGGAATATAGGATATGTTTCTTACTCGGTCTCAAAGTAGGACCACTTTGTCTTCAGGCCACGCTATTGCGGTCCCAATAGCATCTTCCATGCACTGAATTGCTGAATTAGGCTTCCAAACAGCTGCATCGTTCACCTTCACAGTATCGACCCATACACGCACAGCCTCAAAGCCTAAGGGCACAAAATGCACCATTTGGTCCGGGTTATTTGAAGACCATCATCCCTCGGCAACAATCCTCTTCTGACCCGTTATGTCGAGCAGTTTGCATTTCTGATCTTCCTTGCCAACAACTCCTGGAGAAACCTGAATCAAGTTGTAAACAACCAGGTGTATGGTCAACAAGTGCACAACATAAAAAGATCACAACATATCTTCAAATGCAACCTCTTATGTGAACATTAAAGATGAGAAAATACCTGGTTTGAGGAAGCTGGCGGAGTTTGACTTAGTGGTTTTGAACTCTTGACAGGAGCTGCGGGAGTGACTAACTGTGACTGGCCACGAGGAGATGCAGTAGTGATATACCCATATCTTTCATGTTTTTATCAAGGTTTTCACTATGTTTTTAATACAAATAATGTGGTTTTTATGCCCAAGAGGTAGTTTTCTTGTATATTCTGGTTTTGAGCATCATTCAGGTCAAAATAGCAAAGAAGAGTCCAAAATGGAGCAAAAAGAGTCAAATCACCAAGTTCCCAAGTCTAGAGCACCAAATCTACATTTCTCGCTAAAGACCAAACCGGAGCATCCGAAGTACGACCGCATATTCATGCCTTCCCGACGTCCAAAAGTCATGTTTCTTATATGGAAAGATAGATATTTGAGTCATGACCCGCGGCGAAGTGGAAAGAGGTCATTTGGATCACTCGTTGGACCGGAACTTATTTTCTACCAAGACATGTCCGACGAGCGCCTAAGTAGAGCCCATGGAGACTTTGATGGATCAAGAGGCCCGAGATACCGCGCCCAAGGCCTTGGCTCATCTTGACACTAGCATAACTCAATCCAGAAGCTTCCATTGGCCTGAACGCGGCCCATTCAAGAACTTGGAGAGCAAGCTCAAGCGGCTAAAGAGAAATGGAAACTTTCCTCTTCTGCGCGCGCTCAACTTTGCCGACCTAGACCCGCTCTCTACCTATATATACTTGCTTTTAGCCTCTTGTAATAAGAATCACCAGCCGCATAACAAGAAACACTTATTCAATAAAGTTCGGAGCCACTTAGGTGGTCTCCTTCTTCTTTCTTTTCTTCTTTTGCATTTGTATATAGCTTGCATGTTTCAATTTATATAGTCTAGAAGTAGAGATTTCTCCCTAAGGGTGAGGCGTGGTTTAGTCTATATTCCGCCGCCTCTCTCTCTAAGGATTCATGAGACTTCATCTACTATCTAAGACTCATTGTTGAATTATGGATCCTTCCAATGAGGACGTGATATAATGGCCATCTTGAATCGATTGTTAAAAGGGGAAACCCTATGGTTCTCCATCTTTATTTATGCTTAATGCTTGTTGCTAGAGTAGCTAACTAGTGACTTGATTTTAGGTTGATATACTCTCCAAAAGCTTGTTATATCTCCGGACACAATATTTGATGGGCAAATCGTTTTAGGCTACGAAAGTAGACCTAAAGAGTTTTGTGAACAATCATTACTTGGATGTAATGCATGTCTCACTCTACAATGACCAACGAAAGCTGAGCCCATTGGTTTAAGAGACATAGGGGATTGGAACCACGAAAGTGGAATAATCCTTCCTTAGTGTTTTGAGTTCAAAAGAATCGGATTTTAACAAACTTTTCAATCGACTTGGCTCATGTTTTCAAAAGAGTTTTCAATAGTTCAATAATGTTGCTTGTATAGAATTGCATTGTTATTTCTTTTGCGTGTTCTAAACAAACACAAACCCTTGCATCTTTTGATTTAGCTTAGTCATTTAAACTCTATGATTATGTAATGTGTGAAATCCAATCCCTTGTGGTTCGACCCCTAAATACTACAATTATATGTTGTGCACTTGCAACACTAGTTGTCTTAGGGAATTATTACTTGTACTCATCCCATAGATGCCGCGATCAAGTTTTTGGCGCCGTTGCCGGGGATTGCATCATAAACACTTGCATAGTCTTGTTTAAAACTAAGTCTAGATCTTGGTATTTTCGAATACTAACTTTTTTTTTTAAATCTTGTGTTTATAGGTACTTGGAGATGAATCACAACACCAACATCCACTTTGGGAACCGGACACTGATCCCACACGATCTCCACGGCCGGAGTTACCAAGACCCAGCCGTAAGCATCGTGCCACATCCGTTCCCTCCCAACCGCGCTCATCCGACGTTTGAAGGACCTAGCCGAGACGAGCATCATTACCATCATCATCAAAACCGACCTCCGGTTTATCATCAACCACCTAGACCAGTGTTGCATTCACACCACGACCATGTTCTCAATAGGCGGAGAGATAGCCATTTCGATGCCGTGCTTGAGGGTTTCATGGAGAGCCAAAGAAAACTAGCCGCGACATTGAGACAAAGCTAGAGTTCACGCGATACGAACTAGATGGAAGACTTGGAGAACTCTCTACCCAAATAGAGAGAGTAGAGTCAAGATGCTTGGACATGGAGGAAGATTTGAAGAAGCAAGGCGAGGCCATTGAAGACAATAGGAGAGCGATACACTTTACCAAAGTTTCTACCAAGGAGATGGACAATCACTTAGATGAGAAGATCTCAAGTCTTGATAACAACCTCGATGGCACCACCAAGAGTCTCAATTCAATAACAGCAGTAGCTCATCAAGCTAAGAGGGAGGTAGCCGAAGTAACCTAAAGGAGAGGCAATGTTACTCGACGATGCTTACATTGGTGGAAGGGCAAAAACAAGTGAAGGCACAAATCCGAGATTTACACATCTCTCTAGACAAGAGGAGCCAAGATATTCAAAGAAGAGCTAGAGGGCTTGAAGACAAAGTAGATGGAGTCTCCAAGGAAGTCAAGGATTTAACCACTCGCTTAGCCAACTTGGAAGAGAAGGTCTTGACCGAGCAAAGACGACCGTTCCTAAGCAAAACTATGCCGCGCCCGTCTTTACTATAAGAGAGACCGACCCAAGAGTGATTTGGGATGAAGAAGAGAGTAGAGCTGATCAAGAAAGAGCCACGAAGCTAACCACTGGAACAAAGAGAAGATAGCACCAAAAGGAAGAACCCTTACTCAAAGGTCTTCACAACCGCCTCCCACCAAGGAGAAGAGGAAGACAAGATCATCACTTGAAGAGATCATAGATGATTTCAACTTTATGGCGAGGAGATTCCCTTATGGTGTGCCGTTTGATAATGCTTGCAACAAGAGTCCATTCATGCAAGACCTAGCTTGGACACAAGATTGGAGTCTAGCTGAATTGGAAAAGATGTACGAGGAAGCAAGAAAGGGGATGCCTAAACCTAGGTTTCTACACAAGCTTCATGACCCAGGTTACTTCCTTATACATTTCTCTATCAATGGAAGCTACTTTGATGATGCTCTTTGCGATTCCGGTTCTAGTGTGAACCTTATGCCGGCCGAGATAGCCAAGAAGTTGGGATTGATCAATTCAATTGTGAAATCTCGAATGGATTTAAAGCTAGCTGATTCATCATTGACCGAACCACTTGGAGAGGTTAAAGACATTCAGCTTGATTTTGGAGGCTGCATAGTTCCAGCCAACTTCTATGTAGTAACCATGAAGGATCCGGAGGACTTAAAGCTTTTGCTTGGAAGATCATTCCTAGCCACAGCTGGAGCGATCATGGATTGGCCTAATAGAAGAATCTCTCTAGCCAATGTTGACAAGGACACCTTCTACGATGCTGCACCTCCCGGTTTCTCATCCAAGCGATTTCGCTACACAAGTGGAGGAGAGTGCTCACAAGTAAGAGGAGAGTCGCATGGCTACTTGATCAAGGAAGTTCTACAGGACAAGATGCACTTGGAATCATCAGGCAACAGGAAGTTCTTGGAGCCACCAATCCTACCTAACTAAGAACACAAAGGAGTCGAGCTACAAAGACTTAAAACAAGCGCTTGTGGGAGGCAACCCACATTTTCTTATCCCTTCCTCTTTTTATTTTTGTTTTTATTTTTATAACTACTTATTTGTTCTATTTATAACTCTTAAATTTTTGAGAGTTTAATAAATTTTACAAAAATAAAATAAAAAGTGTTTTAGGAAAAAGTACCAAAAAGGAGGCTTACATGAAAAATGCATTGGAAAAGCTACATCGCCACCAATCGGCCCAAGGATCAACCATCTTTGGTCTAAGTATGAAGCATTGAGTCTAGTTTGAGTCCCACCCAAGTCCCACCCATGTTTCAAGAAGCAAAGAAGTCCAAGAAGGGCCACGGCACAACAAAATCCGGCCATTGGAACACTATTGCACAAGGCAAAGGTAAGTATCACTTCCATTCTTACTGTCATTTCTTTTAAACACTATTTCTATCAAATTAAACCAATAACACTACTTGGATTTCTGATCAAGATCACAAGTACATATGGTTTCACGATCAAGTCTTTGATTGGGAAGTTCAAACATTTTGAACAACTCAATCATTGACAGAGTTTAACAAAGAGTTACTAGTGTTTTTCAGATATAAAACATGACAGGAAAGACCGGTTCAAAATATCAACAAACATGGCGCGCAAGGAGCCACAACCGGCCAAAGGAGGATTTACATGCCAAACATGAGAGATGAGGGAAATCCAACCACAATTCAATCCAGGAGGGATAGAAAAACAGTTCGGTCGAAGCAGAACTCAATTGGCCCGAGTAAATAAGGAGATATCAACATCACAACCACTCTCTCGGCCAGAATCGACGAACCAAGCGACAATGCTCGACCATCTCCCAAACGGCACGACCGAAGTCCACCAAACTTCACAGGCGACCTCAAAACATCATTTTGGTCGGCAAATCCAAAAGATAGGACGAAAAAGTGCCTGCTACGTGAGATAGACGAAGGAAGCTCAATACGGCCGACGGCGATGCATAGAATGGCCGACGAACTCAAAACCTCAAGAAGGCGCGAACACCGGTGGAAACTGATCCTCTGGAGTCCAAAAAACACCAAGGAAGAAGAAAGGAAGGAGACGATCGAACAGAATACAAGATGGCCAAAGGAATCACATCCCGAGCCATTGGCGCGCACAACGAAAGATCTCCGAATCCACACGTTCAAATCGCCTCAAACTTCACAAGGAGCCACAAAACATAAGGTTGGTCGATGAAATTCATTTCAGTACAATGAATTCCTTACAATTCAAGAGATGGCCGATGGAGTGAAATTTGGCCGATCGCGAGCAAGTAAAATGGCCGACAATCCAAATCACGGCATTTACCGCGGCCACCGGCTCAAATCACCTCAATCAAGCATCCACATCGCATCTAAAGAAGAAAATCCAGATTGGAACGAGCAGAATTGGAGAAGCCGAAGGAAGACGTTCCCGGAGCCAATTTGAAAATTTTTCAAAGGAGATCTCAAACCACTCGTTCAAACGACCCCAAACTTCACCAGTCGCCATATTATACAATATTGGTCGACGAAATTTCAAGATAGGTCGAGGAAATCTTCACGGTTCGAGCTGTAGTCCATACCATCACCATCCGGTCGACCAAAACGGACCAGTCTCGGCCAAAAAGGCGAAAAACAGAAAACCAAGGGAGAATTGTCACATTCATCCAACCAAATCCAACAGCTATGATGTTTGCACCAGTCAGATCATTCCTGGAAGCAACCAAGCACAACCGATCTTCACATCAAAGGCCAAAAATTTGGGTACAATTTTCTACAAACTCTAACTTTTCCATTCTTATTTATCATTACCTCTCTTAATTGGATTTTTCTTACACCGAGACGGTGCAAGTTAAGTCTGGGGGGATTACTAACAAGTTTGTTCTTTTTGAATTTCATTGAGTCGTTTTATTGAGTCAAAATTTTGTCAAAGGATTATGACCTTATCTTGGATCTAACCATTGTTGTGCTAACGTTTAAGTGACCATTGAAGCAGTCTTGGCAATACATCTTACCACAGGGACACTATGAGTTGATCGATCTACCAAAAACGCCCACACCTCCAAGGACTTGAGAAGGATCCACTCTTGACTCCGCCCTTAATGAACTTAATCTTCTCAGCTAGGGGCTTGGCATACAAATGGCATGATTCCTCATCCTCTCCATCAAATGAAAAAGTCTTAGTGAGTTCGTGCTTCCCTCTCTCTCCCCTTCAAATTTAAAGAAAAAGCGTAAGGTCCAAGTAACCGGGGATTCGGTGGCAAACACCATCAATACTCGCGTCTATGGAAGGCCTATGAATCCAAGCAACCGGGGATTCGGTGGCAAACACCATCAATACTCGCGTCTGTGGAAGATCCAAGCAAAACCTCTATAATAAAGAGAAGGAGTTGAATAAAAAAATACTTCGCTACCCTAAAAAAGGGATGATCAACTCAAAGAAGTGAGAAGAGAGAGAGGAGAAACATGGAGTAAAAAGACAAGTGCCAAAACAAGGGGATGAGTAAGAGTCTAAAGCCGGCTGATCGATACTCCCTAGTTGAGACCACACCTTTAGAAATGAAAGGAGTCAAGGAGGGTGAATTGGATTGTCCAAAGAGAGGTGGGCCGCCTTGGAAAAATCGCAAAACTCATGGTATGTACTCTTGTTCTTAATTCAAATATTTGCCTTTACTACTTTCATGTGGATTACTAAAACCAAGCCAACCCGGATTTCCTAATGATTTGAGAGTTCTTGCGTTTTCAAACCTCTCTTCCTCTCTTAGTTTGCTTGGGGACAAGCAAAAGGCTAAGTCTGGGGGAGTTGATATACCCATATCTTTCATGTTTTTATCAAGGTTTTCACTATGTTTTTAATACAAATAATGTGGTTTTTATGCCCAAGAGGTAGTTTTCTTGTATATTCTGGTTTTGAGCATCATTCAGGTCAAAATAGCAAAGAAGAGTCCAAAATGGAGCAAAAAGAGTCAAATCACCAAGTTCCCAAGTCTAGAGCACCAAATCTACATTTCTCGCTAAAGACCAAACCGGAGCATCCGAAGTACGACCGCATATTCATGCCTTCCCGACGTCCAAAAGTCATGTTTCTTATATGGAAAGATAGATATTTGAGTCATGACCCGCGGCGAAGTGGAAAGAGGTCATTTGGATCACTCGTTGGACCGGAACTTATTTTCTACCAAGACATGTCCGACGAGCGCCTAAGTAGAGCCCATGGAGACTTTGATGGATCAAGAGGCCCGAGATACCGCGCCCAAGGCCTTGGCTCATCTTGACACTAGCATAACTCAATCCAGAAGCTTCCATTGGCCTGAACACGGCCCATTCAAGAACTTGGAGAGCAAGCTCAAGCGGCTAAAGAGAAATGGAAACTTTCCTCTTCTGCGCGCGCTCAACTTTGCCGACCTAGACCCGCTCTCTACCTATATATACTTGCTTTTAGCCTCTTGTAATAAGAATCACCAGCCGCATAACAAGAAACACTTATTCAATAAAGTTCGGAGCCACTTAGGTGGTCTCCTTCTTCTTTCTTTTCTTCTTTTGCATTTGTATATAGCTTGCATGTTTCAATTTATATAGTCTAGAAGTAGAGATTTCTCCCTAAGGGTGAGGCGTGGTTTAGTCTATATTCCGCCGCCTCTCTCTCTAAGGATTCATGAGACTTCATCTACTATCTAAGACTCATTGTTGAATTATGGATCCTTCCAATGAGGACGTGATATAATGGCCATCTTGAATCGATTGTTAAAAGGGGAAACCCTATGGTTCTCCATCTTTATTTATGCTTAATGCTTGTTGCTAGAGTAGCTAACTAGTGACTTGATTTTAGGTTGATATACTCTCCAAAAGCTTGTTATATCTCCGGACACAATATTTGATGGGCAAATCGTTTTAGGCTACGAAAGTAGACCTAAAGAGTTTTGTGAACAATCATTACTTGGATGTAATGCATGTCTCACTCTACAATGACCAACGAAAGCTGAGCCCATTGGTTTAAGAGACATAGGGGATTGGAACCACGAAAGTGGAATAATCCTTCCTTAGTGTTTTGAGTTCAAAAGAATCGGATTTTAACAAACTTTTCAATCGACTTGGCTCATGTTTTCAAAAGAGTTTTCAATAGTTCAATAATGTTGCTTGTATAGAATTGCATTGTTATTTCTTTTGTGTTCTAAACAAACACAAACCCTTGCATCTTTTGATTTAGCTTAGTCATTTAAACTCTATGATTATGTAATGTGTGAAATCCAATCCCTTGTGGTTCGACCCCTAAATACTACAATTATATGTTGTGCACTTGCAACACTAGTTGTCTTAGGGAATTATTACTTGTACTCATCCCATAAAGATGCAGCGAATCAAGTAGGTGGTGCATCTGGATTAAAATCATCCACCATCACAACCCTACCCACTGGCCATGCCACAAAGGTTTTAAGAGAGTCTTGAAGAATTGAGAGTTCTTCTGTTGGCCGCCAAATGAATGTATCCGGATCCAAAACCACATCAACAAAAACTTTCATCGCATTTGGTCCAAGAGGAATGCCATTCACCAATGCCTTGGGATCGCGAGTCTGCCAACGACCTTCAGCAACAGGTTCCTCGTCAGTTGTTAACCAGTTGAGGAGCTTGCATCTATTGATAGAAGTTGTGCTTGGGCTCTATATGTAACACATGCAGAAAACAGAGTAAGAGATATTACTACACTATTAAGAGCTTATACCACAAATTATTCTGCTAAATAATCCTAACCTTAGGTGGAATGTCTTCTGGTTCCAAGTCATCCTCAAGGGAAACAACACAGTTCTAGGGCCACGCTATAGTTTCGCCTACTTCTTGAGCAATAGTAAACATTTTTGCAGCAGGTCTCCACAGAAAAGCCTCCCCATTGACGGCTGTCTCAACTAACACCTTCACCGAGTTAGGTCCCAATGGAATGTTGTTGATGAAGTCCATATGGTCCGTAGACAGTATTCGACCCTCAGCTACTTTTAATTCGGAGCCACACTAGTCAAATAGAAGACACTTCGTCTGTGTCTTCTGATTGACACTCTAAAATTATCAGTTTGGAAATTAGCTAACTCTAGTTGAATTTAGTAAATGACGGATTTCCTCATATCAAATCATATAAATGCTTACTCTTTGTGCTGAGTTTTCACCCACATCTGCTTCAGAACGCTGGAAGTTGCCAAACAATTTCACGTCAACTATAAGCATTGATTATCTACATTACGTAAGTATAATAGATATGAACTTACGTTGCCTCCGAGACGCGCAAGAGCCTCTTGTAATTCATGGACCTGATTCTGTAGATGAACTTGAGTATGCTTCATCTCTGTCACGTACTTGTTCTTTACTTGAAAGCAAGCAAGTTTGCTGATACTCATCCCTCTTCCCATTGCTCTCAGGCGACTGGGATTGTCAGGTCCCAATATCTGAGCAAGAGTGTCTTCTGCGGGGTTTGATGATGAAGCAGACTGAGAGTCGGATTGTATGAACTCTTTTGCTTGATCCTAACAAAATAGTATTTAACGTTCATTTAACATGAAAAACAAAATCATGTGACATATAGAACGAGAAAAATTAGACTTACAATCTTTACAGCAGCGTCCGTGTTGACAGCTGTACCATCCTTTTTGGTTCTTGATTTAACCCACACACTAAGTCTTGATACCTCGGCCGGATCAGAGCTCTCCTTCTTCTACAAAATCATAAACGTAACTACATGATGCTTTTACAAATACATATAAGCAATTGTGAGTCAATGCACTTACTAAATCTTCATAGAACCTGACCATCCCCTTGTGGCTACATGTGTGAGGAATCTGCTTTCGTCTTCTCTCCTTGTACGAGTCACTGATAGCCTGCATACATGTAGTAGTTAAATAGTAATGAATAGATAGAAAGCAGGCGTTTGTTAATTAATACCTTGAACTCTTGGCTAGGTTTCTGTTTGACAAACTTCCTCCATTCTGCCATAGGGACATTGTCTGGCCGGAGTTTCATTCTTTTGGCGTGGTTCTAAGCTTTCAGTATCGGCTTCACCAAGCGTGACTTAGAGGCTCTCCAAAGACATCCCATCTGCTTCATGACAGCCGCCTTCTCATACTCTCCTTCTAGCTCAAACCATATCTACAATCAGACATGGGCTTCAATCAGTATACATCAAGCTAATACGTGAAAATAGCTGAATTGAATACATAATACCTTAATAGATTTCAACAGAACTGTCTTCCGCTCTTCACCGATTTTCCTCCAGTCATCTATCAACACCGGAACATGTTCCCTAACCAAAAGGCCTAAGTAAGAAGACAACTTAACTGATCCTTCACCACAAGGTTCGCCCAACTCTGTGAACTCCACTTTTATCCTGGTATTAGGATCTTTTGCAATATCCTTCATCTTAGTGGGTCCTCGGTGTTTCTTTGACCGTCGCTGAGCCGTATCAGGAACATCCTCTCTCGCACCGTCTTGTGAACTGGTCTCCTTACGGGTTTGTTCTTCCGTACTCTCTCGAACAGCCTCATGTACATCCATCTGGCTATCTATCGTACCCTCAGCCATACCAGGCTCAGTGTCTTCAAGTTGTGTGTCATCAGGTTGTGTTTCTTCCTGCCTTCCTCCATCTCCTTCTGCCGGTATAGTGTGAATGAATTCCGGTTCATCATCTGCAACTGTGGACTTCCTCTTTTTCGAAGTCTTCTTCGTCTTAGCCATCAGAATCCTTCTATAAAACTCATATTCAGAAAACAAGGTCAAACATAACATAAATAAATCAAGACCATCCCATAGCAACGTAAAAAGCAATACCAATACCATAAACTAAACCAATTATCAGAGTACTTCAGCAAAAACACAAAACCAAACAAAAAATCCATGAAACACAGAAAAACATATTGACTCAATACTCAGCACATCAACTGTCAGTGAACTAACACCATCAAACGTAAATTCCTTCACAATCATCTCTGACATTTGGTGCTCCGTCTGCCAAATCTTCTATACCCATGTCAACCTCTGAAGGTAGCGGACCTACTTCTGTGTTCACTATTTCATCATTCTCATCACTGTATCTCCTAGATGGACCTCTCATAGCTACATACCAACTGGAATCATCGTTATCTCTAGAATAAAATATTTGTCTCGCCTGAGATGCTAAGATGAACGGATCCTTGGAGAAAGATGCTTGACTCTGATTCATATTAACAAGTGTGAACCCATCTTTAACTTTAACCCCGTTTCCTCTAACAGCCCAATGACACCAGAATATGGGAACGTAGAACACATTGTAATCTAGTAGGATAATATCAACTACTTTGCCATAATATGAAACCAAGTCTACTACTTGTGCTGTGTCCTTAGCACTAGATCTACACATCGCCGTAGCCTCATAGTAAACCCCACTATTCCGACTTAGTCTATCAACTGAGTTGGTATGAAACCGCAGTCCATTCACAATATACCCTGTGAAAGACCTGGCTACACTCCGCGGACCATAAGCCAACCATTTCAGAGTATCGGCTTTATCTTCAGCATCTAGCCGTATCTATGATGTAAACGCTGGTGTTAGTATACAATGAAAACAACCGAAATAAATTAAATAATAAAACCATAATGCAATTTATTCATGCTTGTTGCTTTAACCATGTCGGGAAATTCAGAGTGTGCATACTCCACAAATGAGTAGAATTCCGACGACATCTACCGTTTGTGTCTTGGAGTGTTGTAAATGAGCCCTTGCATAGGAAAAGAAAATATAAAACATGTATCAGTATCAAATTATAAAAATATGAATAAAGTACATAGAAAAATTAACACTTACACAACATAAGGTTCCACCAAGGCCGTATTCTGAATAACAGCTAAATGAGCAATTTTCTTTTCCATCTCAGTCAAACTGAATGAACTACCGGCTGATAAAGGTCGACCTTCCAAGATTGATTTGCTTTCATACTCAGTATTTCGCTCGGCCTTTTCCTCTACGTTTGTTGTTTTTTTCAAGAAGGCTGCGCAGAACCTCATACATTCTTCTGATAGATAAGACTCAGCTATACAGCCCTCTGGTCTGGCTGGGTTTCTTACATAGTCTTTCAATACTTTCATGTACCTGCACACGTTACAAACGAGAGAGACAACAATAAGATAAACTTCATAAATAGAGACATATATACATGTGTGTATCTAATAAGCAAAAAGATTACCTCTCAAATGGATACATCCATCTGAAATGAACCGGACCACCTAAACGCGCCTCTCTACCGAGATGCACACACAAATGCACCATGATGTCAAAGAAACTAGGTGGCCAGAACCTCTCAAACATACATAGAGTTTCCACAATCTCTGTCTCCATTACTTGGATTTGTTCCATATCAATAACTCTTTGGCATAGGAGATTGAAGAACACACATAACCGGAAAATGGCTAACCTTGGACCCTTAGGTAGTAAACCTCGGATCGCAACAGGCAGAAGTTGCTGCATCAGGACGTGGTAATCATGAGACTTTAGTCCCATCACTTTCGATTCTTCTAATGACACACACGAGGAGATGTTAGAACAATAACCATCTGGTCCTTTAAAGTCAAAGAGCCGCTTACAAAATAGTTTCTTCTCCGTCTTTAACAAAGACCAAGGTGCAGCAGGAAGCAACGTCCTTTTACCCTGAGCTTTAGGATGCAAATTCTTTCGGATACCAAGGGCTTCAAGATCTTTTCTAGCTTTCAGGCCGTCTTTTGAATTGCCACAATGTAACAACGTAGCAATTAAGCTTGATGCAACGTTCTTTTCCACATGCATCACGTCTAGGTTGTGCCTAACTGGGAGCTCCTTCAAAAAAAACAAACCAAAACAGAAAAGTAAATAATTAGTACATACAATTGACTGTAATGGAAATATATTAATGTATTGTGCAAAATAAATATTCATACCTCCCAATACGGCAATGTGTAAAAGATTGACCTTTTCTTCCATCTAGATAGCTCCTCTTCGTCTTTTTCAACTAGGTTTTCTTCTTCATCTGATTCACTGCAGTCGTCTTCATTGTCTGAATGAACCTCAACATGAGCAGCTCTGGATCTTTTCTTCCCAGTCTCAGTTTTTTTTCCCAAAATCATTCTTGTAACCCTTCAACAGAGAAGAAAGATTTCGACCCGTCAGTATCCGTTCCTTTATCCCATGCTCTGTCTTCCCATCAAACCATGTCTTCTTACCCCGGAAACTATGCGATGGAGATAAACCTTTCCTATGGCACATATATACATGTTTCCGACTATTACTAAGCCACAAACTATCTGTGTGCTTTCCACATATAGGACAACCCATTTTCCCTTTTACTTTGCACCCAGCCAGATTTCCGTATGCAGGAAAGTCACTAATTGTCCAAAGAAGCATTGCCCTAAGAGTGAATGTCGTTTTACTAACAGCATCATAAGTTAACTCGCCCTTAGTCCACAAGTGATTTAGATCTTCTATAAGTGGTTCTAAATAGACATCTATATTGTTACCTGGCTGATGCGGTCCAGGAATCAGAAGACTAAGCATGATATTCTCTTCTTTCATGCAGAGATCAGGCGCCATGTTGTAGTTCACTAGAAGCATTGGCCAACTAGAGTATCTACTGGTCTTCATGCTGAACGGATTAAACCCATCCGTAGAGAGACCAAGCCGTAAATTTCTTTGCTCAGCTGCGAAAGACGGGTACTTGGCATCCATTGAGACCCATGTAACAGAGTCTACTGGATGGCGCAGTTTCCCATCACTACTCCTGTTACTGAAATGCCATCTCAAATCCTTAGCAAGACTTTCAGTTCTGAACATTCTTTTAAGCCGAGGGATTATTGGAAAATACCTTAACACCCTATTCGGAACACCCTTCTTGACCTCACCAGTGTGCATATTTTTTTTCCATCTCGAAGCCTTTCACTTAGGACAACTCTCGGCTTTCTTAAGCTTCTTTCTGAACAAGCAGCAATCATTCACGCATGCATGAATCTTTTGATATCCCATATCAAAAGATTTGAGGAACTTCTTGACATCGTAAGTTGAAGTGTGCAGGACATTGTCTTTAGGTAGCATCTTAGGAAATGTTTCCAGTAAGTCGTTGAAGCTCTTGTCGGACCAACCATTCTGAGTCTTTATTCTGAAGAGAGACATTATAGCAGACAGCTTGCTGTGGTTTACACACGTTGGATACAACGGCGTCTCAGCCTCTGCAAGTTTAGCTAAAAACTCATCTTCCTTTCTATCCTCACCCTCAGCGACTTCTACTAAATCTAAACCCTTACTAGCTAAATCCTCATCCAAACATGTAGCTGCTTCGTATAATCCAAAAATCTCAGTATTCCTCACACTATCAACACCTTCTACTGCAGCTACAGATTTACCGTGTCCATGGTAGAACCAATCAGACGCCAACTTGTAACCCTCGTCCATTCCATTAATCACTAAATGAGAAACTACCTCATCGCTTGTGCGGCGATCTAAATTGCGGCAAATGGCACATGGACATGTTATCTTCCCATCTACACCTACTATGGTACTAACAGCGTTAACAAAACCCCGAGCACCAGTCACATAAGCAGGATCGACTCTTCAGTCCATGAAAATCAAAAGGAAATAAAACAAAAACAAGATCAATACATTTTTCAAACGAAAAAAAAGGATAGAGAAAAGACATGTACATACCTGCATAAATTAACCCATGCCTTGTCCAACATTGTAATTAGTCAAAAAAAAATGAAAATTTCGCTAAGTGTTCGCGCTTAGAACAATAATTTGGCGGACTAGAGTCTTTCTAATTGCCGCTTCTTTTTTTTTGGGCATAACATTTATATAGTGCTATGAAAACATTTCCAAAGTACAAATTAACATTTCATAGCAGTTACAGAAAAAGTGCTATTATCGTCTGCTATGAATACCCATATTTGTTGTAGTGCTATGTCCTGTGAAATGTTCATCTTTGATTATTCTTTAGAGAACCAACATTTGTAGTGATAAAGATTTGGCCTTTTGGTGTTTCTGATATGTAATCTCTGTAATGATTCCAATTCCAAGAAAAGAGTAGCAGAACATGAAGAAGATGGAAATTTGTAGAAAAAGAAGCTACCAAGAATGTTTATAGCAAAATGGTGAGGTTTATTGTTCATTGTATTTATGGGTTTGAAAACACATAAATGTGAAGACTTTATGTTGTGTCGAGGTGGTTGTTATTAGTTTGTGGTGATGCAAAAAATATTTAAATAACCGACGCTAAAAAATAAACTCTTTTAAACTGCTGCTAAAATATAAAATTGATATTTACTGGTGATGCAAAAAATATTTAAATAACCGACGCTAAAAATAAACTCTTTTAAACTTATGCTAAAATATTTAAGTAGCAATTTCCATTAAAAAAATATATATATAAAGTTGAATTTCATTTAATCTATTTTCTGGTTAATTTATAGTGTTGATATTCGACAAAATAAGAAGCACTATACCACCGAACATTTATATGTGTTGATATATAAGAAATATAATATTGACAACTAAAATATAAATAAAATATTTTGTAATAGTCACAATATGCATATCTCCACCTAAAAAATGTTTTCGACTACCGAATCATATCGTCCAGCTCAAGATACACATCAATTCTCATAATGAGAAACATGAACCAGAAAGAAGGATTGTGCAACGGGACAATGTTGATGGTGACAAGGTTAAGTGAAAGAGTTATCGAAGTGGAGATTATAACCGGAGCTAAAGTTGAGAAGAGAATTCTTATTCCAAGGATCATCATGACAATAGCAGACACAGACTCCCCTTACCAGATAAGATGGAGACAGTTTTCAGTACGTGTTTGTTATACAATGACTATTAACAAGAGTCAAAAACAAAGTCTGGGGAAGGTAAAGTTGTATTTACCAAAATCGGTGTTCAGTCACGGTCTTGCGTTCTCGAGGGTTACATCAATGAGAGATTTAAAAATTTCCAGTGGAGAAGCACAATCCGAAGAAGACAATGAAATGACCAATATTGTGTACAAAGAAATTTTTAACAACATACATCAGCAATGAGAGGTATGTTAGATTACATTTTTCTATTAACATCTACAACAGTTGCATTCATATACAATACGCAAGGAGACATTTCATTTCGCTCGCTTCATTGTTTTCTCGCTGCTCTCTCTCACTAGCCTCTCTATCTCATGGGCAAAGATGTTGTCTCTTTATATTTATGTTGTTTAAAACTAAAGATTTTAATAATTCATGATTTCTTATATTTTAAAATAACATATTTGATTTGGATTTTATTTTTATGTTCCTTAAATAATTTATAACTATGTGGATAGAGTTTAAAAAGGATAACTATATAAACATAGAATAAAGGTAATAATTCTGAAAATCTGAATTTATACTTATGAAATAGTTTGTAATACACACTACCTGCGCATCACGCGGGCCAAGCCCTAGTTGTTATAAATAAGTCTACCACAACAATGAATAAATCTACTGTGCACCAATAAATCTACAATCAAATAATATAAATCTACCATAAAATAAACAAAAGTTAGCATGTTCCTTAAATCTACTGTCAAATAAACAAATATACAAGACAAAGTATAAATCTACAGTAATGTAAACTAAGTCTACCGTAACATAAACATAAAAATAAATCTACGGCCAAAAAAAATAAGTCTACAAGAAAACTATAAATCTACGGCTACACAACAATAAATCTACAAAATGCCAGTTCGACTTTGACATTTTTTAAAAGTCTACTGCAATACGAATTAAGTCTACAAACATAAATCTACAATAATAAAAATAACTCTACAAAATCAAAAAAAACTCTACAAACTTAATTAAGTCTACGGAAACTAAAAATAAATCTACAAACAAAAGTCTACAAATAAGATGATAAATCTACAAGACGATATAAATCTACAAATCGAAAAATTAGTCTATAATCTACATAACTAATAAGGCTTGGACACTCTCAAGCCTTTGACACGTGGCACTCTTTTTTTTTTTTTTTTTCGCCTAACACCAAAACGACGTCGTTTTGCGCTTTATTTTTTTTTTTTCGTCTTACACCAAAACGACGTCGTTTTGCGCTTTATCTTTTTTTTTCGTCTTACACCAAAACGACGTCGTTTTCGTAAAAAAAAAAAAAAAAATCTAAATCAAAATTATGTGTAATGCTGTTCGTTTTGATGGGCTTGATTATTTATCGGACCTCTTCGTTTCCATGGTAGCTTTAAATGGGCTTACTGGCTAATTAGCTCATTTCATTTCCTTTTAAAAAGGATTGCAATTATTATTATCTATGAGTCTGTAGGATAATAATCAATCTATAATGATTGTTAGTATAAGGAAAATTAGAAGAACTCAACTCCAGTCGATAAATTATTGTATAAAAGAACAAAAAACATATGAAACTATTCACTATGAGTCTATATAAGATTTCACGTAAATAACAACTAAATTTTAAAACTATATGAAAAAAAAAAAATGCAAAACTTACAGAATCTAATATATTCGAGTAAAAAACAAATGATATATTCGAATCTAATGTTCTGAATAATTAAATTAAAAATATTTGGTTTAATAAACCCGCGCATTGCGCGGGTTCTCTCCTAGTTTTCATAATAACTCTACGGTCATTGTTTGTAGATTTATTCTTGTAGACTTATTTTGGAAAACGTCTTTTGTAGACTTATTATCCCGGTTCATTAATGGCACTTTCGTAAATACGTTTTTTTGTCACCAAAGAAATAAGGGTAAAATCGGGAAAAAAACTGTTTAAGCCACTTGAATTTACAAGAGTTATTGTAGTTATTAACTAACTTTCCAAGGTCATATTCATCAACTTCCCTAATTTTTAAAGTGAAATAATTTAAAAGTTAATGACTCTTTTACAATTTTAAAACTTCAACTTCAAAAGAGAAATAAAAATGAGATCATCCCATATTTGGAAAAAAAATACCATATTTTTCCAACTTGAAGTTGAAAATGAGGTTAGGTTATAGTAAAATTGACTGCAAAATGGCAGTAAAATTGAAAAATGGAATTGAATTAGAGATGCTCTTAGAAGTTTATTATATACAAGATATGGCTTATTGTTGAATTAGATAATTCACATTAAAAGAATTCTTCAAAGAGAAATCTATTGCGTTTATCTGCTTATTCGAATTAAATAAATTAAAATATCGATTATTATTGAATCAACTATATTATTATTTACAAAGTGATTTTGGGGAATGTAATTTTCTCACTCACTTTCACAATTAAAATGTTCAAACTGCCATTAATAAAAATATCTCAACTATTATTTGCAACACGATTTATAGAATGAAGCTCTCTCATTCAACCACACATTTAAAAAAATCCAAATTGCCACTAATATTTTTTTTAGATTTTACATTGTTTACGTTTTCAACATTCGTATATATTAATATATAAATTGTGTTTATCGTAACATAAACTATATAAATTGATATTGTGTACCATGGTTGTTAAATATTATTTACTAGATAAGGTTCCGCATATACGCGAAGTTTATTTTCAACTTTTTGAATAATTTACGATAAAATATTTTCAAAAATATGATTACTCTTAAAAGTAAGTCAAATGATATTACAAATCCGATAAAAAATACACTTCAGTTCTATCGTACAATAAAGAATAATAGGGATGTATTAATTCTGTAATAAACATATTATAATAAGATATACATTTAAATAATTGAATAATTTTGTTGTTAAGTAAGATATATTTTTTAAGATTTCTAGTTTCCATCTTTCGAATAACATGAAGTCATAATTTGTTTAATTCTAAATTAGAGAAAATAAAAAATGGATGGAATCACACAATTAATTTTTGAATGTTATAGTTCATTATATAAGATTAATTAAGTAAGACATGTAATATGGTAAATATGCATTTTTTCGTTAGAATATGAAAACTTTTTCTATTAGAATATGACATGTAAAGAGACACAAGATAATAGAGATGATAAACTTTTTCTTGTTTATCTCAAATATGTGAGGTTGGTAACAAAATTTGTGTACATCCTTTATCTTTTATCATCTTATAGGATCTAATCTTTTAATGTAATATTTATTTTCTACTTCATTTGTCTTCATAGAATCATGGAAGAGTTATAAAAAGCTATCTAACTTATCACACACTCATGAGTTATCCACAATATTATGTACATGATCACATGTTCATGTAAACATGTTCATGGGATATAAGTATTATATATTCATATGGATATAAAGAGTGGAGATAGTTATATGAACATGGATGCGTTGGTGTGGATATTAATTTTCTACTTTTTACGTGAACAACACTACACCCATAAGGCCATACTTTGTCCAAAATCATAGATGGACACATCCTAAAATTCTATCCATGCTACTTTGTCCACTAACATTCTATCCTTTACGAGTGTCCAGTAAACTTGTAAAGCCCTGTTGTTTTCTCACACACATTTTAACACGTTTGATATCAAATTGGTGGGCCATTTTTCAAATTGGGACATGGAATGGACCCTACAAATTCACGTTTTAGGCGCTAAACTGTCTTGTAATTAGTTAAGCCTGACTCGAATTAATTATGAAAATTGTGCGGATGGGACGGCCCGTATTGAGATTTGTAAATGGGCCGAAATTGAGAGCTGAATAAATCCCTCCCCTTCCTTCACAATAATAATAGTGAGAGATGTGAATTTGTAGGGTTTGACAATTTCGAGACAATGAACTTCGGCCGTCTTCTATTGTTTTCCTCTTCTCATCTTTTGAAGAGAACGATCGCTGCTCCGGCTAGCGTCGAGAATTCTCATTTCTGGAAGAGGGCATGTACAACCATCGCCGGTCCTGCGCTGGCTAGGACCGAGCCCTCTGTTGCTCCTCCATCGGCAGCGGCTGGCGTCAGGGCTGATCTATTGGTGACAAGCGATGGATCCTCAGAATCTGCTCGGAAGGAGAAGGCCAAGGAGGCAGCCAAAACGCAGAGGAAGAAGAGGATGATGTTCGAGGAACTACTTGACAATCTTGGAGCAACGAGAGTAAAAAAAACGTTAAATGCGTTGAGCAAGAGGGAGAAGGAATATGGAGTTTCCATCACTCAAGCAGATCTGGTTCGCTGGGCTAAGCGTCTGGACAAGGATGGAAAACATCAGCAAGCCTACGAGGTAGATCGATCGAGAAATTGATCTTGTTTGTGATTTCGATTGGATTTGTTAATATGTTTGAATTCTTTGGCAGATGTTTAAGTGGATGGAGGCAAAGAAGATGACATTTTCTCCCTCCGAGCTTGCAACCTTTGTGGGTCTAATTGAAAAGACTAAAGACTTAGGTGAGGCTTTTGCCTACTTTAAGAAAGCAGACCCAGACTTCGACAACATGGACATGAAGTGCAAGAATTGGCCTGCTTACCAAGTGCTCTTGGAATGCTACTTTGCAAGAGATGATCATGCCGCTTTTACTTGAATTACTACAAGATAAGTTAAGTGAGTATGTCTTAATCTTAATGAATAAATTAATCATGGCTTTCAGATTTACTTTTTGTCAGCTTGATTCTGAATTGTTGTATCTTTTTTCTTTTGAACTTAATTTATTGTTGTTATGTCTGTGGTAATACCTATGTAAGCAGTTAAGATGAATCCATTTCAAAAGCTTTGTTATTTTTTCCTTAAAGGCGATATAAACTCTCAACAACATCAATTGTTCGGATTGTATTTTTAGGTTTATAAAGAGTGAATTAATATTTTTATGTACGGTATAATATACACAACAAAAAGGAAAGAATTACACTTAGGGACTTGTTGAAAGTGGTGCACTTTTATGAGGCGAGTTTACACATTTGCCCTCTTTTCTATCTATCGTTTTCACATTGACCTCTTTCCATTTTTATTTCTTTCTTCTTTCCGACCAACACCAAACGTCGGCGGCGGATACCTCTCTCTTCTCTTCTTGCCGGCGTCCTTGGACAAGAAAAATTTCCCAGATCCGCAAGTCACTTCTGAGTCGCTTTTTTTTTTTGTCGCTTGGTCTCTCTCTCTCTCTCTCTTTGCTGCTCGTTCTTAGTCATGGTCATATCGACTTCAACGAATACAAGCTCAGATGTGAACTTCGTGGCCACGATGATGATGTAAGATTTCTCGCAAACCTTACTTGATCTGATTTTGCAATTTTCGATTTGAAGGTATTGATTGAATTCGAAATCCCCAACTTTTGCTCTACATTATGCAATCCCCAACTTGCTCTACAATTTACTTTTGGACAACAACTCGTTGGATGCTTTGTTCATACCTCGTTGGATGCTTTTCTTTTCCACGCTTTGCTTACCAATCACTGTCTCTACAGGTCATACATCCCAAGATTCGTCTTCTTGGATGCTTTTGCTGTGGATACTTTCCATACGTTCCCATTGTTTGTATGCATTCGTCTTCTTGGATGCTTTTCATATGTTCCCATTGTTTGTATTAACTATTAACTGTTAAGCTGTAAAATGAACACATTGTTACTCTATAAATGTAAAAGAAATCAAACATCAAACTTGTGACTTCACCTAAGAATTAGCTTCTGGATAGTTTAGATGTGGATGCTTTCTTAGTCATTTTGTCTTTGCTTAAACAAGCTTGGTTGGATAGTTTTCGCTTTTGTGGGCACATTTTTCGCTTTTATGGATCGTTACTTAGATGTTTACAGATCTTCTTCATCACCTGAATTGTTCTTTACAGGTTTTTCTACGAAATAATGAGATGTGGACTGATTTTCGTCTACTTATATTTGGTTTACGAGTATTTGTCCATGCTTATTGGTGTTTCACTATTATTGATTCATCTAGGATTATTGATTTAACTAGTTATATGTCTTATGGTTTTCAGGGCTTAGTGTTGGTTCAAGACAGTAATAATTCTCATGCTTTTGGCATTCTTGTTTATCCAATTCGTTTTTTGTTTTCCAGAATTGAAGAGATCTCTTTACTGTTTGTTTTGTCAGTTTGGGAGGATACTTGATGTGTGGTTACTTTGAAGAAAGCTTGGTTTATGTAACGTGAGATGCAAAGTTTCTATGAAATTTATGTATGTATGATGAATCTTTGGTTTTTCCAGGCGCTTCAGCAATTCGTGAGCTACCTCCGGAGCAATTTTGCCGACAAGGTTTGTACTTGGGAAGACAGAAGAAGCTGGTTTCGGGAATGAGATGTACAAGATCTTGACGACAGCAACATTGAGCATAATCTTGAACAGATCCTTGATCATTGGCCAGACCAGGCATATATTGGTTCTTTCTGAATCCCTTTTCTCTATTTTTTTTTGGGAACTAACTACATTGAACTTAGAATCAGTACTAGCTTTTCCTTTTGTTAGTTTCTGTTATCTGTCTGTTTATATCTTTCTCTCTGTTTTGTTTTTTTTAATCTCAGGGGAAAATATCCATTTGGTGATTACATTGCTTACAACAATGCTCCATTTACACTGACTGAAGTGAAGCGTCTGTGGCGACAAAAAAGCTGCCTGAAGAAATACGGAAAGCGGCTTGTAATGAGATTGGACGATTTTGAGAAGCCAACCAAGACTAACGTCTTATGCAGCAATTGGAAGAAATGGGAAGAGCCTATTATATGGTTAGTCACTAGTCAGTGAGAAAAAAAAAAAAAGATACAACATCGAATCCGTTAGTGAGAATTTAATCGTTACTGAGTCGTGGATTTGGTTTCTCTCCAGGTTTCAAGGCATAACAGATGCAGTGGCAGCTCAGTTTTTCCATACGAATTCATCCATTAGCTTCTGTCCACGTGATTCAGTCCATCCGTTTATCTCTATGGCTATCATGCAACAATGCATTTCAATTTTTGGGTTGCCATTAGGATACTGATGCAGAGTATCTTTCCTTTCTTCTTCAACAAGAATCAAGTTTTCCTCTGTTTCATCAAACCTGCAATTTTCTTAAAACCTGCAGTTTTCCTTTTAACTTTAAAGTTCAATTTCTTGTTTCATTAACAGTAGTTTTCCTTTCCTTAGATTCATATATATGTCGCTATAAATAGTTGCCTCTATGCTTTGTAAAGATCAGACTTGGATTATTTTAATAAGAGCTTTTGCTTAGAGAACAGAATTCTCATTCTGTTCTTTGTTCTTGGTATTCGATCTCTCGAATCAACAAGACACAAAGGGAGTTCACCACCGGCATTCTTTGAATCAACGGTTTTGAGCTTTATCTCGTTACTCTGTTTCACTTGTCGCTTCCGCCGTCAGATACAGTCCAAATGAATGCTTTACGAGTGTTTAAGCCATACTTAGTTTCTAAAAAAAGATCCCAAAATTTGGAAACAAATCCAAAACATATTGAAATCGGCTATTCAAGTTTATTATTACCACGCAAGAATCACTTGTTCCTAAATAATCATATTTTTTCTTAAGTTTTTGTCCACATTAAAACGGTGGATAGTCAATGTAACCGTACAAAATATATAACAAAACGTACACATCCTTTAAATTGTCCAAATACGAAACTTGCTTCTATTAAACCCAGCTGTCAGATCCATCCTCTCCCAAAAGAAAGAAACAAACTTGTCCACAGATAACCGAATAACAGATAAATGGTGGATTGCTATGTAATCGTCCAACCAAAGAATATCTAAAGCCTACATATATCTTTAACTGTCCAAAAACAAAATTGTCCAAATCTCAACCGTATCAAAAAACAATATAACTGTACACAAATGTCATAACGAACCGTCCAAACTATCCAATTGTCCAGAAACAGCCTTCGAACACATATAACAAACGCACCCAGATCGATAAGTTTCCGGCGTATCGTGAGCTACCTCCGAATTTGTTGAATGGATCGATTTCGAGAGAAGAGGCCGTACAGATTTTATTATCCCGGTGATACAAGTTTCCTATTCCAGTCGATACACTGCCTTGATCATAAGTTATTTCCGGCCGGTGGTATATTCCGCTTATGTTCTGTGCACAAATGTCGGAAGCGACACAGTTAAAAATTCAGATTTTTTTAACCTCTGATTCATTAAGGGTGAAATGGTCCATCACAAAATGGCAAAGTCCACTTCTGAACAAAAGTCCCTCTTTTTGTAGAGAGAACTCAAAAAGAAAAAGAGGTTAAAGACGTACCAAGAATTTTTACATTCTTTGGGTGAATAAAAGTTGGGCTTTAAAGTTGGGCTTACGGAGATATATTTTCCACCAGAAATGCTGCTTTATTAAGTTTTCCCGGTAAACAGAAAGGAATTTTATATTTTCCATCTCAAATATACACGAAATACCTGACCCGAACCGAAACAATATATCTAAACCAAACTGAAAATACCTGAGCCGAATCGAATCAAAAACTTTAAAATACCAATTGGATATTGAGGCTGAGTAACTTCGGGTATCATGTAATACTCGAACTGATTCCCGAAGTAAACCCGAACAACCCAAATTTTTTGGTATTTGTACTAATAATACATATTTTATTCATCTTTTATACATTGTAAAACTCTGATTTTCAGATAATATAAATATTTTCGGGTATTTTTGCAAGTTTGGGTAGTTTCCGATAGATTTAGGTAAAATTTTGATTTTCGGACAATAAAAATACTTTTGGGCATTTTTTGCAAGTTTGAGTAGTTTCTGATAGGTTTGGATATTAAATAACCGATCGGAATCGCACCAAGAAAAAGTTTGGGTATTTCGGTTCTTAAACAAAAGAACCGATATACCCGAACCTGAACCGAAAATTAAAAAATACTCGAATGGGTCAAAACTTCTAAAACCGATAAAAACCCAATACCCGAAATATCCAACCCGACCCCAACCGAATCGAATACCCAAACACCCAGTTAAAGTGGCTGAAGATTAATACGCCTGCAGGACTTCGCTTGGGGAGGGTTAAACAATCATTGTTTTAGGAAAAGTTATGGTGAACTCTAAATACAGTAGAACCTCTATAAAGTAATACTCGATAAAGTAATAATCATGAGAAAATAATAATTTTTTCCGGTCTCAACTCGGACCAGTGTAAAAATAAGCAAAATGCGATAAAATGATAAGATAATAATATTTTTGAAACTCTTATGTAAAAATATGGTCTCAATAATGAGTTTAAGTAATAATTATATTAAACTATACATATATGTTTAAGAAGGTTGACAAAAAAAAAATATATGTCTAGGAAAATTTATGAAACTATGACTTAAAGTTTATCTTTAACTTTTTATTATATTAAAAACTCATAATAGAATTTTTTATGTGCATCTAAAATTGTTAAATACGTTCTAAAAACATTATTTTCAACTTCATTAATAGCTATTTTTTCTAATATTTTATTTTAATTTTTATCGTGTATCAAATTTTATAGAATTTTTTAAATAAGCTAATAATATATATATTTTGTTACGATATCCAAAAGATTTGATCATAATATCAAGTTTAGCATCAAGTTTATGTGTGATATATTAACAAATAAGTTCTTCTAAATTCTTAATACATTATCGTATGAAGAATAATTTTCGAATATTATAAATTCAAAAAAATATATTTTTATAAAATTAATAAATACTTTATTTATTCATAAAGTAATATCTCTATAAGATAATAAAATTTCAAAGTTCCAACATTATTACTTTATAAAGGCTTTACTGTATCTCTAAATTCCGGAATACAATTTTTTTTGTTGTCGAGGATGCCTTCCCTATAAATGAACATCCACAATCCATATATGGGAAAATGTGAATAAACTATTAATGAAAGTATAATTTATATTTTTCAGACGGACTGTTCCGATGTGGTGAAGATGGTGTCTAAACCAGAGAAGTAGTCGGCTTTCTCACTATTGCTTGACGAGGTGGATAGGAGCTTCAGCTCTTTTACCATCATGCATATACCAAGAAAGGAAAACACGAAGGCAGCCAAGTTAGCACGAAGTGCTCGAGCTCTACCTACAAGTGTGTACTATGTAAACTCTGTTTCACCATTTTTGATTTCCGAGCTGTTTTAGAAATAGAGGCTGTTGACAAAAAAAAAACAAAAAAAAAAAAAGTTGTACGCCTTAATTATGAAGTGTAAATATTGCAATTATAACTCACCAAATAACATTTCAATAGATTCATCAATCGAAAGAGATGGACCGTCCCAACCTCCATTCAAAAGATATCAAATCATTAAAATTTGATATCAAAATCAGATTTTATGGTGATGATATAGTTTAGATATTTGTATGCAAATGTTATTGGAAATTAACACTAGAATTCTTAATGATTCGTTTGAGACATTCTTAATCTGATGATCTCTCGGCTAATTTGTTTCCTTGGTTTGTCTTGCTGGTCACTGTTCTTTTTGTTGATGTTCTTATTTGTTTGGTTCGGATTTTAATTCTCCTATCAAAAGCTTTTGTTTTTGAAAATCTTCCTGTCATGAAATCTTCTCTAATTAAATTCATGTGGCCAAAACTCCCTTTTTAATGGCCACTTAACTTTATTTCTTTGTTAGAGTATAAAAGATCTAAGAACTGGTTTCATTCTTAGATTTTGTTTTTTTATATAAGAATAAAATTTCGCTCCCAATTGATTTTTCATTTGAATTTCCTTGTTATTTACATCTTTGTTTTATGTGTCTATTTTCATATTGTTCCCAGGCTTCGGTTGCTTAAGCTCAGGCACATCGAAAAGCTCTTCTACAATGAATTTGATCGTTGGCCCTAGAGCTCGGTCGACCCTTGCGGGTTTTCCCTTTTGTGGCTCCCACTTTCCGAGCATTGAATCTAGCTTTGCGTGAATCTCTTGAATCAGTTCCATCCCTTTTGTGAGTTGCGCGGAATCATGGTCTCCCATTGGATCGAATGGCTTTGCTACCAAATTGATATGATCCAAAACTTTAGCCCTAGATCTTGTAGTTGCTCCTTGATAAGCTATGATGAACTCAAGAGAATAAAAGAGATTGAAAGAGTAAAAGCTTAGCTCCCTCTTTAACCCTAATTCTCTCTTAGAGATTAAGGTTAATTCTTTAGACTTCGTTTCTTATTAATCAATAGAGACCTTTATATAGGTCTTGATACAACTTTGATCATAACCCTAATGTAAAAAGGAAAACATGAAAACCCAATTCATAAATTAAACCACCAAAACATTAATTAAAAACAACTAATGATCCTCTAAAACACCCTAACCATAATCATGTATCACACATGGCCTGAGTCAAACGCTTAATATTTATAATCTAGAATATATATAAACGGAAAATATATATAAAGCAATATTTTGCCTTTATACCATACTGGCTTTCACGACTCGGAATGCTGGGACAATAATAATAGTGACCATCAATAAAGTCAAATCGTCGAATCCAAAATCTTCGGATATCTGATCATCCATAAGTATGCACTCTCTTCCCTGAAAAATCATATCATCTAACAATGGAATTAGTATACACTATCTTGGTTAATTTCAGGAATCAAACCTCTTTCGCAATTGGTCACAACTGTTTTTTTTTTGTATGAATATAATACTTTCAGCTTGTGGACTTGTTTGACTCTTCTCTATATATATTCTTCTAGTCTAGTTAGGATCTTCAGCGATTACCGCAGATCCAAATAAATGTGAAGCTCCAAAAGAAGGATTCTAGTGGCAATAAGAAGGCTTTGACGCTGGAAATCAGATTGGAGAAGATATCAAACATGAATAGCTCGAGGGCGTCGATTGCTAAAGGTTTCACTAATAACTTACCATAGACTTTACTTTGAGCTTGGAAATAAAAACGTGTTGGGATAAATAAAATTTTGATCACATTCATATGGATTATAGGTGAAAGAAGAAGAGTGGTGGTTGGTTCTTGGGTAATACTCCAACTTATGAACTCTTTGCTGTGAAGATAGTTTCTTTTACTGGTCGCTTGATCACACGCATGGAGCTACCTTCAAACATAACTTCTCTTGAGATCCATTTTATTCTTCTTTTTTGTTTTATAACTAAATCGGTCTCTCTTACACTCTTGCAGAAGACCAGTGATGTGCTTTTTAAATAGCTGAATTTGTTGTAATGCTCTTTTGGTCAGGATACGAAACTAACATTAGTGTCATATTGTTAGTTGGGGCTTGAGCAAGAACACTCTATTGAACAACTTGCACGACGATGATGATCCATCAGAGATCGATGGTAGGAGCGAGTCCATATTGTTTTATAATATTAATATAATATTGTTTTATACCATCAATATAACAATAGACTAATTACAAACTATTACATCGTTGTGCAAGTTGTTCAATAGAGTGTTCTTGAGTGTTTTAGGACGTGTATTTATACAACTAGATGAATACCCACGCTACGCGTGGGTCAATATTTTACAACTTGTCTACGCGTGGGTTAATATTGGTTATTAGTTGCCATTTAGTTTGAAAGTGTAAGTGAACGTTTTGGTACGTGAATAACAGAGTGAAAGTAAATGGTGTTATGAGAAAAATTAGGTCTAGATCATGTTATCTAATATATTATTTGTGAAGTGAAAATTTTGTTTGGAGACACCAGATTCATTCTTAGCTGGTTGATTACCCACTTACCCTTAATGAAAATATATTATTAAATCTTTATAATTTCCTTTTTTATTATTATTCACAAATTTCATTGTTCATTAAATACTAGTAGAGTACCCGCACGTTTGTGCGGTGTGACGTTGTTGTTTTGTGTAGAAAATTTAAACCCTAAATCCGAACCCGACAAAAAACCCTAATCAAAAAATTTAAAAACCCAAACTTTTTTAATAGGTCTAAACATGAAAATCCGAAATCAAAAAAATCCCGAAAACCCTGACTGAACAAAAAAAATCTGGAAACTTTTTCACCCGGAACCCGACCCCAATACCTAATCAAAATTTTAAAATACTCAATTTTTTTAATATATCTAAACCCGAAAACCAGAAATCTAAAAAATCCGGAAAACCCTAAACTGAAAAAAAAAATTGAACCTAACCCGAACAGAAATTTTCAAAGAAACCCGAACAATTTCTATATCTCTATATATATCTCTATAAAATTATGTCTCAGATTTTCACCCAAACCCGAACTTGTCTATAAAAACCCGAAAATCCAAAAAGCATATTCTATTGATTTGGAATTATCGTTAGATTATGTTAAGTTTTCTTTTTTGCAGATTTTTAAGAGATGGAAAACGGAAGTTTTCTAAACCATCGGTTTATTTTAAGTTATTATTCTTGTATCCAAACAATTTTTTCCATTTATTCTTCTATCCAAATAGATTTTTCTCTTATTCTTATATCCAAACAACTTTTGTTTCCATTTATTCTTCTATCCAAATAGATGTTTCTCTAATTCTTGTATCCAAACATTAGAATGTACTTCTCAATTAATAATATTATTAAGATAAATATTTAAAGATAAAAATTACCTGGTTTGAATTTCGTTTTGAGGCCTAGCCCGTCAAGTATTGACGACTAAAAAACCCTAATCGTATACCTATATAAAGATTGTTTGTTAGCACTTTTGAAAGTTGTTTGTGCTCCAGGCTTGGCCGCTTGCGGATACGTTGAATTTGTTCACGAACCTTTGATCTGAAACTTTAGCTTTTGTTACTAGCCATCTATATTCAATTGAAACCACTACTCGTGCTGCCCGCGTGCTACTCCGATCATCGTTTCTGAATGTTTTCTATTCAAAGCAAGGATTATTAATTTCTAGATGACTTGATGACTTTGTTAGAATCTTATATTTTGTTGATGTAGAAGGTCAATGGTTGTATCGACCTAGCGTAGTAGAATAAGATTAATTATAATAAAGAAGTGGCTCCGTTAATGGTGGAATTCTGGTCCATAATAGCATTGACTCACCTTGAGAGATGATTGGTTATTCGTTTTTTTTGGGTTTGTATCTAATAAGCAATTGATATGAAGAGCTTTCGAGGACATTTGGAGCTTTGGCTGTATCTAAAAGACTTTAGTGAAGCTTAGATGGCATGAGAGTTTATTAGTTTAATGCTAGGGTTGAGTAGTTGATTATTTTAGTGCTAGGGTTGAGTTTGCAAGGGAAGGAGATGGACCGTGAGGAGTAGAAAGAAAGTGGGGAGGTCAAGGAAGAGATTTTTGGTGTTGTTACAACTCTATATTGTCTTCTATTAAAGGTATATGTATCTTGGTTTTAGTCGTTACATAGACCTAACAACATACATCTCATATAAATATTAGACCTAGAGTTTCTAATTCGTATCAGATAAATCAACATGCTTTTGTTTATGTATGACTTTCGTTTCTTGTGATGATCGTGAACATAATGAGTCATAAATCTATCTCACATGATATTGATCTATCTCTTTTCTGAACTGTTTCTTAAATCTCTTTGCTCTTTGCTATCTATCGTTGATCTTTTTGTTTGGTTTGTTCTTTCGGTTAACACTGTCTTTAAATAGTTTTCAGAAGAGAACTTGAAAATCAATTTTGATTTAGATGGAGATGATCAAGAGGTCTTAGATAATATGCTTTAGGTTTTGTGTATTTGTTGATATATGTTATTCTTGTGTGTTGTTAATATATTGCCACAGATCCATGGCACATCCGGGAAACAAGAAAATTCTGGTGGGTAAACAATATGTCGGATACAAGAATAAGAAGAGAAGATAAAAGAGGTCGATGATTTCCTTTTTAAATTTGGGAGTTATCAGAAGATGAAGTGTAACAATTCATACCGAAACAGTTAAAACTGAGTTATGGCATCCTCTCACCCTTCTCTTTGGATTCGTTGGGTGAAGACATACCTCATCCAAAAAGATTTCTTCTGGTCCATAAAGGAAAACACAAGCTTGGGTTCTTGTGTCTGGAGGAAGCTGCTCAAATACAGAGACAAGGCAAAGCAGTTCTACAAAGTTGAGGTGAACAATGGTCGAAATACATCATTCAGGTTTGATGTTTGGTCTCCGATGGGGTGCTTATTTGATATTACGGGATCACGTGGGTTTATTGACATTGGTTTACCCATAACTGCTATGGTGGCAGAGGCTCTCTCTAGCCGTCGAAGACGTAACCACCGTACTGAGCACTTGCGAATGATCGAGAACCTGCTGAATACATATCGGAATCGGGCTGACCATGAAAGAGAAGACATATCTCTATGGAAACATTCGGAAAATGTATACAAGCCCCTATACAGTTCAAAGAAGACATGGCTGCAATTGAGATTGACTGGACCTATACTTAGTTGGTACAGGGGAGTTTGGTTCACTCACTCAACACCTAAATTTTTGTTCTTTGCTTGGTTAGCGGTTCACAACTGACTGTCCACCGGAGATTGAACGCAATCTTGGAATGCAAGCATAAACTCGACTTGTGTTCTTTATCAAAGTCAGGTAGAGACGCGAAGTCATTTGTTCTTCGCATGTAGCTTCTCAGCAGATGTATGGCACCCCTTAACGAGGGGTCTCCTCAAACGAAGTTACTCCACGGACTGACACACCATCATCTCCGTCATATCCCACACATCTCAACCACACTTCAATCTCTTCCTCACTAGGTATGTGTTCAAACGGCGATACATAGCCTCTGGAAGGAAAGAAACTCGCGGCGGCATGGAGAACAACCACTCTCTTCAGCTCAGATCATCAGTAGTATAGACAAGTTTGTTCGGAACCGGCTCTCATCCATCCGCATGTTGGGAGACAAAGTTTTAAGATGCCCTCCACACTTGGTTAGAAGCAAGAAGATAATGCCTTATAGTACTATTTTGTATCAAACTTTCAAAATTAAGCAGCACTTGATGTAAAAACCGACTTTTTGGGTTTTAATTAATTTTACATTCAATCTGGAATAAAATAATGAGTTATGCAAAAGGAAAATATAGTTTCGGTTCTTAGTTTGATTATTCGATGAGATATGAATCATTATTAATGAAAATTTTGTTAATCTGTGGATCAGAAATTATGTTCTTCGTTGATTCTATAATTTCTATTCCTAAAACTAAATCAGAGTAAATACTGAAAAGAGCTTAAATGGTAAAATAAGTAAATAGATTGGTGAACTAAGAAAATAGGTTATACATGAGTTACTGCGTATAAACATACAACTGTTTGATTATTCGATGAGATATGAATCATTATTAATGAAAATTTTGTTAATCTGTGGATCAGAAATTATGTTCTTCGTTGATTCTATAATTTCTATTCCTAAAACTAAATCAGAGTAAATACTGAAAAGAGCTTAAATGGTAAAATAAGTAAATAGATTGGTGAACTAAGAAAATAGGTTATACATGAGTTACTGCGTATAAACATACAACTGTTTGATTGACCCCAACGAAGGACTAAACTCATATCAATCAACGTGTGTTGCTTTTGTGTTATGTCGTTGTTTTGAGGAAGAAGAATAATATAAGAGCCAA